ATGTAGTCACATGGGACCCAATTATTGAAATCCATACCCCTCCAAGGTCTCCAATATTGTTACAAACAACCCGATCGCGATGCATGAATGTGAAACAGGTGAAGGAATGGGTATCGGTCCCTGAAGCGGTCATAATATGCTTACAGCTTTACTCGAATTCGTAAAACACAGCTGCAAATCAGCTCTGAATATTGCAGGCATATCTGGCCTTGCCTTGGTGCACCCTAAAAACAACAGACCGGGCTTGGTAAAAATTACTGACCATGTGTTGTTTTGGGGCTTGTTGAGAACTAGCTCTTATAAATGTAGTCATGACCGTAAAACGCACAATAAGTTTTCACCAAAATCCCATACGGCGTAGATTTGCCAGTCGATTACCGCAACTAGAAACATTTATTTTGACTTCAAACCCTTCCTATCACTTACCAGTCAATAATCAGGTTTTCGGGTAAATCTTGCTTCAGTTTTTAAAGAGCATAGCATACAATGGGTCACTGACCATGAGGAGAAATTTACGAGCAAAATTCCTAAAAAAGAAAAGCTTATTGGTTAGTTGGGGGGGGGGGGAGTAGTTAAAGCAGTACCCCTTTTCTCAAGGTAATTTTGTGGAACCTTCAACTATGCCAAAGCTGGTTTAAGAATAACCATTAATTCTTCTATAAAGGTCAGTTATTTAACAGACTGATGCAAGGCTGGCATTTAAACAAATAAACTCAGAAACCGGTCTGAAGCACAACTTGACTGTAACTACTTTTGAGTTTGTACAAACTATTGCTTAAAAATGTAATCTGTCTGATTGGACAAATATTCTGCAATGAAAAAGACAACCAAAGATACGACTCAAGAACAAACTAATAGATGGACGTGCCTTTAACATGAGAAGGGACAAAACATTAATGATATCTGTCAACAGGAACCGGTGCCTACAAAAGGTCAAGAACTTGGAAACAAAAGGATGCTGACAGTCCGAGAATGAAAGCAAAGAAAGGATCTTGCATTATCAAGGTCTCAGTGACTTTTGTTTCCGCAGCTGAGAACAATACTATCGTTCGCAGTGACGAACAGGCATGTGCAATTTCCAATCGCAATGAACAAATTAAAATTTCATTCGGAAAAAGTGCTACCGAAGACCAGCTCCTTAAATCCATCAAAGTTGTTTCAAAGTCTTGAGATCAGGCCTAAATATCAAATCAAATGTCAATATTCTCTGACGGCATAATATGTATATACAATGATCACATTAGTTTTTAATTAATCAATGAATCAAACACTTTTAATCAGTAGTTCTTGATAAAAAACAAACGATTTACAATACATGTAAAATGTAAAACACTTTGCCCAAATTAGGGACCGTGGACAGTGTAATTTGAATTTTATTTAGGTGACACACAACAATTGGATAAGAGATATTGCTTTCGCTGGCATGCAGCAAGCGTTCGAACTCCTCTTTAATCATACGTCAATAATCGAGTCGAGCAGGGAAGTTCGGTCTCTTCATTGGAAGAACCAAGATTAGAAGAACTGACTGAATCCCTCCTCTGTATTTTGGCATAGTTTTGGTCTAATAGTTTTATCCATCAGTACGTTTTCAGCCGTAGGGGCGCGTCGAACAAAATAAACTGACTGTCACTGCTGAGCCTGCCAAGAGGTGACATGATGGAGCACCGGACAAGGTCAAGTCCAAACAATAAAAATAACAGACTTACGGGGGAAATCAGCAGACAGTGCAAAGATCTTGAGGAATAAAAAGGTTTCCACAAGCCCCGCGCCACGTGTGACTGTCACTCACAGGATCACAGCGAGCAACGCTTGATTGCCGAAACGAGAGATTAAAAAAAAAAACCGACACGGAATGAAAAGAAGGAAGGGTTAAGTAGACCATGGAGCTATAGCTCCATGAGTAGACCAAGATGGTCATCGAGGGGTGGGGTATAAACGCCCTGAATAAATCCTGTCCATATGGGCGTCGCCAGGATTTTTTCCAGAGGGGGCAAAGCACATTTTCTCCACGAGATCCCTGTACTTTTCCAGCATATTCTCGATTCATCAGTTTTCGAGGGTGGGCAGCAGGACATTTGCCCCCCCCCAGCCCATTAAATTATGAGCAATATGACTTCTCGCCTCTGGTTTCTTTCTTTTTTTCCTCCCCCTTTTTTTGTTTTTCAAGGGGGGGGGGCGCCTCCTTGCCCCCCCCCCGCGACGCTAAGGACCCTGTCTAGCACATCCCCGTTTTATTCCACAGATATTTCGGTCTATCAAAAATCAGAAATGCACGTCATTTGTGTCTTTGGCAATTCCAATATTCCTCACAATTATAGTTTGTATATACATGTATACACTGCTCCCAGAAAACACTCGTCTAACTTTCTTTGACAATGAAAAACAACTTGTAGGCCTACCTCTATAAAAGACGAATATTGACTGTTTCTTGAGAACTAGCTTGGAATCTATTTGTTACGGAAAACACATGCTGATCGCTTCAGATTTTGATTAGATCTAAACCATGAATTGGAGATTTTCCTCAGAAAAAAAAATATAATTTTCAATTTCGGTACCCAACCCCTGCAACGATAATAGGGACCGGATCCAGGCTCCATTGGGTTGCAGACAAACAAAAAGAAAAAAAGGTTTTTTTTTTTTTGGGGGGGGGGTAAAATAAAACATACGAAAATTCGTTGGATGAAAAGATGATGGGAAATGCCTAAAATAGAAAGCACTGACAGTAGACACAAAGACTTATGTCTCGTGGGCTAATGTCACAAGATGTCAATGTCACAAGACAGGAACTGACTCCCAACGATACCGTCACTTTTAAGCATGGTTCATCACCAGACCTAGACCCACAACGTAGGCTCTGAAAAGTGAAATGTGCCATTTGAATAAGTTTATATATTTTGAAGTTTTCCAGTTGATGTACATTATGTCCCTCAAGTCAAGTGTATCCTGACACCTAGAGTGACTTCTTCAGTATGGCAAATCATCGGAACTTTTAAAAGATCTCAGAATCCCCAAATTATGAAGTAGCCTTAATCTTATCAGTGGTTTCACAGTCGCAATTTTACCAAGCGAGCACTAGAGCCATCCTACTTCATCCCGAACCTACACGTTTGAGCCACGAGATTATCACGACGGGGGAATATACCCCTCTTGCAATTTGGTGTTCGTTCGGCAGATTTCATGACAGCTCATGCAAACTTGATGTCGAGAAAAAAATAATATGACAGTCCTTCGAGGCTAAAGACCGTCTGACCGAGTGGGCGATTTCAGTCTTGACTTCTATGCAACCAAAAACAATTTCGCCACATCATCTTTTTAAGGTCTTTCGACCTTTATCCTCTTGGGGCGGCCCCTCATGAGAGACATCTCAGACAGAAAAATAAAATCTGCCGGTGTATCAGAGTGTACCTTAATGTACACAATATGCTTGGTGTTATTATGATGGCTGTCATGACTGGAATGCCTGTCTGTGACAGAGATGAAACACGGTGCCCTTGACTTCCCAGGTGATGCAGGGTGCTTAATTAAAATAAATCCTCCACGCATCCCTGGCGATTGCAGGAGGAGAGACGAGCTCCAGGCGACCAGTGTAGACATGACAGACTTCATTATTAGTTCGTCTTATGTATAGTAATAAGAGTCAGAGTGGTTGAGTTTGACTTAGGTTAATATTATTTCTGTCCCTGCCCCTCCGACTTTGTGGGAGCACGTCAAGCATGAGACACTCGCCAGACGCGCATGGAAAATCAGAAAATAAGCATGACGTAACGGATATTACCAGATTTTTATCCATTTTAAGAGGTAAGCAAATTTTTAAAAAGCTACTTTCACCAAGTGAAATTCAAAGTGTGTGCGTACGCATTTCAGTGGAATCAGGTTCAAATCCTGGCCCAGCCCATTTCTTTTTAATGAATCCAAAAGTTGTTTGAATCAAAGACGGTAAATGCAGTAACTACGTATACCCAATGGCCCAATCAGTCTCATTTCAGTGGGAACAAGTTCTAAAACAATGCCCACAATAGCCCATCCCCAGAGGCAGTTTTGTTCATCGATTGCTGGTTGCATGTGGGCTTATGAAAAATAGCTCCGTCACTATCACCACCTACGTACTAGCAAAAAGGTCGGGAAATACATTTTGTACATCACAAAATATTAATAGGAAACGACGTATCCGGGGGCGAATTGGCAGGGGGATGGCACGGACCTCAACTTATAGAATTCCCTAAGTGCCACCCAACCAAGCACAAACAACCCAATGGAAACTAGTTACGCCACTGATTATGGGATTGGTGATATAATTTCACATACTGTTATATACGTAAGGCAAAAGGGGCGTGGCTCTCCTTCCCAGCCTGTTTAGTTTTATACTCCTCTTTGAGCCTACCTTACCCTTCAAACACCCATTAATGGGTGCTTAAAGGGTAAGGCACCCTTCGGAATATGGGAATTGACCCCAGTCACCCATTCACACCCATAATAATGACTGCAAACAAAATCGCATTGGATGTTGTAACGCTTGCTCAATCCTCAATGCGTTGAAAAATACAACGCCCGATTACTTGATCTGCATGACTTTCGATTCGCGGAATGGGATTTTTGCCACACCGTCAAACCGGCTCTGCAGTTTATTTATCGGTGCAAGATGGTGCTGCGATATAAATTCCGGAATAAAAAAAACATCACACGCTTAACTTGGCGCGATGAAAAGAAAACTGACCCCGACTTGGCTGAGCCGGGCGGCATTGCTCTTTGAATCCCACTGCCTCTTTCACCGCCAGGGTGAACAGAAGGTTACCTTTATTCCTAAACACAAGTTCCGGTAAAAAAAAAACCACCTTAAAATTAAGTTAGGGGTTTATGTTCACCACGTTGCCCTTTGCCTAAGATGGGGGCGAAAGGTTCAACTTCCCATGTGACGAACAACGCAATGTGTTATAGACAAGCTGGTCAGAATGACATTTGAAGAGAAATTTGGGACAAATAAATAAACAGCCATGACTTACCTCGTATTTATACCCGTCCTGTCGAGCCATGGTAAAAACCCTCGCACTCCCAGCAGCCGCACCACTTCGAAATGAACTAATAACGTATATTTGGCATTCTATATAGGAATTTGCTTAGTATCAATCATGGTCGCCCGTCCATGCAGTCCACAGGCTGTCCTTTTCATAAGGAAAACGAGCCAGGCGTTGCGGAGGAGAGAACCGTAATATGCGCTGGTAGCGGCAGTGGAGTAGCTGTGTTCCGTGCCGGTGGGCCCCGGTGCGTAACCATGACGGAGTCGGTTCTAGTAGAGAAGAAGAAAAAAATGTCCAAAAGCCAGTGTGTCGATTCACGGTAGGCCTAAAAGCCTTCACATGTGCAGGGCTGCATATACGGTTGTTACCTTTTGTTAAATATCAACGCTTTGGGATTTAATACGAGAAAAAATTGTTGTTGTGTATTGGTCTCTTTGAATAGGTTTTTTCCCCACAAAATAGCGAGGTAGAGAGACGGGTTAGAATAAAGAAACCAGTGTGACGAAAATCCCTGGTGGTGGTGGTGTTGGTGCGTGAAAGAGTAGGGTTGAATGGAGTCCACGGGCTGGGGTTTCTCGCGAGGGGGCGGTGCAGTCAGGGTGCCTCCGGTATTACTCGAGGTATTACTACCCGGTGGGTTCCCAAAGCTGCGGATTCGTTTCACCGAGTTTCGGGCCCCTGGAAACCGCTTCTGTACAGCCGAAGACTTTTAGCTCATTGCGTTTGGCCAGCCGAGCATATAGCATGGCCAACTTCCCATCGGAAACGACTAGGGGAGTAGAATAACATATGTCGGTAGTGCATGTATAACTTCAGCCGGTCGGGCAACCGTTCTCGGCTAAACGGTGTATAACTGGGCAACCAAATCATTTCGTCACATTTTGTGTGAATAGTATAGGCCTATATTATACATAACCTATTTGACTACTTTTTGCTGGATGACCTTCAGTGCCAGCCACCGGAGTCTGACTGGGTCAATGCTCCAAACTGAACTTTAATATTTCTGGACCAGCTCGCGACTACACTGCAAAAAACACGGGAGTTAAGTCTAACACCAGTGGTGTCTATAGGACCATTAGTGTATTTTGTTTTACACCATTGGTCTATATACCCCAACCCGTGTTAAACTTACAATTTAGTTTTTGCAGTGTAGGCAAGCCTACTGGTGCCTACGGAGGTTTGAAATGTAAATAAAAACATGCAACATAATACACTGAAAAAATAAATTCCGAATAAACAACAACACAGTTTGCCAGTTTGAGAAATATAACCAACGAAAATGAAGCTATAGGGTTGCGGTCGCGACTGGGGTTGACCGAAGTATGCAAACCCATTTCGCGCTCATTTGAAGTGATGATTGAAGTCCCGGTGCGCCCTCTTGTGTGACATGGTTTGTCCACTCAACCGAGGTGGGCAAGACGGTCAGTTGTGTTGTCCAGCCGTTTGTCCAGCCAGTGATGTCTGGACATCGGTAGACCATGGCAGGTCTGATCACGCAAGCCATTCCCCAGGGAATAGCGCTGCAACAATTTTAACCTGTCAGATTGTGTATAATTATTTAATGAAGTTTATGGGGCAAGATCGGCGAAATAATAAACAAGCTGGTTTTCTCACACTTTTAAATGACGTCGCACTCCAATTTGGTGATTTTTTTTGGGTTAATCTTTAAGGTCTAACAGCCTGTAATTTAGCCAGACAGCCAGTACGCTGGCAAGCCAAACTACCAGGGGAGACAGCCAGTCAGTCAGTCAGGCAGCCAGCCAGCTAGCCAACCAGCCAGCCAGCAACCAACCAACCAGCCAGCCAGCCAGCCAGCCATGCATCCGGGGAGTCGGCTAGCCAGCCAGCCAGCCTGCCTGCCAGCCTGCTGCAAGCCAGTGAGCTAGCCACCGAACTGATGACCAACTCTTTACCAACTATACCAGCTAAGTCAGCTAGCCTGCGAGCTAGCCAATTACCAGCCAAAGTGTCACCCAGCAAGCAACCAATTAGCCAGCCAGCCAACAAACCAACCTTTCAGTTAGCCGCCAGGCAACCGGCCAACCAGCCTGCCAGTCTTAAAAAGCCCGATTGTCATTATCAAGCCAACCATATAGCAAACCTGCCAACCAGTCATCCTCAAGCCAGCAGCCAGCCAACCAGCCGCCAAACCAGCGAGCAACAAGCCAACAAGCCCGCTCACCAGCCAACGAGCCAGCCTTACGGTCAGCCAGCCAGCCAGCCTTCCAGCCAGCCTTCCAACAAGTCAGCGAGCCTGCCAATCAACCATACCAGCCATCCAGCCAGCCAGTCGTCGTGCCATCCAGCCAGCAACCATCTGAACAACCAACCCGCGGTGACCCAATACGCTTACATCACTAGAGTCGAACTTCTGGCCCGAGTAATGACAACATCATGATTGCAATTTAGGTTAATATCTAACCCACATAATCCTTGTCATCGTATTAATTGCTTTTGCAGTATTAACTGGATCAGTTCTGATGTTATGGCCTTTGCTCCTGTCAGTGGAGTGGGGGAGATTGCAACGGGATGGTGATTTTAAAAGCAAAATCGGAAAGTTGAGTAATAGAAGCACAATCGGGACGGTGAAAATGGGTTAAATGGGACGAAGATTCGATTTTGCAACGGGCAAACTAAACCCTGGCCACGAGCCTGCTTTTATGTACTAACCAAAGACAAGTGAGTTTTTTCCCTTCGATACTTCGATGTCGATATTCGGGATGTCAAAATGATTACTGTTCAGAAAAAAGAACAATGAATCGATTAGTTAAACCCCCCCCCCAAAAAAAAACACTGCCCAAAACTGTAGCAGTGGATTTTAGCAAAAGACGACACTTTTTTCGATATTCATGTCAGTACTGGTCAGACATAAATTAGAAATAAACTACGGTTCATAGGCCCTTTGCAATTAGCGGGGGGGGGGGGATAGCAAATTGTATAAGGACAATAACCAATTGTAGATAAAACAAAACAATTAGTTAGTTGTAAAAAAAAACGCTAATAACCTTCGGTCCAAATGGTTTAATAAGCTTCTGTAGATATTAAATATGCAGAAAACATCAAATTCATTACCAACCCCAAACATTAACAGTACGTACTGCTCCATACAGCTCTTACACTTCAATAAATCAGGAACAAATCCTGGTTCCAAAAGAATTTTTTTAAATGTGGTTAAAACACTGAACACTTGCGTGTTAAAACAGAAACTGTTGATTTTGGGCCGCGCTGAGCATTTTAGTTGACACAGCTGAAATTTAGTTCTTAGGAAAACACAGGTTAAGGGCGCACAGTGAGGAACATCGAGTGGGATTACATAGTTGGCAGACATCAATGTCCAAGGAACATTCTAAGTGCTCAGTAGGACTATGTCAATTAGCTTGTAAATTCGCATTTGATTGCTGTCTTCAGGGTTCCACTGTCCTCATTAATTCATTTCTCGCGGAAAGATAACAACTTAATCTTTCTTGAAAGGATAATCTTACCGATGCTCAGGGAAAGCTTGGGCAAGGTGTATGTCTGTATAAGGCCTTCCTGCATGCAGTGATCATAGGTTTTTGCACGACGTGGTTGACTGAACTTTCATATTGTCATTATGTCTAAACTGTACTACATGTATTTCATTAATACGGCATCGAGGTGATGATGATGATCATGGTGTGGATGATAGTGATAACGGGGATTGTTTTGTGTGATTGGAAAGCGCGCACAATTTTTCGATCAGGATGATCACGAAAGAGATGATGTACGGTCGCCCATTTTTGGAAGTGATTTCGGCGGGTTGGAAGATTTGGGGCGTCTTGTCTAATCTTAATTCAATGTGAATTTGTCGTTTTTTTCTTGACTGATTTGCCCTTGACAATATTATTGTCAGTCTTTTCGAATAGGCAGTAAATCTATGGAACGCCTCCTGATTTAAATTCCGGTTCCAAGCACACTCAATTAATTATCAGCAAAATAACACTCGGTGTCCATGTTGAAAGTGAATTATCTCCATAAAAATTAGTGAGTCGTTTCGTGAACTAATTGGCCAAAGCCGCGTTGTGGGTAATTAACGACGAGCCACAATTAATCTGCCATTCTTTTATAGTGAGTGTAAACTCTCGGGAAAAACAACGAGCAATTAATTTATATAGAATGTCATTTCCGAAGATGAGTGTTAGGTAGATTTTTTTCAAAATCCTCCTTTTTCCCCACAATATCCTGGACTATATCAACTGGATTATTATCCTACTGGACACCATCTATCAATGAGGGCGCTATTCAAAACCGAATTCATGGTCATTGACTGACAATCGCTGTACACGTTCCATCCAAGGGACATCAACAATAAACAGCCAATCGCGAAAAACAAGGTTTTTGCCACAAGTAAATTAGTGTGGGATTAGTTTAACATAAAGTGTTTTTTTTTAATTTTTAATCATGGTTTCGTTATTTTCTGTGATTGCCAAATTTCCAGTGGGGGCGACTGAGGGGAGGGGGGGGGGGGGGGGCGACCATTTTTTTTTTTATGGGGGTGCCCCCCCCCCCGGCCCCCCGTAGCTACACTGCTGTTATACCCATAGCCCAATTTGATGACATCATCGTGTTTCACAGGTCACCGTACAAATAGATACCGTGTTTAAAATGTTGTTGTGATAGCGCCCGTTTGAAAGTCAAAAGGAAGAAAGGAACTCCAGGCTAAGAAGAAATTGACGTAATTGTAATTCCCAAGGTTCACGGTTGTCTGCTCTTTAATATTGAGTCCAGTTAATTTGCCGAAACTCGTTTTAGGATATTATTGGCCATGGACATTAAAGGAAAACTAGTCGTTTTGTTTTGAGATCGAATAGAGGAAATTCAAATTGGCACTGAAGCCGACTGAAGCGGAGCGGGCTTCAGTGCCGTCTTTCGTAAAGAGGATTAAACAAAAAACAAAAAAAAGGTCTTCAATAAAACTTTGAGCACTGAGAGTCTCGGTTTCAGTTCGCTCGTACCCCCCCCCCCCCCCGCCTGTTTGCAGGGCGATGGGGGGGGGGGGGGGGGGGGGGGTACGAGCGAACGGTTTTAGTGCTCGCGCGAAGTAAAGGAGAAAAATTCCGAAATATGGGCTCTTGAGGGCGCTCCACAAATGACACGTGTGCACATTAAAACTGCAGGCCACATGATTGATACCGCAGTTGTCAGTGTCAACAAGTTGGGAAAAATGGCCGGTTCAAGTTCATCAAAATGCTCGTTTGCACTTACGTTGGTGTGCTTGTTTTTCCAGTTCTTCGTGTCGTGTGCTGGCCAAGGAGATGATGTTATCACTGCTCAGGAAATAAACGCAGACACTTTCGAGCGGAAGATGGAAGCCGGCAATTTTCTCCTTGTCAATTTCAGTAAGTCAGAAGATGATAATTGTTTAGTCTGTGGATACCGGACTGCCGGATGTGGCATGAAGTTTTAATTTGTACACAGCTAACTTAGTGTCAATGAGAGCGTAGATATGTTCTTTGCTCTACGATAAGAGCATTATTATACAACAATTTTCTGGGTACAACTTAATGCCTAATTAAATGCCTTAACAACCCCCCCCCCCCCCAAAAAAAAGGGGGGGGGGGCCCTGAAGCACATTTCATATTTTGTCAAACAAAGATAAAATGCCATATATTCTCTATTCAAACCAAATAAATTCCTGTCTCCTGATTCATTGCAACCGAGTCAGAGGTTTGTCCTGCTTTTAATAGAGGATAAGTTTGGAAATCTGACACTATTAAATGCCTTACCATTCTTTTCATCCATTGACTTCATCAGTTGGACCAGGCTGCAAGAACTGTAAAGATTTTACGCCCATTTTCAACCAAGTCAACACTGAGCTGTTGAGGGCGAAGTCGGACGTTACAGCAGCGGTCATCAACAATTTGGACATCGTCCAGCATTACGATCTCCAGAAGTTACCATCACTGGTCTTTTTCAGGAAAACTGTCCCAATACTCTATGAAGGTACGCACTAAGTCTTTCTCTATGTTTTATTTTGTTAATTGTTGAAATCAAAACTGGCCTATTACACTGTGAACAGAACCTGGTCTGATTGAACAAAGGTTGCACATGGATCAGATGTAGATTTTGGATTGTCGACCCGGGTGGTAGAGCCTTTCAACGCTGGCCTTGACCAGGGTTGATTGGGGGCAGAGTGCTGGATCCGTGTAGTGGCCGTTTTTAATTCTTGCTAGAAGTTCCCGAAATCTCAGGGTTTGACGCTGGTCCAACACAGAGATTTTGTAGATTGTAAAAGAACCTTGTGTGTATAAAATTTTGCAGGAATGCTGTCCAACTTTTAGGAATGCAATCATGAGCATGAGCATATATGTGTAGCTTTTTGCAAACCTGAAATCTCTCCTTCCCCAGTTGCAGCATATTGGATTCCACATGTGAAGTATGATGTCGTTGCCATGATATACTGCAACATTTTCACATTAGGCCGTGAAAAAAACATGCTTTTTCATTTTCTTTTACATTAAACAAATATATAGTGCCGATCGATGGGTACAATCTTTTCATTTTGCTATTTTTTTTTGCCAGAAAAAAATAGTGCGAGACGATCATTTATTGGTATGCATTTGTTACATTTAACGCGTGAATCAACTGTTTATCCATGTAACTTTGCTGCATACTGTGGCAAGACAACAGTGCTAACCAACTTTAATCAAACAATTAAATATAAATTCCAAATAAAGCAAGACGATGTTCCTCTAAAAACTAGGCTGGGGGCACCACCATAAGTTTTTATATATTTTGGGGGTCATTTTTTTCGAATAAAAGATTATGTTCTGCATGATTTTCTATGGTGAGTTGGGCAATAGGAAATATCTACAGATATTTTTTTTCTTGGCCTTGTGGTTTAGGTATGTCATGCTATGCATGACCCCAGCTGAGCTGTTGTGATTGAAGCATACAACGTATACATGCGCAGTTGCATAGAATGCCACATGTCGTCGCAAGTGCTGAATCAGTAACGACTTAAAAAGAATACCCAACCCATATGTATTGTGCACAAAGGCAAACATATTCCATACACAGATGTAAAAGTCACAGAGGTTTATTTTCAATTCACTGATTAAAGGGAATGTACATCATTGGCTTATGCTATAATTTTCAGAAATGAACTATTTGAGGGGTTAGTATAATAGATCAAATTATTGTTACACGGACATGTTTGAAGTTTTGTTTTCGAAAATGCTGGAAAAACCAAGAAAAACAAAAATGTTCAATTAGTCTGGTTCCCTGACTCCACTGAAGATGAAATGGATCAATTTACAGATGCCGGAAAATTGTATGCTGACCTGCACCCATTCATGAACATAAAACCAATTAGCAAACAAAATTGGACTGAAAAAATGGGAAATTTGGAGCAGTAGTGAAAAATAGTTAGGTTTTTCCTACGGTGGTCGGCCGACCACCGTTGGAAATGTAAACAAAAATACAATTTTCTTGAAAATGACTTCACACCAGGTGCCATAATTTTACAGGATGCTTTAGACTGTCATTTACCAACATCCTGTAAGGTATTTTGTAAAAACTTGGTCATTTTATTTTTCGATGTTTGCAAATGTTGTATTTTCCCTTTAATGACGGAAACCTTGCACAAAGTGCAGAAAGGATTGGTATCAAATACACTGTGAATTATTCCGCCTGAAAATGAAATGGTATTGTTCGGAAGAAAACTATTGAAGGTAGTTTCAAAATAGGGCACTTTTTTTTTTACATGCATTAGCAATGGAATCCAGTTTCTGAGACCCAAAAGATTTTGCAAAAATGTGTTTCCTCTGTTTCCTCAAAATGTACAGAAGCCTCTGAGCTCAAATTCCACAGGTTAGTTGTTAGGCACCCTGCTTAACATTTGGAGCAATTTTGTTGCTTCAAACAAACAAAATGCACCAAAAAATGAATCTATGTACCTTAATGTTGTAAAATGAAATTGTTTGTACACATTTGTTTATTGTGTGTGTTGATCATGTTTTTTCCAATGGTTTATTTTTATTGTAGTCTGGCCCTCTGATGTTTATCCTTGGATTATGTAGCCAAATCTAACACCTCAACTAATTATGTAGGCACACGTTTTCATAAACACCTGTTGGCAGTGCTGCAGCTGTGTATTGATGAGCAATGTATATTGAACAAAGCAATCAGATACCATTGTATACACTGTTCATAAAAATGAACAAAATGTTTATACATGCACCTGTGACCAGCAAACACTTGTATACAATGTACATATACAGTCATGTTTGTTTTTTAGGGAGTAAAATACTGAGAAAAAAAGGCTTTTGAGGCTTGGAGTTTTGTATCTAGTCATGAAAATGAAAGATGCTAATTGTTTTTCAATATAAATACCTTTATTCCACGATTTTTATACTTTTTCTTTAAAATATGTGTAGAAGACTTAACAAAGATTACAAAGATCAATTAAATCTGAAAATTAAATTGAAAAAAATATCATCTACATTGTTGTTTTTTGTTTTTCTTGCATTTTTCTTCACTCAGCCTGTGCCCAGTCCTGTTTCATTTCGCCAGAACCTTTCACATAATAGCAGCTATGTAAATAGATAGATGTTTTCCTTGATTTTATCTTACAGGCCACCATGAAGTAGAGGAGATTCTTGCATGGCTGTCCAACACCAGGGAGCTCCAAGGCCGATATCTCAACGACAATGACTTTGAACATCTCACACAGGCATCTACAGGGGCAACAACAGGAGACTGGCTGGTCCAGTTGTAAGTCAATTATATTTTGTTGAAAGGTTGGACTGAACATTTGGTTTGATGGGCTGCCATTTTTGCGGTTAGCCAGGGATGCTAGGACAATTTTATTGGGTTTCTTTAACAGTAAGCAGAAAAGTTGTGCCAACTACAGCAGAAAATTGTGCTAACCGTAACTTGAGGTGATTTACTAGGTATCTTCCTCATCCTTGCAAATCCCAACACCATATGGTAAACTGTGCACATAAACAGTTAGACTCTGTTTATTTGTGGTATGCCTAATCCCATGTAAAGCACAGTCAGTTTACTAGTGCAGTACTCATCCTAACAGATTCCAACAAACCCTGGTGTTGGAGTTTGGCTGGTTGGGGGTCGTTAGGGTTAAGCACTATTTCATGGCGTGGATGTGCTAACAGTTGCACAGGCATTGAAGATTTCTATTCTTACGTCAATGATTTAAGCAACTTTTTTTCCTCAGAGGTAAGTGTGCCTTTTGCTGCGCTTACTGCTTAGGGTCTCCGTGAAATGGGCAGAGGCTGTGTAAGCAGAAAATTGTGTGCTTAGCAGCGCCTTTAAGTTGGGCTTATTCCAGGAGTCAGTTTGGCAACCAAGATCATGTACTTACATGTACGTCACCTTTATTCTCTGTAGCTGTGGCTTGAATCCCATCCAAGCTGTTCTGAAGATTTGAGGTTTTTTCAGTCCCTAATTGACTTTTGGGGGGTTGTAATGATATCGTTCAAATGTTTTCCTCTTACTCCAAACATTTGTTCCACTTTTTTTAATCTCTTTCTTTGCATTTTTTGGGGGTCTTTCTTTTTTTGGGGGGGGGGGTTGTGTTTTGTCTCCCAGAGAGGCGGAGGAGGGGGGAGGGAGGGGATGGTTTCCTATTTGCCATGCAGTACATTGCCTAGGGTACCTTATAAGACTCCTCTCACTTTCGACAAATCCTAAAAATAAATGTTCACAAACCCAAAGCATTTTTACATGGTTGCTCTGCGCATGACATAAGTGTCTAACATGAGGGATCACTGGTGCTCAAAGTCTGTAATTTTTAATTTTCAGAAACTGAGTTGCTCAAATGTTTTTGTGTGTGTGTTAATTTCCTTTCAGCTGTGATCCAGAGAGACCGCAGTGTATAGCATTGCAAACGATGTGGGAGACAGTGGCTTACAGGTAAAAAGTTTTTTTTGGGGGGGGGGGAGGGGGGAGGGTATCATCACCATGAAACTTGTGATGTTTTCATGCAAACTCAAACTGAGCTGGGCAGGGCTTTAAAAGAGGTGTAAATTCTCTAGACATTGTGGAATTGAACATTCCATCATGGAGGTGTGAGTTTTTAAGGTTGCATTTTTTTGGGGGGGGGGGGGAATGTAATAAAAAAATAATACCGAGAATACTGAGAAATGTTGCTGTCATAATATCGATGTCAAACTGTACTGTATACACACTTGTAAAATTGTTTGCAATCTACATTTTTCAGGCTAAAGGACAGATTAAATGTCGCCACCGTCGACACGTCGGTCAACAAAGCGCTTGTAAAAAGATTTAAAATCTCTGTGGACAAAACGCCGTCTGTCATTTTGTAAGTACAATTTCATTTATAGTATGTAGACCTCTATTTTAGTAAGTTACATTTCCTTGTTTTGTATTTTTTATATTTATTTTTGCAATTTGAAAAAGAACCAGAACCTTTAATGTTGTTTTGCGTGGCTGAGCGTAAGTTTTTTTTGTGTGCAAGAACTACTTGTGCTAAAATTTTTAAAAATTGTGCATTTATAAAGACAAATGTCAAACTAGAAAGCAACAATTTTATTTAAGATGGAAGAATTATTTTAATGCATTCCCCCCCCCCCCAATTCATGACCTTTAGAAAACATAATTTATAAATTGTAAGTTTTTTGTATACTTGTACAAGAAAAAGAGGGTTTTTTTTATTTTATTTTTTTTATTATGAATAACTAACCTTTTCCTTCTATTTGCCAAGCCTATTTTGCAGATTTAGTTTTGCATGGCCTTTTGTGAGGGCACATTTGCATGAAAAAAACATATATGTGGTTACATATCCAAACAAGGTTTTGGTACAGACATTTCTTGAGCCAGCTGTAAAATATTGGTCAGATATTGTATTGTCATATTTTGCTGCTTCCATTTTGGTGTACCTGGTTCAACTCCCCCCCATATAGTCGTGGTCTGAAACCGGACTTGGAGTTTGTTCTCCTAATATCGCAGGCATTCCTGATTCCTAACAAGTGTAGTCGAGTCTCCTGAGCGGTAGAGGGCGCCTTGAGCTAGGTGAATCAAGTCTAGTCCGAAGAAATTCCGAGCACACCTCATGCATGCAGCTAATCCGTGAGTGTGTGTTGTATGCTTGGGAGTTTCTTTGGGTCTGAGTGCCAATGTTCCCAAGCCTGGATCTGATTCATCTTGTCAATAGCGCCCTCTACCAACGGGGAAGCTTGACCCAGCTTGTCAGGGACTGTCTGGCTGCAAACAAACTCTAAATCCAGTCTTTGCCAAGACTAACTCCCCCGCGGCTCCCTGCTACTTCTTAAAGGATGTTTCTGTTCTACCCTCATCCGCCCTCATTCCGTGGTCTCATGTGATAGAACGTTTTAGAAAAGCACTGACAGAATAGACCATAAGAACAAGAAAAATCTTGGTTGAATTGAGTAAAGACTAGATGTAGTAGCCGTCTTTGCCATGTTCCATTTGACCACCATGCAATTCACCATGAAGTGAAATATTGTGTTTGAGGTGCCAGACTATGTATTTGGCTCACTGAATTTGTGAAGGAAAGAATCTTTCCTTGTGCAGTCACCCTTGGGAACCCTTTCTAACTGTGACGGGGGTTTAGGGAAAATAACACACATCTTGTCCGCCCCTGCAGACGCAATCACAATGAGTTTGGGGGTTTGTTCGTTTTTTAGATTAGGGGGGGGGGGGGGGGGGGATAAGGAAAATAGTTTCATCTGTCCCAAGTCTGAATAAATCACTGAAACAGAATAATCCAAAATAAACCAGAATCTCAATTGCTCAAATCTTGTTTTCAGAATGGATATTTTTTTTAGGATGGTTTGTAGATTTTTCCTACTTCTTTTACTTTAAGTCTATAAAAAAACTGTCTTCTGCATGATACCTTGTCCCTCATTAGCATTCCTTTCCCCAATTCTCGCCATCTTAGATTCCACAAGGGCAACCAGTATCCCTATGGTCTCTTTCACTTCGGTATCGCCTCTCTAGCCCATTTCGCTGAGCAATCCTACAAGCACGTCCAAGGGTCACCGGTCCTCCCTCCACCCGCCCCCTTGTGAGTACCTCTGCCCTGCCAGGGCAACTGTAGTTTCGGTTCAAAACCGAATTTGGATTTTTGTTCACATAATACAGTCGGACCGTAGCTAGTGCAGTCAAGCAGCTTGGAACGTAAAGGATGCTGTATGTACATGGACAGGATGAATCAAAATCCACTGTAGGGCCGCGCAAAATCCAAATCCGTCTTGAACCGATACTATCATTGCTGCAAATGAAAGACACATCTTAGTAGAAGGTCCACGCTCGCTAATTGTTCCTTCTCATTGTTCCATGCTAAATTTTTGCATTGCCTAGCCAAAATTGGATACCCTCATATCACCCTCGAAGATATTTCAAAATCAACAAGTAGGTTTTTGAAGAATTTTGGAAGATTGAGGAAGGTAGTGACAAGCCACTATGAATTTACATGGGGCTTAATACACACCTGAAAGTTAAATTTAAAAAAATAATGTTTGTTTTTTGCAATTTGTAGATCTTGTAGGAATCGGAAAAATTCCTTTTAAAAATGCTGTGAATTGTTAATAATTAATAAGGTTTTCATTATTTCACAGTTACATGTACCAAAGAACCTCAGAGAAACACACAACGTATTCCCACAGCATCAAGCAAATCCATCTTTGTATGGACACTTTGCCGTGTCTGTGTAGCACCTCATAGATCAAATGTGAGGCTTTCGGTGACCTTTCAAAAGATGTGTCATTTAGTTTGCAGCAATTAACACTGTGGGAGGTGTGGCTCAGTGAAAATAAAGTATTAACTCGTCATCCCACTGTATCCAATTTTGGTTTGATTTTTCACGAACAAATACAGTAAAGTGTGGCATACACACTTTCGAATCTTGTAATGCCAGAAGGATTTTTGCATTTTGTTTGAGGTGTTGGTTTATAAAAAGATATAAAAAGTGGTTGAGTTGTACTGCTTAAAACAGATACAAAAAATGACACCATCAAGTTGGGATGATCAAGTCATATTTATATTCATTGGGTCACAATTCCAACACTCAAAACTCAAGAAATAGAAGTATGAGTTACTGTCCTGCTTCAAATCTAGAATGAAAGATGAGAAAATGTACAAGATACACTATAAGATGATCAACGGACCTGCCGAACGACTGGAAACGTGGCTGTCTACTGGTCACAAGACCAACAAAGCTAACAAAGTGCCTAGAGAACGGACCCGAGTGTGAGTCTAGTATTAAAACACAAGCAGTACAAAATATCAAACAGGCTTCCCACCTAATGTACAAGTCTCCTGCAAGTTGTTTCTTTCAAACAATTGCTCTCACAGTAACTAATGCCATATTTCATGTTAGAAAATACAAGTAGAAATCTCTACATATTTTGCTGCCAAGCTTGTTAATGCCTCTCTGCCAGTGTTTTTGAGAACTGGAACCTTTTTAATTTATTGGAACTTTGACTAAGATCATTGTTTTTTACGGTGAGAGAGTGACAATCAACAATTGAACATTTTGTAATGTTGCACAGATAAACATTTTGTGCAGTTGTGACTTTCTTGCAAAACTGACCATAAACAAAACAGTGACCCCCCCCCAAAAAAAACAATTGATGTCAGTGTGGGATTTCTTTCCTCTTTTTGCAATGACGAACCAGCAAGATTTGGATGAGTGATCTCCAGACTGGTTCCTGTCCCCTTCTTTCATGTAGTCTAGAATATAGTGGAAGGGATTGAGAACCAGTCTCATCAAAACCTTGCCAGCCCTGGCACAAGCAGAATTCAACAATGGTTTCAATTTACTAAACGAATTTCATCTCTGACGTTCAGTTTAACAACACGCCTGTCATTGAACTCAATTTCAATACTGTCTTTCCTCAGTGATGACTTGACCGAAGATATCGCCAAAAAATTGAAGGTAAGCAACTGATTTTTTTTTATGTAGTATTATGTTACACTAAATGAGGAGAATTACTGAAAAATAAATCTTGCAGATGAAATGGTTGGATTGCAAACATATTTTTGGACGGTTTCTGGCTTGTCGTGCATTTGACATTCTCCCGGCCAGCTACTGCCAAAATCAGTTGAATTCCAACAACTTGGATTGATGGTACAAAAGAGATCCAGTTTTTAAATTAATTGTTGCAAATTTTTTTTCAAAATTTTATTTGCTTTGTAAAATTTGTGAAAAAAAACTCTTTGCGTCTGTGATGGTTCAGTTATTCACTCACTGCAAAGCAAAGGCACTTTGTGAGATTCAATTCAGATAGACCACAAAAGGAACACTGACTGTGTGCATTATAATTTTGAAAGTTGAACAAAGAAATTGACTGGAGTGGGGTTTGAACCTGTGACCTCTGGATTGCCGTTTCGTTGCTCTACCAACTGAGCTATCCAGCCCTAATTTTGGCAGTTCTGCAATTTGTTAGTGTCTTTGTTCGCAGGGCGCTAGTTGGAGGCCATAAGCCCATCATGACTTTAGGCGTGATCCCTGGCTACGTGGCATACGGGCTTATGGCTTCTGACTAGCACCCCTTGAATTACCCTCAGTTGGTAGAACACAGGAACAGCAATCTGGCGGTTGCAGGTTTAAGGCCCTCTCAAGTCAATCTCTGATAGTTTGTTTGATAGTTCAGCTTTCATTTTCTTTTTTTCTAGGCGGTGCAGCCAGAAAGTAAAGGCATCTTCTTCCTTATTTTCGGAGGCTTGTTGGTGTTCGTCTTGGTCCTCTGTAAGGTATTTATGACATCCCCAAATCGTCAGTCCGGTACCGGAGGTGGGCCTAAAAAGGGTGTCTAACTACAGTGTGGTAGATTAGTAACATGTAACTAGGTATACAAGTGTTCACTTTTTTCACTTGGAACTATGTATGTGAAATGTCCAATATTTCTGACATATCTTCATGCTTCCTAACATTTTTACTCATTTTGTGATTGAAAGTTTCGAACATTAGGCCTGAGAAGAGTTTTAGTGCATTGTTATTGTGCAGTCCCCAGTACTTTTTATAATAGGTGTAAGTTAAAAGGAAGAATTTTAAACTCAACCTACAAAAGCTGATGTAAATTTATTCGTATATTACAAACATTTTGTTCTGTACCAACCAGGATGAAGTAAATTCATTAAGGTAACGGCATACGTCACAATGAAACTTCAATTGTCATGAAATTCTCTTTGTTTGCACAAAGTATTTGAACTGGCCTTTGAATTGGTAGGAGGCGTTGTCTTGGTTTTCCATATTTTTAAAAATAAAATGCAGAGTTACCATTATTGGTTTTGATAAGGCTGAAAGCTGGCTTTTCTACGTTAAAGCTTTTTTCTCAGTTAAAAGGTGTTGGAAATTAAAGGTGATATACAACAATTAAAAACATCAACAAACAAAACTACCAAATTATTATGAAACATCTTTACTTGGCTGTAAGTTAATAATAGTCTCAAGCATCCTGTGAAATCATGGCACCTGATTTTGGGGAAACAAACTGACTTTTTTCCAAATATTGCCTTAATTTACTTAATTTAGTTAGGCCACACTTTGTTTGCAATCAGGTACATATCCGTGAACAGATGCAAATCAGCTAGTGTGGTTCCCTGACGTCTACAAATTGCTTCGATTTTTCTGAAGTAGGGTCAGGAAACCAGACTACAAGAACAGCATTTTTTTCTAGGTTTTTCCAGCATCTATGAACACAAAACTTTAAACAGGTCAGTGAAACAATAATTGCTATGACATACCGATTCATACCAACCACAAATCCATCCATTTCTGAAAATTACAGAAAAAGCAAATGTTGTATATCACCTTTAGGCAATGAACAACAATACTAATTGACATTTGAAAAAGATCTTTTTTTTTTACTTCTTACCTCAAGTTCCAATCACATATAAAATATTGAGTCTCATGTTTTTCTTCTATGAAATGTGTCATAGTGCAGTAGAAAGTCGCTGATACTTGCCAAATGCCCAAACATTCATTCAAGTGCCATTAACATTTACATTGAGTTATGTAATTTATATAAAATATTTAAATTGTTTGTGTTTTTCTGTTATTATTGAAATTATCAATATGTACTTACAGTTATTGTATAAATCATGTTTTAAGGTTAGGCCAAAAAAAAAAATAAGTCGGTCTCTGGTCAGCGCGCGCGTCGACTTTAATCATGCGCGTCGATCTTTATTTTTTCCAAAATGTTCCGCGGTAGCTCCAACAGCGCCCTCTATTTCCGCACCTCCTCAATTTTGTTAACCAAAGAGCACCAAGGAATGGGAAATTGCACCAAGGCAAATTATGGAGGACACCAATGTACATGAGGACACCAAAAAAGCAAAATAGTACCCACCTTGTCTGTACAATCCAAGCTTGAAGAAAAAGAAAAAAAAGAAGCTGCGTTGCCGCGTCAATTCCGGACCTTTGGTCTGACCAGAGGCCGAATATTTTTTTTTTGGCCTTAATTGAGCCTTTTTGAAGAGAGTCAATTTTCAGGGAAAAGCTTTAGTTTACTAATATAATAGAATAGAAAATGTAGGAATACTTAGGTTAATCATGATGATAATTTGTATTGAAACAGGCGATTTTCTTAGAGGAATTTCCAATTTTCTGTTATATCTGTTATAGTTATTGTGAAGGGTTGCTACGTGTTATTATGTTTTCCTCTTTTTGCATGCAATATTTTTGATGATTATACACTAATTTTGGAAACAAATTAGCCATTTGTGGCTAATGTCAATTGATTTACCTTTACAATATACATGGTCATTGAGAAGAGTAAATGGCAGCCTTCTAGAGTATTATTTTACAATATTCTTTTTTAATTCACATTTAGTGGGTTTTTTTTTCAAAATAAGCATAGGCCCTGTTTAGTATTGTAGCTATACTATATCCAGTGTAACCTTATTAAGTTGTATTGGATTTTTTTAATCCAAAAATAAGGGTTTTTTTCTCACTTTTATATACATGTACATGTAGTGTGTTATCCTCGGTGGTAGAGATTGTGCATGCTTATTTACTTAAAAAAAGTTAAATAAAAAAAAAATGAAACAAAAAAACAAGTGTTATTAGACTGATTTGTAAACAGTTGATTGCTTGCCTGGTTGCTGAATTTGCTGTCTTGGTTGGTTGGTTCAGGGGGAGAGGAGGGGGGGGGGGGGGCACGTGCAAAGTCAAGGTATCCCCACAAATAAAATTCGAAATTTGGCGCTTACCAAGGAAGTGTCTTTTTTGAAAGTATTTTGTTTAGTTATTAAAATGGAGAGGGATCTTGATGACCATTTTGACTTCCCTTAACCAAAGACGGATCCAGAACAATTTTTTTTTTAGGGGGGGGGGCCAAAAACTTTGTTTGGGTCCCCCAAAAAGTGGGTGCCACAAATTACGGCGTGGGGTTCGGGGCCCGCTTTATTGGGGGATCTGGAAAATGGATTCTAGATGCTCTGTGGTGCGATCTGAGACTATTTCTGACCACTTTAACTAAATCTTTTGGAGGGAAAGAAGGTGGTGTACGCTGTGCCTGCCTTTATTGGGACGCCACTTAAACAAAACAAAAATTGGTTTCGTTTTTTTTGGGGGGGGGGGATGGCCCCCGTTGCCCCCCCCCCCCGATCCGCCCTTGCCATTTAGCCGTACAACGGCTTTATGGAAATATGAATAAATTGCCCTCTAGCGTCAAAAAAGGTCTCCCCTCTCCCGCTTTTCGAATTTGCAGCTCTTGCTGTGGCCTGGAAATGTGGGAGAAATATTGTTGGGTCCCCCTTGGTGCCCCTTCATAACATACTGGTGCCCTCTCCCCCCCCCCCCCTTTTTTTTTTTTTTTTTTTTTAAAGTTCTGGCTACCACTGGATGGAAATGATAGCGTGTCCGGATCGAACTTTATACCTGTATCTATGGAGAGCAGAAAAGAGTCGTGTAGTGCTATCGAATTGGAGAACCCGTTAAGTCAGTGATAGTAGCCACTCCAAATGAACTGAATAGCATTTTGTGCGTTCTTGGACCAGTTTTACCAGGCCTTCCTTGCCCTACTGTCTCGTTCGTGTGCCCCAAGTTGACTGTTCCTCAGTTCCCTCCAAGTTCAGAAAACAAAGATTCTAAGTAAATTGACAGATCCTAAGTTAATAGACATAATCTCTATGCGTGTTTTGTAAGTTATCGCCAAGGTGCGAGGCGTATTTGAACAACGAGAAACCATCGCGTCAAACTTTGAACTTTAAACAAGTGAGATAAAGGTCACTTGAACCTGATGTGGACACTGCAATCGTTAGATGTTCCAATTGAATTACTGTGAATTGAAATTAGGCTAATGCGGTTGTTGTGTTATCATGTAACTACTACTCATACAAGGTAACTTTATTCATGAAAGTACTAACTTCGGGCTTCGTGAGTGCAAATCCGTGGTGTGTAACTTCTTTGGCTTGAAGGTGAAGTAAAGGGTATGTTTCAATTCTTCTGGATACCGATATTTGTGGTAATATTTGAATGAATTATGTTGCCATAAAACTTTGTCCGTTGCAAAATATCATTATACTTACGATGTACTGGCCTTCATTCCTGATATAGGTATAGAAGGTTTTTTTTTCGAGAACGGAAAGTATTACCGATGTCTCCATGTATGAAATTACTATGGCTAAAAAACAAACCATGTAGCAAAACTGTTAAAGCTTTGCTTCGTGTGCCTGATCCGATCAATTGCCAGGGTTAAAGACAACTCCTAAACAAAAAAGCACACACTAAGTTTTCTTTCTTGCAGTAAATTTCGTCCTGCAACATGAGAACCGTTGTTCTGTTGTGTTTGTGCCTCGTGCTGGTACTCGGCGATCCGCTGGCCCCACTCTACCACACTGAGGATCCTGTGCCCAACATGTACATCGTCAAAATAAAGGCAAGTCTTGAAAGTTTACATTTTTCTTAATCCCATTATTTTCTTAATTATTCGTTACCAGGTTGGTGATGGCAACGCCATTTGACCTGGTTTTTTTTTACGGTTAACATTCTGTAAAATTCTGTGAAGTATTTCAGACCTTCTCTATACCGTGTCCCGACTCCCGAAACTCTTGAATGTATGTAAACAAAACTACGTTCTGCTGCACAATATTTTCTTTAAGTCAAAGGAAGTAAAATGTTGTTGCTCTTGCAAAAGTATTTGTTACAATTAGAGAAAGCTTCACAGGAACAATGGCCGAACCCGGTGATCGTAACAATGAAACCATTAAATTGAATGTAGTTCATAAACTTCATACATAGCGGGTTTCAGTTGCCCCACATCGAAATGATACTCTCTGGTTTTACAGAAATTGCATGCGATTTAATATTACCAGCAACCTTGATCCTACATCGAGGTTGTATAAATAAGGTGGAGATTTCTCCCTCACTATCGGCAATGCAACACTTTTTACAAAGTGATGCCTTAACTTGAATTATCTTTCATAACAGGACAGTGTCGAAGCGGCTTTTCGAGAGGGCAGATTGCAAGAGCAGATGGGAAGGGCTGGACTTCTAACTGCTGTCAGGAGAACTACTCGTTTCTTGAACACTGTTGTTATGGAAATCCCGGAAGATAAAGTGGACTCGGTGAGCTGACTTTGCTACTTTTAACGCGATAAATACCGAACTGGATGGGTTTTTTTTCGCCGAATGTAATTGTACTTGAGCGGGTAGATTAAAACAATTGAAACGGAGTTTTTTTTACATAGAAAGGGTGCATAACTTGTATCGTTAGCTGCGCAAGGGCGGATCCAGAGGGAAGCAAAAGGGGCCTTACGCCCTCCCCCCCCCCCCAAAAGTACAAATTATTTTTTTAAAGTGACATCGCAATAAAGGCCACCACTGCTTCCCCACAATCTTTTCCTCAAAAAAATTAGTTAAAGTGGTCAGAAATTGCTTCAGATCGCACTACAGGGCATTTAGAATCCAAAAGATATTTGGGGACCCCGCACCGTCATTTTTTTGTACCAACTTTTTTGGGGGACGACAATTTTTTTGGGCCCGAAAAAAAATTGTATTTTGGATCCGCCCTTGTATAGCTGCGCGCCGGCAGATTTGAATTTGGTTGAATAAGTTGCCGCGGAGATGGAGGTCTCTATCAACGAGATAATCAAATCCCAGTCTTGTCAATATTGGCAACGCTACCCGCCAGTACCCGGTAAATTCCGAGCATACCTCACGCGCCCGCTTTGGGCCAAGACTATACGTCCGAATTTGTCTATGGCTTGAAATTATAGACATACTGAAGCGGCTGACCAGAGATACTGACCGAATGCAAGTAGGCTAATAGTTAATCTAACATTTGGTCGGATCTTGGGGATTTTCTAACTTTAGTGGACCTTGACGAATATTACCTTCCTCAAAATAAAATATTTTCAACATCAACTTGAGCATTAGTTCTACTTGTGTAATTTTTTTCTCTGAGAAGTGAGCTTCATAATGGATTTTCAATGGGCTGGATTTTCCGTGAATGATTCAGGTTCGAGCCATCGACGGTGTGGAGTACGTCGAGCAAGATGGCATTGTGCACGCAACTGAGGTGGGATCCTGGGGACTAGACCGCATTGACCAGAGAGACCTACCACTCGATGGAAACTACTCTGCACCAGGTACTGAGCATGACTTTTTGTGTGTGAACAAAAGAGGGGGCGTTGTTTAGCCTGAACACGTGGCGTGTATTCTTCGCTGGTTTTGTTCGCTTTTGACCATTTCGTGTAGGCTAAGTAAAAATTCGAAGGTCACTAAAATAATTTGGGAACTCACATTTTCCGGCACTTAGCCGGTTTTGTGCATACGGAATTGTTTCGGTGATACATATTCTACACTACAACGTTTCGAACATTTTTTTTTATTAGAGACATTCGCACGTCGGCATTAGTGCGCAAACATTAAGTTGGGTCACGAATCATACAGTCGACCAGTGGTGCTCGAACTTGCTTCTTGCTTGACAGGTGACGGTGAGGGCGTGCGTGTTTACGTGATTGACACGGGAGTTCGCCACACCCACGAGGAGTTCGAGGGCCGAGCCCACCTCGGGTACGACGTGTTCGATGACGGCTGGGGCGGCGGCGACTGCGGCGGGCACGGCACACACTGCGCCGGTACCATCGGTGGCAAGACGTACGGTGTGGCCAAGAAGGTTACCATCTGGGCTGTCCGGGTACTGGACTGCTCCGGGTCGGGGACTTGGTCCGGTGTCCAAGAAGGCAAGTTGGTTTCAGACAAGTATTTGAAAACGTCCTTTCTACCGATTATTCTACAGGGAGGCTCCTGAACTATAGAGTGTGTCAGCTCATGCCAAAAATGCATACCCCCGATCCAAGGCTCAGTCTGTGCGATCCTGTGACCTAGAAGTTGATGTACCAATTAGCTAAGACCAAACCTGGCCAGCTATGAGCAGGTCATTCAACCATCCACATCCTGATTACTGAATGTTTTTCTTCTATGCATGTTCGTGCGATCAGACCATGCACAGGCCATATGCTTAAGCAAGTAGACCCATCGCCTGGCTATTGTATTACCAAATTTGATTGTGAATTCTTGATCTTGAACTCCAGGTATGGACTGGGTCATAGGTCATGCAGCTACTGCCCCTTCGGTTGCCTCCATGTCCCTGGGGGGAGGTAAGGTAGAATCCATCAACAATGCCGTGACCAGGATGCATAACGCGGGGATAACCGTGGTTGTATCGGCGGGAAATGACAACCGACCGGCATGCATGAACTCACCGGCTAGCGCTCCCAAAGTGAGTATAGAACAAGACCGCGTCTGAACATTAACTGAGACAAAATGACGTCATGCTTTGTTGACATATTTGTTCTCTTATTGGTGTTTGGTGGCTCTCGTTCCCCACTTGGCTCTCAAAAGAAAGCGCGCTTGTAAACAAATCGTGAGGTCATTTTGTCTCTGAGCTGTGAAAATTGGCTACGCCTGCATGATTACTGAATCTACTTTCCACATCAACTGCCGGCCGTAACCCAGTGTGTTTTGCCGCCGTGCAGACTACTCACACAAAACAGCGGAGACATCGCGTGCACCACGCGGAAAACCAGACCCCTGCATACACGGGTGCAGAATTAGCTATGGCGTTCATTATGTATTCAGGGCATTTATTGATTAAAAAAAATCATAATGCGGAAAAGCCCTATGTTCTGTTGCAAACAGACATAGACCTCTAGTTATGTCCTTCAACGCTGGCGCTCTTTATCAGCTTGCTCTTAATCGAGGGGTACTTCGGCACGAAGTCTATGTCACAATTTTAACCCCACCTCTGTTTTCTTATAATTCATTCAGGCCGTTACAGTTGGTTCGACGACGGATACCGATGCCCGGTCCTATTTCTCAAACTACGGGACCTGTGTGGACATCTTTGCCCCGGGGAGCTCCATCCTGAGCGCCGGTATCAAATCGGACCGTGCGGTGGCGACCAAGAGCGGTACATCCATGGCTTGCCCGCACGTCTCTGGTAATGACAGCTAGACCGCTACTACAACTCCCTCCCCTTGCACACAAAAGTACCCGTACCCGAAGCTCAACTATGACCAGTGAATCCGGGATACAAATGCCGAGGAGGGGGGGGGGGAGGAATATGCCCTACTTTTTCACAAGGAGGATGGGTCATAAGATCTTCCCTACCATTTGCATTACAAAAAAAAATCATAAAGAATTCTCTTTGTGTGAGTATACCTTGTGATGGATTCCTAGACGTCATGGAAGCTTAAGAAGTGCCATTAATAATGAGAAAAATATCATACCTTTGCTGTCTAATAACCATCCAATTCTTACCTACATTTCCACCTTCTGACAGGTGTAGCAGCAATGGAGCTTGGTAAGAACAACAACCTGGATCCCTCAGATGTCGCCAACATTCTCATCAAAAGGGCCGTCAAGGACAGGGTGGCCAATAAGGGATCGGACTCGGTTAACCTTCTTCTCAGGGTTTAATTATAAAGGCACCAACAAAAATCGCACTTATCGGCCTACATGTTTGTCGTATACTTATGATTACATAACACAATACTAAACGCAAACGATATTTATTTATAGAAAAATACAAATTGTACATACTGAGTATACGAGGTTTATATTCATTTAAGGAATAACTCGAGTTGTGCTATAAATCAGTTGCATGAGATTTAGTCTGAAGATCAGACGTACGTTCACGTTGAGCCACACTACAAACGTCTGATATTATGCGTGCATGTATTTTTATGCGATTTCGCGCTCCAGATAATCGGAGCCGCCTTTAGAAATTGTGACGTAATTTTGAGACGAAGTTCGGCCACAGCTGTTGACTAGTCGTGCTTTTGTCAAACAACGTCGAGTTACCTAAGACACGGTAGAAGGCGCCTGCTGAATGATCAGAATCTGGAGGTCAAAACGCAGTGTTGTTTTGCATAATCTGCTCGCATATAGACAGCAAGCATCTGTTCTACAGACTAAAGAGACATTTTCTTTGTCAAGAAAATTTTTCTAAAACAAAATGTTTTTGATCGTATTTTGTTTTAATTACATACAGTTAAAAGCTATAGCTACTGCTAGAGTTGCTAGGTTTTTTTTTAGCAATACTGATACACATAAATCAAATAAACATCAGGAAGTCTTTAGTAATCCGCAAAAAAGTAAAAGATGAAATATGAATCAGGAGTGTTCCGGTGTCACATGAAAATCCGACTCCTATGAAAATCGGACCCCTATTTCCCTATTATTGGTCGATCCCTCGCACGTGACAGGTCACTCTCCCGAAACGATCCTAAAAATAGCATAGTATCGTACTCACGCGTGCGCAGTACTACCAATGAGTCCACATTTCATGGAGTCGGATATTCACGCTACACCTGTCCTACTTATGTTTCTTTCATAAGGTCGTTAAAATCAGCCAACAGTTTGGCCAGCAATTTCGTTCCACTTCCTCTAAAACCATGTGTGATATCGATCTAAGAAAATATAATTTAAATCTAAGATAATTTAAAAAAATGCAACAAGGACAAAATAACAACTTGTTTGAATATATATATTACAGTTAACTATTCAGTAGCGAAGTGTGTACACAATATACGGTAAAAAAAAATTCCGACTAAGTTGCATCATTACATGTGAAGAATAAGGAGTTTTGTTAATTTCAAATTGACTTTGAATTTGCTTTAAAATGAAATAATAATAATAATGATATAGTAAAACTTGTATTTATTATGCGCAGATACCATGAAAAAAATGTTCGAATGTGCATTACAAGATTCGAACAATTATTGTTACAAATATTAACTTACGGATTAAAACTAAACTGTAGTCTTAAATGTAAAAAAATACATATTTTAGAAAACACTGTCAAAACAATGAAACTTAAAATTACAAAAGCAAAAACGTAGAAGTAAAATAACCAACAGAAAACCTTATAAGAATGCCTTTTTAAAAAGAAAAATTCTTAAGCTTGGTCTTTAAAAACTGACAGAGACTGAACAGACTGAATCTCAGGTGATAGCTGGTTCCATATAAGCTGGAAGGGCTTGTGCAAAATGCACGGTTCCCCATAGTTTTTATTTCGTGGCATTCTAGCAACCTGCCATCTTATGAAAAGCAACCTGCCATTAGACCGTAGGGAATAGTTTGAAATAGTTTGATTTCGTTTCATTGTTGTTCGTTTTGGTGCGCTGAATTTCCTTGTGGTCTATCAATTTCCATGCATCATAACTCGATTCATCGCCCGGCCCTCGGTTTTCTGTCTAAAATTATGACAGTTGATTGTTGTTATTCATTTTTCCCCCTTCACGATCTCCCAATGCTCGCGTAGAAACGCGCAGAGAAATACGCGAGAGAACGAACCCAAAGTTGCCGTGCGAGATTTACACAGTGTCAAAAACGACAGAATTTAAATTGTTTTACCATACTGGTAACACAGTAGTATATTTTCATCTTTTCAGAATGATTAATTATCTTGTAAGGGTGCCGTTTTAAACACCCTGTAAATTTTGCCAGCTTAACGAATGCTTGTTATGTGAGACTTTTTGCAATTATGGTGTGCGAAACATTTTCCGAAGATTCCTTTAAAAATGCATCCGAGACGCTTTACGCAACCTCGTGAGAAAGCCGGAAAATTTAATTTTTAGTTTTAATGTTCTGATAATGTTTCTCGTTAGGGGTGGCATTTCCTTCTTTTTGTCCAACGTTCTCGTTCGCCACGACATCAGTATACTCACCTCCTTTGGTTCCCAAGATCGTCTGGTAGACGGCCTCGCCTGTTGTGTCTTTCGTTGTTGGTGTCAGATCAGTGTAGTCGGCTTCCGAGTGCAGCTCGGTGTCTTTGGCTGTCGGGTCGGTTGTCTTGGAGCTCCTGCGCCGCCGCAGTCTGGTGATCAGGAAGACAATGACAAGGAGTGAGACGATGAGGATGAGGAGCACCACACTGACGACGATCCACGCCACGGGAGGTGCACCGGTACCAGGACCGTCGGTCATCAGCAGGGGGAGTTGCCGGCCGGTTGTCGGTTGTGGGGGAGGTTGGCGTGGGGTTGTCACAACAGCGGGTTGTGGAATGGTTGCCGGTCGTGTTTCCTCAGTAGTAAAGGGAAGCTTGATTGATGCCCCCACGGTCGTCGTACTCAGCACACGCAGCGGGCCGATCGTGCAGGAACTCTCCCGACCAGGAAAGGATGACGCCGAAGTCACCTTGCACACGAAAGTGGCGTCCTGGTGGTCGGCAGTCACAGACAGCTCTGACGAGATCACACGTTCATTCTCATCTCCCGAGTGTCTCCACTGCACATTGACGGTTGATGTGATGACGTCTACCCGCACTAGCGGAGAACCGGGGTCTGTAGTGCAATTCATCGGGAGAGTTGTCCCTTGCTGAACGGTGTAGCTTCCATCAGGGGCACAGATCGGGTAGGGATCGGCCGGAAAGTAGCGCACTGTCAGATAAGGAACGCCCCGCCCCGTCACTCGACTGCGATTCTGCCAGATTTCACAGTTAAACAATCGGTCATCTCTAGTGACGTTTGTGATGATGAGGACACCGACTGCCAAATCGGATGGGTAATACTCAAGATAGTTTCATATCGTGGGTTTAGACTGACGCCGTTCATCGTTAGAGGTTGCCAGTTGAATCCCCCTTCGTTTCTGTGCCAATTAATAGTGTAATCATAACCGGCCATAAGTCCGGATGCGTTGCATGCGAGGATAACCGTGTCTCCCTCGGTCGGCTGTGCGTCGGCCGGTCGATCCACCGCAGTGGATAACACCACTTGTGAACCAACTTTGTGGGAACACCAACATGCGCATAGCAGCAGCAGGAACGTTGACTTGGATGTCAATCTGTGATCCATTTTCGATCGTTCCCCTGTCAAAATTTGTCCCAAACGAGCTAGCTGTCCAGATAATGTTTGCAGAGAATGTGAGGAGTCGAACTTGCTTATACATGTAAATATACTCACACCGTGAAGCTTGCAATTAAATTTTGGTAAGGAATGTGTATTATTATTGGAATAATAGGAATAATGCCTCGATCGGATCTATATTGAACTTTCATTTTTGGTGTTCATGCAGATACCTTTTTTTTTTTTTTATCGTGCGCCACACTCGGGTGGTTTTGTGTAGAACAACGGCGCAATTTCCGTCATTCTGATATTCTACGGAGGGAAATGCTGATTGCTTTTGGGGGAAGAATTTGGGGGAATTGACGAGAATTACCAAAGCCCTTTAACAGAGCCGCATGAAAGGCATGGTTCCCGGAATGCGGAACCGGCGTATGCCGAGGGCCTCAGTGCTGTATTTTGTTGAGAGGAATTGAAAAAAAAGATCATCAATTCATACAATGGCTTAGCACTGAAAGCCTCGGTTTCAGTGTAATTTGGGATTTGTCTATTCTAGAGTTCGGTTTAGGTTTTGAAGTTTCCTTACATTTTGGGCCCGTGAGCAGTACCACCTAATTTTCTCTATCTATCTTGTTCAAAAACGGACCGTCTCGTGTGCCATTTATTGCGTTTTGATGTTCAAATTTCCATCTTCACAATACAAGTCAATTTTCAACCATAAACAAAACCATCAAATTTTACCAAAGTAGACGCCTCCGAAACAAGGCGAGGACGCGTCGAAGGCAACGGTGACTTTGTTTGCTTATTAGTTTGACAGATGACCTGAGTAGTACTGCTGACGGACGTGGTGAAACTAGTGCTCTCTTGTCCTTTTGTGTTTTTCCTGGGAAACTGAACAGGATACACAAAATCATTGTACTTTTAGTCCATTGTGATCTTACTTGCACGCCAATATATAGCGATGTTTTCTGAAAACTGGCGTCAGCTCGATCACCACTAACAATGCAAGTTGTTCAATGGCGCCACTGGGGAAATATGGAAATTATTGTGTGTGGTATGCAGGCTAATAACAGTTACCCATCCTTGGTCTATGCATTTCTCCATGAGATGAAAAGCAGCGCGCAGGAACTATCGATCATCAAGTTTTTCAAAACACCGTGTTGCGCAAAAGGAGGAACTGTCGGATCATTGATACATGTTTGTAGGCCTACACATTTAAAAGTGTAGGCCTACTTTGCTATATCCTGACAGGGCACTATGTCCAATGTGTTTTTTTTTAGACAAGAATTACCCCCAAACGTATATAAAATAATTATTTTGTTTTGCATTTGGTTATTTTAACCCATTGACAAGCTACCAGGTAAAGTACATCACACCCCCCCCCTAAGAAAAAGGGGGAGAAGAAGAGGAAGGAGAAAAAGAAATTAATTTTAAAGTCGAAGCTTGTACACCATGGATGTTTAGACCAATCCTTCAATTCAAGGGCAAAAGCATTGTGCTAGCTATTGTTCAGATAATCTGTCATGGGCAGTTGCTTTGTACAATAACGAGCACGGTTTCTCCATTGAAGGGGGCCTCCGTCTAGAACAAGCTCCTTCTTTGTTTTGCTCGTTAATGTACAATTGTTAAAGGAAAAAGGGCGCTGAAAGGTGTTCAGAAAATGTCAACAGGGAGGCCGAAAATGAAGCTCACTTTTAATATCACTTGACCAAACAAGTAGACAATGCCAAAGTTAATTTAAAAAAAGTTATCATCGCATGATCCTTTTACTAAACCGCCGACAGAGGGCGTGTTTTATCTAGGCCGTATTCACTCATGTTGTTTATACTCATTGTACTTATAGAGCTCTGTGTGGTAAATCCCTTCCTCTTATTTATTTTATTTTATAAGGTGCACTGAATGAGCTTTTGAGTCATGTAATTTTCATGAATGTTTGGCATGTTTCGGTTTATTTGATGACAGTTTGAAGGCCCTGACTTCGTCATATTTAACGGGGTAGACGGTGTAAGATTGTAGACTATGCCACTGCGGGTTATTCAAGGCACATTGGTGCATGCACAGTCTGCAAACCAGCCACTCCAGATTTTGGAGAATAACGTTATTGGAGTCGACAAAAACAAGGTGAGAAGTGGATGATCATGATGGTTAATATTTTGGTAATCCTTACCTTCTTTAGGCCCCCTTCCTATATAAGGTTAAAAGACTCACCAAAACAACTGACTAATATAAATGACACTCAAAAGTGACATTCTGATATTTCTTGAAACATTGGAACAGTTGGCAATGACAGTTGACACCTTCTTAAATATCAGCAGGTTTAATTTTGTAGAATGAGGGCGGGGCTTTGATTTATGAGGGGTTAAAGACGACAATGACGATTAGAATATATTTTAAAAAGCAAGATGGCAAACTGCAAAAAAGGTAGGAAAGTCACATTTTCTTTTAAAGTTTGGAAAGATTTCCATATACATGTACGAAGTTCACTAATTTTCCTCTGTATTGACTAACAAGCCCCAGATAGCAATTTCATGTCATCAAAGTCAATTTGAGCAGTGAGAAAATACAAATTACAAGCAGTTTCTTAGAAAACACTTAGAATTTTTCAGTCCAATCTCATAGGGTTTGTACACAGGGTGTTGAGTGAACTTCGTATATGGAAATCTTTCTGAAAGTGTTTTCAAAATTACAAATAACATGAGTTTATCTGAAGAAAAAAAGACTGCTTTAGCCTGCAAAAGTCACTTTGGTACTGGACAGTCATCTGCAAAAGTCAGTTTTGAACAGAACTCGTAAAAATAGAGGTGTCTTAAAGATAAGGATTACCAATATTTTATTATCATATAGAGTTCCAAATTGAAATTGACCCTTTTCCTCTATTTCCTGTGTCAAAAATAAAATTAATTGAATCTAGTAATAGGGCTAGCCTGAGGAACTTGGGCCCAACTTATCCCCTTTTTAACATTTGGACACGGTCTGGCGATAGTACTACTACTAGTACTAGTACTTCGGTGGTAGGGTCCAAGTTCAATGTTAGACATGTATCATAATGGCGTTTAGAATAATTAACGAGCCAATCATTTGCCAACAAAAACATCAGATTTCAACTTCAAATTGGCCACAAAATTACTTTGTAGTATACGCCACCTGAGATACAAGTAGAGATCGATGATTAAGATCGAGGTACTAAGGATTACTTAGGATCCGGATGAACAATTAAATTTCCCGTTGAATTCCGAGAGCTCCCCTCGCGTTCATGGACACGTTACACTCCTGGCTCGTTTGAACGACGCGTTGTGGTCGTGCCCAGCGTCCATAAATGATCCGGAGTGCGATTCCATTATCGCACACGATGCATCGATTATGATTTAATGTGTAGTCGGAATATCGTTTGAGAACATGCAGTTCGAAGCACAATAGGGAGTCAGGAAGGGCAGCTTGAACTGGTTTCCGGTCATAATTTTGACCGCACTGATCATGAAGGGAACCAGTTCAAGCAGATTTTTAAGAAATCACATCAAATTAAATGAAACAACGGTGGTACAAAACTACCTGACAATGTTAATGATTTACTTTTTGCATTACTTTTCAACTTATAATAAATTTAAATGATATTAAATTAAGTATAAAGTGCCAGAAACTGTTTAGTGGTATCACACTAACAGTCCCACATTTATTTTCTGATACTCCCAACTTTCTAGATAATATTCGTTGAACCTGTGGAGTGTTTATCTGAACTCTCTGCCCAGCATGGCTTTGAACTGGACGAAGTCCACAACATCAACGGGTAAGGAAACTATGTCACCCCTCCCCCCCCCCAAAAAAAAAACATTCTTACAAACGGAGACCATGCCCCCCCCCCAAAAAAAGTCCACTTTTTTTTAAGTGACATCGCAAAAAAAGGCAGCGACTGCGTACACCACCCATGAGTAATATACATAATAGCTCCCAAAAAAAATCATTCAGGTTTATAAACTCTTTATTTCTTTTTAATGCACAGCACTAGTCCAAGATGCTGGTTTCTGAAAACTATAATTTTTGTTTTGGCTATTTCAGTTGTTTCTTGATGCCTGGTTTTGTCGACACCCACATCCATGCCCCTCAGTATGTCTACACCGGCACAGCCATGGGCCTACCCCTCCTGGAGTGGCTAGACAAGTACACCTTCCCCGTCGAAGCCAAGTTTGACGATCTCAAATTCGCCACCGATGCTTATCACAAAGTTGTGGTGAGTTCTCTTAAGAACAGCCTAGAGCATATTTCTTTTCCTTAATAACTCCCAAAAGGGACCCTTTACCTGCCTATCAATCGAACAGTGCACATTGACTGATTACTAGATCAAAACTTTTGGTCGGTGGCCCCGGTATTATTGGTCAAATTCGGTCACATGCGCCATGAGAAACAAAACGAGAAAGCAATTGTGGGCGGAGCGTATGACCAACATTTCTATAGAGTACCAAAGTGAATACATCACGTGCACAATTTTGTGTGTAAAAGACATTAGCGCGTGATTCAGCCCATGAACCAACACACGCGCGTACTCCATTCGTTTGCACTACATTTTCTGGTTCTAAATGACGTCAAACTTCAGTACTCTATTGCCTTGAATGCAAGCTGAAAGGAAGCCCTGCACCAACAAAACACAGCGGCGGGTTTTGTTGCATTGTGCAGTGTACTTGAAAAATGCCAGAGCAATTATAATTTTTTTCAAAAGAAGCTTTTTTTTCCAGCGCAGTTAAAATTTGTTCAAAACCAATTATTATTTTTTTCGAGAGCAATTTTTTTTTTGTCCAAAGCAAATATTATTTTTCCAGAGCGTTTTTTTTTTTCAAGAGCAATAAATTTTTATTCCCAGAGCAATAAATTTTGTTCGAGCAAAGTTACTTTCTATGGAAGCCTGTTTGTGCCAGGTTGTAAAAGTAAAAATTAAATTTCAAAATAGCATAATAGTTTTGCAAAAAAAATGCAATAGTTTTGCAAAATAATGCAATAGAACAAAATTGCTTTAAAATAACTGCTCTGGAAAAAAAATAGCTGCTCTTGAAAAACAAACTGCTCTCGCAAAAAAATAGCTGCTCTGCAAAAAAAAAAAAACACCTGCTCTCCAAAAAAAAAATTGCTCTCAAAAAAAGGATTGCTCTCGAAAAAAAAAAAATTACTTTTGAAAAAAAAAAAAATTGCTCTCAACGAAAAAAGTGGTGGCACAAACGCAGGCTTTCGTATATAACATATGTTTAACAAATTAACAAAGTCGTTGGGGGCACTTTATCTACGGCTGTATAAATGCATGTGTGGCGTGTTTTGTCTAAAGTAACAATGTTTATAATTCTTTCATTGGCCCAAAATGTGCCCACATTGTATGAATCTTAACAGCGAAGAAAATAAACATGATCTATTTGTTGATAAAATGTTGGGAGAAATAGGCACATGTAGGTTTTTGTTATCATTTATTTCTTTTGCTATTATGTTGTCTGATTTCTAGCACCGTACCCTTAAGAACGGAACCACCACAGCCTCCTACTTTGCAACCATTCACAAAGAGGCCTCCCTCAAGCTTGCAGAGATAGCCGGTGAGTAAGGAGGCTTGATTGACTTGAGTCTTGGGTTATGGAAGTCTTGTCCCAAGACTCATATTTGGTGTTTTGCACCTCTAATGCAGCATGTCCCTGGAAAGCACAGACCACTTAGGATCATAGCCCAGATCACTAGGCATAACCTAAGTATGGTGCTCCGACAATGCCAATGAGAAAAACAAAATGAAAATTTCCTGCATGCTGAAAAAAACAGTAGTGCACCACACAGTAAGATTATACAATAGAGTAGTAATGTCCTGATAAAACCCATCTGTTTTCTCCCTCTGATCTGGATATTTTTAAAAATCAGTTGATTTACCTTATACTTCTTTCCCCTGTTAATTAATGATTGCAACTGCAAAGGAAGGCCAATAGAGGAATTTCAAATTTTGGCCCTGTTGGTAAATTGCTTGTTTGGGATCTGTCTATATCAGTCATGCAGTGTGTTCTTCTTTCACATTCAGCAAAGTTTGGGCAACGAGCATTCATCGGCAAGGTGAACATGGATTCAAATTCACCCGATTTCTACGTTGAGACCACAGAGAATTCAATCCAAGACACGGAGTGGTAAGCCATCTATGATTCGCTTAGCAAAAATGCCCAGTTTACCAGCCAACAAATAAAGTGATCTACATTGTTCAACCACTGGTTCCCAGCAGATTTATGTTTAGTAATTGGTTAGTAATTGGATTGTTTTCTTGGGATTTTTTGTAAACTCCCCCCCCCCCAAAGAAACGGGTAAACTAGTGCGTGTGCGCGCGCACTACTTCTGCAGGCAATTACAGATCAATTTTTCAGTTGCATGCGTACTACATTCCACAAAAGAGCTGCCATGAATTCGCAAACAAGTCTTGCAGCATCTTGTATATGCCACGGGATGAAATTTAAGAGTTTGGTTCGGAGTAATTATGGAAGGTTTGGAATGCACGCTGCATATATCAAGCAAAACAGGTGCGCGCACATGCCACACCTGCTACAAAAACAACGTTGCCAAAACAACGTTGCTTACGGTTCTAGTAATGGCAGTTTGTTGTGATGACGCCCTCTTGGCGGTGAATCCAATGTACACAACAACGTCCTGGCCCAAGACCAAGGATCACCCTTCCATGAATGGGCCAAATCCAGCCCATTGTTTAGACCAGATGCATAAAAAGACTTCCGGTGAATATCTTTCTGAATCAACTAAATAGAATTTTGTCTCTCTGGGACCAGCCTTATTAGGCTTGCCTGGTCTAGTTTTTACTGCGTCATTCATTTTTTTCTTTGTCTGTTGAGAAAAGGTTTATCAAGCAAGTTCAGTCGATGAACAACCCTCTTGTCACACCCATCGTGACGCCCCGTTTCGCCGTCAGTTGCACCTTGGAACTCATGAAGAAACTGGCTGAGCTTGCTGAAAAGTACAACCTGCCAATTCAGGTAGTCCGTCAGTCCCCTGTTATTCCCTGAGTTTTTGCTTTTTCTTGGCAACAGCAAAGGGCTAAACTGCAACACTGCTGTTGTATTGCCGCCCAAGACCCAGAACTACGACTTTGAAAGATGGGGGGACTGTTGTTGTTAGAGCACCATCAGTGTTCCAAAAGTTACAGGCTTAATTTCCATTTAAGTGATTATCTTTGTAGAAATGCAAAAAATAGACGAACAGGTTATTCTTTTCAGTTTCTGCTTCAGTTTTAGCTGGACCCAAAGGTTAAGATAATAATTGTTGAGTCAGGTGTTAATGGGAATATACATCATTTGCTTTTGCTGTAATTTTCAGAAATGGATGGAATTGGGGAGTTGGAAATATATAGCAAATACAGTTACACTGACTTTTTTGAGGTTTTGGGTTCAAAAATGCTATAAAAACCAAGAAAAACAATCATTTTCCTGTAGTCTGGTTCCCTGACTCCATTTAAGAAGAAACAGAGCAGTTTACATACATTGGGGAATTGTAAGGTCAGGGAACCAGTCTAGCATGCTTCTACCCGTTCATAGGTGTGTAATCGATTGCAAACAAGTGCGATGGTCAACTGGGGCCAGTATTTGAAAAAAAAGCCAGTTTTTTCCAACGCTGGTCTGCCGATCAGCGTTGGAAATTGATACAAAAATACCACTTTTCTTGAAAATGACAGTATACCAGGTGCCATGATTTTACAGGATGCTTTACACTGTCATTCACTAACAGTCCAGCAAGGTATTTCAAAATGATTTGGTAGTTTTATTTTTTGATGTTTGCAAATGTTGTATTTTCCCTTTAATGTTAAGCCTAACCCCCAAAGGGCTGGTTGGGGGTCAAGTACCAAATACCACAGAATACTACATGTGCTGTGCACACTTGTATGGAAAGAAATTAATACTACAGGTTACTACTCAATGGTATTTTGTAGCATTGGGGGCTGTTAGGGTTAAGTGACAAGTCCTTCCCTTCGTAATACCGGACTGAAATTCCTTTCGTTCATTTTTTTCAGCATTTTTGTGCAAAGCTATCAAAAGAAGGTTGGTTACTGTGTGAGCTGGCTTTTGTTTATAAGAGCTCGGTTGATAGCTTTCACATCGTGATTGTTGAAGTACATCGCCGGCATGCATTTCTTGAAATATATCTATGGAGGCTAGATTTCTTTCCTTTTACTAGACTCATCTCGATGAAAACGAGGGGGAAATCGCGTTGGTGAAGGAACTTTTCCCTCAATTTTCCAGCTACGCTAATGTCTACAGGGCTTGCGGCTTACTGACAAATCGGGTAATTATTTGAACAAGTTTGACATTAGTCTGATTTCTTTTATTGTATTTTAATTCTTTCTTCGGCCTCTCCCTATTAACTCTCCCCCACATTATTAGACCCATCTGGGAGAAATCCTTGCTCGACCTCAGGTTTACCCGCAATACAAGAGTTACATGGATGTGTACAGTGCATGCAATTTGCTCACGACGCAGGTAAAACGTCCAGCGATACCGATAAAACAAATACTGACCTTTCGTTTTTTTAACTTACCCAACTTTCTTTGCTGCATGATGTTACCCCACCTCTTCAGAGCTAAAAACATGCACGTGGGCCTAACTCTCGCACACACGAGAGGCTTTTTAGATATAATTTGGCTGTGCAATCAGTTCACCAGGAACAAGCATGGTAGATAATGTGCTTTTCCTTTAACCACACTCCTCAATCCTCCACAAAATCTTCCAGGCAGTTTTGGAGGATTGAGGCAGTGGTCATCCCTCCACTGATTAAATTCACGAAACAAAGAATGATTTTGGAGGATTGAGGCTAAAGCTGTTTTTTACATGGTGGCAATTGGAGGATTTTGCAGGATTTTTTGGTGGTTCCCAACCAAAAGGGCCTTACTCCAAAGTAAACTTAACTGTAGACTAAAATTTGCTGTTAAACTACTTAGCATTTGTTAGTGTTTATTCATACGACCCATTTGGTCATTCGAATGAACACTAGCATTTGCTTTTACTGCTAATGGTTTAGCATTTGCTCGCATCTGTATGAATAAAAATGAAGGAAACCCTTTTACTGAAAAGAATTTGCACAAAAAAAAACTGAACCTTTTGCTTATTTTACTTTTTGAATCTTAGCTATTAGAATTTGCTTTATTTCGTATAAATAAAAAACATGCGTTGCAATTGCTGTTTGTTGAAACTTCCCAGCATTTGCAAATGCTTATACATACATGTAAGATCCACTATTAGGAGGCTCTTATGTTCACATGTGGCTGTAATTACAACTCTGGGATTTTGTATTAAATATTTAGCATAATTGGTGTATAATTTTGCATTTTTTAGACAGTCCTTGCTCACTGCATCTACCTAGACGATGATGAGATTGAGACCCTCAGAAGCCACGGTTGCGGCGTCTCACACTGTGCCTGCTCAAACTTCTCGTAAGTCGGACCCAAGGTCCAAAAAAAAATACTACGTGGCACAAAAACGTTATTCATATAGGACTTTTCAACTTGAGAAAATGGAAAACAACCATGCATATTGTTTGATCATGCACAGACAGTCAAAAAATGCCTTGCACTTTCCTTGCCATGCATTTGTATACAAACTATTAATAATATAATACTTTCTTGACATGTTGATAAATGTGAACTTTAAACAGCCATAACTTGTCAACGGAATGTCTGATTGAAGTACAACAAACAGCATTGTCAGGAGAATTCTATTCTCTTTCCTAATACCCACAAATGCTATCGACGCTAATTTTAAGTAGCGCTATGAAATTGCGCCCAGTTCCGTTTTTCATCTGATTTTGCCAGAACGCCTCACATTTCTTTTTGCTTTTATATATTTATTTAATTTTTTTTCCGACATAATTCTGATTAATTTGTGTTCTTTTCCAGACTGAAAAGCGGTGTTCTGGATCTAAGAAAACTCATGACAAGAGATGTCAAAGTCAGTCTTGGGACAGGTATTACACACTTTTGAATCTGTGGGCCCCAAACAATTCATCTTGTTTATTACCGGTTTTCAGTGATTTTTGTTCGACACTTCAATTTGCTGAATAATTTTTATATTGTCCGAGCCATTTTAAGAAATTGAGCCCATGGATCTGTTGTGTGAATTCAGTGTGGGCTTGGTGCCCAAGTACCCCCTCAACGGTTACAAAGAGAAAGTTAAGAAGGACCACTCAAAGGGTTACTCAAACGCATTACTGACAACTCCAGATGCTTATGCGAAGACGCTGTGATATGAGTTCGTGAACAAACTAGTCGGGGGTACTTTCTGCCATATTCGTGGGGTGTGATCCTCTTGGAAGCAGTCACAAAGTACTGTTACTGTTCATTCATGTCCGTATTCTATCTCTGTTGACCTCTTCTCAGACGTGTCCGGTGGTTATACACCCTCCATGCTGGGAAGCATTCGCCAATCCGTCATCGCCTCCAACGTGCAAGAGTGCCAGCAGAGGAACGGCTACAGGAGCGTGGACTTCAAAGAGATGTTTTATCTAGCCACGTTGGGCGGTAGTAAAGGTGAGGCGGCTCAATCACGCAAGCTAAAAGTCAAGCCTGTAATCTGACTACGGCAACTCAAACATTTTTGGAAGTTCCTCCCCCCCCCCGAATTTGCTTAACCCTAACCTTCCAAAATCCATCAAAATCCATCCCCCCATTTGGGGATTTTGGTAGGCAAGCCATGAGTACCAAGTCCACCTATAGTAGTGGTGGTCTTGTGGTGGATTTCAGTGGATTTGGTCCTGAAGCATTATGTGAACCAGGGTCAGTGATGGATTTTGGCGAACTTGGTCCAGTACTTAGTAAAAGACACTTGGGAGTTAGAGTTAATGATAGAAATGTTGGGGTGCAAACAGGGTGAAAATCAAGTGTGTTTTTTAATGACATTGTTTTTATCGTTTGTTTTTCAAAAATCTTGCAGTTCTGGGTCTTCAGAACAAGATTGGCAACTTTGAGGTCGGGAAAGACTTTGACGCGATCCTAGTCAATCCCGAAGCTGCGAACAGTCCGTTTGATGTCTTCCACTCTACATACAGCGATACGATAGAGGTTTGTACACTATAGCATCGGTGTAGTGTTATTGATTAAATTTCTATTAAATTTAAGTTGGTCACTGACTTGGCCGATCCAATTCCATGATGACTTGGGAGAGCTTGATATCACTGGAGTTTGCTTCCACCCAACTTTTGATTTGTTTTCTGGAAGACACACTGGATTTGTCTTTCTTTAACGGGGATCTCAGCTCCAAAATTGAGTCCCCGTGGCCTGGCCCGAAAAGTCATGGAATTTTATTTTCAATTTCCAGGTCTGGAAATTTGTAAAATTGACAAAAGTCATGGAAAAAGTCATGGGATTTTCATGATTTAACATTGGAAATTTTTTATACCCGACAAAATGCAATAAATTTTACTGACACAAGCATTTTGCTGTCAATTTTTTTTTTACAGTTTTGAACTTCATTTCAATAACGTGATCAGGGATTTGCATAATTTTGTCATGGAATCTTATTGTCATAAAGATGTAGGACCTCTGTCCTAAGCCGTATGGTCAAGGTTTATTCCTGATGGTACTCTTTTTAAAATGCATATTTTTTTAAAATTCCGTTCAGTCCCACCTTTTCTAGTAGTTCAGAGCATACTTAATAATATTTTGCCCACATCTTTTCTTATGTTTTTTAGGATGTGGTGCAGAAATTCCTCTATCTGGGTAAGTTTGCTTCTCTGAATTTTGGGGAAAAACAGGCGAAAACCTATAACTGGTATAGCTGTGACTTGACAGACACTAACGGGGAAGAAAAATGTGTGATGTCATCATGCCATCAAAAATGCACTTTTGAGAACGTATATGATGAACTCCATCTGTGTGGAAACTATAGTGACATTGGGATAATGCCCCATTTTTATCAAAACACCAGATTATTCATGTTCAAAGACGGACACTTACAACTAAATTTTGTCGCTGTCTTGGTTTTCATTTCTGCCAGGTGATGATCGAAATATTCAAGAAGTTTACGTGGCTGGCAAGAAAGTTATTCCTACGGAAGAGGGCTAAGTAAGAACGAGAAACAAGTTGAGAGAAAGAGATGTTTCTGGAGTTTTTCAAAAATATCCCGTAAGTGGCCAAGTGAGTTTACCAAGTGATGCAAAGCGCATCGATGTGTACATTGTGTGTATAATGGGAGAGTATTGGACTATCCGCTTATTTTATTGTCTGTTTCAAATTGTCTAGGAAATATTTTTGGAGAACTGACCAAAGACGGTTAAATGTTTAGTCTTATGCACGAGGAACTGAGTGAGCTATTTTGTAAATTAAAATTTGTAAGTGTGATCTTGGGTTTTAAGTAAAAATATTTGTTACTTGTGATTCTACCGAAATGTCTGTACATCATGCTTTGTCATCAGATCTTTCATCAGGACTTCAAAATGAAAACCTTAACCCATCGGTTGGAAACCATTAATTGTAGAGACTTTCCAAAAAGCTCTACTTTCTGCTGATAACTTTAACCCACTGGATATCAGACGATGGTTACGATTCAATTACTCTTTATCACAAATCCTGGGCTTCTCCATTAAAATTTCACTAATTTCCCATGAGATTTTTCAGACGGGAAAAATCTATGACATTTTCCAGAGCCCCATGCAGTCTGAATTCTACTTTTCTCATTAGTTTCTATAATAACATGAATAAGATTATAGAAAGATTTCCCTTCTAGCAAGAACTGTTGGAACAGGAATACTCTTTTTCGCTTTCAAGAAGTTAATAATGAAATTGGCCATAAACTCATGCAGATATAAATCTACATTGGACAACCTTAAATTGTTACCCTGTTACATATGTTTTATTTCATTTTTTAATAAATGTGAGTAGTTATGGTATGTACAACTCACAGATATTTTTAATTAAGGCACAATGTGAAGACTGTATCGGTGCAGAATATAAACTTTTTTAACAGCACACATACATTGTATTTACCTCTGTAAAACAATGTGTTGAATTTTAAGTTTTAAGGAAATGAATATATTTTAAAATACATTTATACATTTTGTGCAGAGATATAGGTGATATATAGAGGCAGATTATATGGAGGAAAATAAAATAGGCGGTTACTAAAAAATGGAATGCATTTCATTTAAATCACACAACTTGGAAAATTTACTGGGGAGAAACTCAATTTTTTTTTTAAACCTGCAGTTACTATTGATGTAATATTAATTCACAAAAAGCCTGTTTTCTTGACATCTATAGGATGAAATTTAAAGGAACCAACTTGAGCTATAAATTTAAGTACATGTACAAATATTTGGAACCCTGACGTACACATTACTCAGTTTTTCTTTCAGTTCATGATTTGCATAAAATGCTATTATTTTAACAATGGAAGCCTATAGTGCTATCGTTAAGATTTATATTATACCATAAACATAAATACACGTAATACAGAATTAAGACCAAACAATAACTGGAGCGTAAAGACAATAAGTACATGATGAATTGTAAACAAAAATAGATGGCTTTTGGGTATTAACAGAAATATAAACATTTAGTTATTTTGTTTTGCCTCAGTATATTTTGCAACCAGAGGTTTTGGCATGTATGATTGTTTTATTCTAATTAAAAAAAAATTCCAATTATCAAAGATGGTGACTAATAAAAGTGCGAGGTAAAAAAAAAATTGTGTAGAACATTTTTCATTGGTGTTCGCTGTTGGAAGTATTTCAGTGGACCATTTGCAGCTATCCAAAAAGTAACCAACCAAATAATTGTTAAAAAGCATTCTTGGTTTAAAGATAGTAATGACACTAAAGTCCCTGTGAAATTATTCCTTCTTGCATGCTGTCATTTTGTAGAAAACAATAAAAGGTCATTTCCAAAGATGTGTCAAGTGACACATTTTTGGAAATTTCCATTTGGTTTGTAATTGGACAAATCCGTGAAAGGTGCAAGCGTTGACACGCCACCCATGCTAGTATTTGTCGGTTCAGTAAGTGACATCACGTAGCTACAATCATCTGAATGAGTCATGTTCCCCAATGCTGATTTGGGGATTGTCTCTCTAGAGGGCGCAATTCAAATAATGACATGGCAACTTTTGAACTGAAATCGAGATCCAGAACATTGTGTTTTCTCGAAATAATATACAGCATTTATAGAGTTAAAATTTCATCGAGTTAGTTTAAGCAATAGCATCCGTCTAGTTTATGAGCACTTTCGTTGCTTCCAACGAAAAAAAAAAGCACGTGACAAATGGTGCATTCTACCTGTAATCCATTTATGCTCTATACGTTTTATCATTTGGTTCCAATTAGTTGAATTTAATTAGTTGAATTTAATTAGATTTTATTGGTGTATGTCAATTCCCATTTAAAGTACATGCAGTTAAACACACAAGATTTTGAGTTTTTCTGAGGGAACACATGCCTAGGATACAAGCTACTGCTGTCCCAACTGAAACGGAACAAAAACCAAAACAAGTTTTAGGCAAGAAATGTTCTACAAAAAGTCTATTTCACACATTCTGGATATTTTCCACAGTTTATAACAACAAAAAATAAATTTTTCCAAATTCAAAAAAATAGTTTCAAAAAATACAATACAAATTTGGCAGGAAATGTAAATGGTATATATACAATGCAACTTCCCTGTTTAAAACACACTGCATGTATTTAGTGAGAAAAAGGGGGTCGTCATTAAATTCTTAAACATTAACTTCTCATTGTTCGGGTCACTCAAATAAATGATTACCAAATGGCTCAAAAGTCTTAAGTAAACAGACCAGATTTGTCAGGATTTTTCTGGATTTCAGGATTTTTTAGCCGCGGAAAGCAGCTCAAGAAATCATCATGTCTTTAGTTGGTTGGTTGGTTAGTAACACATGTCAGCACATGCCTTTTTTGGCAATCAATCACCTTGTCCCTTAGGCCCTGGCAACAACACGTGCTTCAGGTCTCACTGACCAGTACCAATTCATTGCCCTCGTGGAAAATTGGATCACGAGGTCACTCATTTCGCACTGGGGCGGGCGCTGTACTGCACACAAATTGGGTGTTCCACATGCTATAAAACGCTCCATGCACCAACCGACGTTCAACAAAATAACGGGAATCCTTTTCAATTGACAGTCACAACCACGTGATTCGTTGTGTAGGCTACTATAAGAACAGACTTTTACATCATGTACATGACTAACATTATAGGCTACGACAGATCTACAGTTGGGACGCAGCTTCTGAGATCATTTTGAGTTTGTTTATATATCCATTTTGTAATCTGGAATTCCTGAGATTTTACCTCACTGGTGACATTAACTAGACAGGTTCATAACAAATTTGTATTTTAAGGGACACCTTTAGACAAATACAAACATATATCATAGACCCTATGTTGCAGTGGTGCCCTAGGCGACCCTCAAACCCTTGGCCAACTATTTGTACCGCTCTAAACGATGAGGGCGACAGAGGAATCAAGTCATTCGTGATTCTAGCAGCTCGCCAGCTGGGTGTCCTTGAGCTACGCTGGCGATTATTAGCGATTCCCTATCTTATGATAAGTATAGGGGAATCGGGATAAGGAGAGCAATTTGGGGGAAATGCGATCGGGAGATCAGGGGTAGTTTATGGTTTTATGGCATTTTGGAGCGGTTTTGTCGAAGGAAATTAACGGTAAGACTGTTCTTGTTTATTGAATAGAAATGTGGGTTGATTAGCCAGGCCTGCTGGTACATGTACATGCATGGAGAAAATGTTCTTGTGTTTATAATATTGTGTCGCGGAGAGCTATGCTCCCCGAAAATAATAGTTGCCTTGCACGATTTTATCATCCTGTTTAGCACTTTTCAGGTCGTTGAAAGACCTTCCAACGGCCGTTGATAATCTTGCTGAGTGCGCATGGCTCACAATGTCGTTCAGAGGGCAGTCTGACGACGTTGCTGATGGCCATGATATGCAAATTATTGCTTCGTGAGAATGTTGTCTATTGTGAATCGGCGGGCCGTGAAGTGAGATTCGTTTGGGTGCGATCGCAACGTGCTTGAATGAACCGTTTGGCGTTTGAGGAATGCCCACGGTCAGTGTTTCGGTGCGCAGTACATTTTGGATTTTCCGAACCCTATAGTGCGATTTCAATTTCAGTTCTCTCAATCAAGACATGGATATCACGTACGATATAGTGGAGGTAAGGTAGCCCATCATTTCATTTAGACAAAACACCCAGAATAAATCTTACGTTTCAAATTATTAAATAAATGCTGGAATGCAAGGGATCTTAAATAAATAAATGATGCACTAGTTGAACACTGCATGAACAATAAATCGTACAACGCGGATAATAACGGGGTTTGTTCGGTCCCGGCCAATACACATCAGGGGATCGATGTTTTGAGATTAAATAATAATAATAATAAAGAACAAGAAATTATGTTCTTCAGGTGTCTATTTTATCGGCAGGCAGAATGAAAGCCTTTGGCCAGGGGTCCTCATTTATCTATATAATTTCAGCTGCATGTAGGCAGGCCTACGTAGAATGCTTCAACCTTTCAGTTAACAATCAAATTGTTTTAGTCCGTGATATTAGGTTCGCGCTGGCAGCATTAAGCCGGCGCTCCGCATCATTTATATTCGTGCTTTAGATCGACTGAACTCTAAGTGGCGGCATTGGTGTTCTCAATTTAATGTTCAAACGCCTTTTATTTTGCAGGAGAAACCCGACGCCTACGAAGGCGTAGAAACCCAGGCAAGTCCCGCATTTAAAGGGCTCTGTGTGGCGTTCAAGATCTCGGCCAAGTATTTTGAAGACATGATTAAAGACGGCTGGGAAGATGTGGACCAGTTGTTAGGTCTAGATAGGGCGTGGTCAGACCACATTTTGGCCCTTGCCCCTAATGGAGGTCAGCGGCGAAATTTTGAGCGACTGATGGCACGTGTGGAGGCGGGCCCACTGGCCGAACAGGCGGTCGGAAGGCTTTCCAAGCAGCAGAAACGCCAACAGCAGGGAGAGCAGAACAAGGCGGCTGACGCGCTGCCAGCGAAAGATGCAGGTGCCGCAACATGTCCTGGTCCCAGTGATGCAACGGATGACGCTGTCGATCAGAAGACGACTCCTAGCCCGGTGCCACAGGTGAATAAGATTGGAAGTGTATTGTATTTATAAACTTGTTTGCATTTCATTGTATATTCGTTCCCTTAAAAATTGTGGGCAAGGTATAGTTATATGATGTTTGGATATTGGGGCGTAGGCGGCGGAACCGTCGAAGTAAAACGTTTTCAAAGTATTAAGGACCCAAGGTTTGTACATTTCCGGTGGAGCAGATCGTTTGATGGAATAAAGTCAGCATTAGTTGCAGATGGCACAAAGAAATGTTCGTTCCTTTTGAGCTAAGATTGTGAGCCCGAAGTTGGACCTAGGGCGCATGAACAAGGTCCCAAGAAAATATAGGTTTGGATCCGAGGTTGGACCTCGAAGCGAGATGTATGGTAGGGTTTTTGAGAAATATCTTGGGTTCTATGATTATGGAGCCAGAAGTAAACCACAAAGTGGAATTAAAATCGAAGACTTAATTGGGAAAAGATTATTTGAATCCGAGGTTGGACCTTGAGATGCACTCGGGATTTGGAATTTAGTTTTGGATACGAGGTTGGACCTCGAGGTGAGACGTATGGTAAAGGTCTCGAGGAACTCCATTATGTAGCCAATTTTAACCGCAAAGTGGATTTGAAATCAAATGCTTAATCGGGAAAGGTTTGAATCCGAGGTTGGACCTTGAAATGCACATGGGTAGGACCCCACGAGAAATTGGATTTTAGAGGTTCGACCTCGTGGTGAGACGTATGCTAAAAGTTTCAAGGAATTCCATATTATGTAGCCAAATTTGAACCACAAAGTGAATTTTAAATCCAATTCTAAATTGAGGAAAAGTTTTTGGATCCGAGGTGGGACCTTGAGTTGCACTTGGGGTAGGACCCACAATAAATTGGATTTTAGTTTTGGATCCGAGGTTCGACCTCGAGGTGAGACGCATGATAGGGGTTTCGAGGAATTCCATTATAAGTAGCAAAATTGGAACCGCAAAGGGGATTTGGCATCCAATACTTAATTGGGAAAAGGTTATTTTAATCCGGGGTTAGACCTTGAGAAGCACTTGGGTAGGATCCCCCGAAAATCGGATTATAGTTTTGGATCCGAGGTTGGACTTCGAGATGCGCCTGGGGTAGGACCCACGAGAAATCGGGCGTTGGTTTTGGGTCTGAGGTTGGGCCTCGAGGTGAGATGGGGCAGGACCCCTGAGATATTGGATGTAAATTATATAAAATCCGCAGACGCCTTGTTGGGGTTCATTTAAGGTTATGTAGTATTTCAACATACCTTTCAGAAAATTAAATTTAGGGTTCAATTCAGAGGTTGAATCCAGAGGTGAGAAGGGGCTGGGTTCCCTGAAGAGAGCGTATAGTTTAAGCGTTATAGGTTTCGATCCAGAAGTCGGGCGTTGAGATGGAAAGGGGCAAGATTCCCCGAGAGAAGTCTGATAACATTTTATTTCGGTGTCGTTTCAAAGGTTAGGCCTTGAGGTGATAAGGGGCAGGGTTTCCAGGTAGAAATGTAAAAAATTAAATTTAAGTTAATTCAGAGATTGGGCCTTAAGAACCATAGAAAGGAAATTCTGGGAAATAATGTTGATAAATTGAAGTATTTGGAGTCAGGTTGGATCTTGAGATAATAAGGAACAGGATTCATTGAGGAAAAGCTGATAAGTTATTTATTTCTGAGGGCGAACCTCCAAAGGTTCATTGGAAATTGGACATGCAGGGGGACAAGGTACCGAAAGTTCGAGCCGAGGCTGGGCCTCAATGCACATTGGGATAGCATCCCATTCCAACTTTGATTCAGGGTCCTGATCCGAATTGAGAGGACCAAGATAGCATTATTTGATCTCGGGTCATTATTTGATCTCTGAGGCGCCGCAGAGCAAACCTTATATCTAATTTTAAATATTTAAGCAATTTTAGACCGAGTTTTGACCTCAATGTACAACGGAACGTCGTAAAAAAAAAAAAAAAAAAAAAAAAAAAAAAAAATATATATAAAATAAAATAAAATTATAATAATATGGATATGGTAAAGGATAGGCCACTTAAGTCAGCATTCCCGCAGACAAGATGTTAACCAAAGTTTGCCGAGAATTTTATAGTCCAGTTAGGTTTGTTAGAGCAGATAACGACAATATATAGCAGTAAAATAACAATGATACTGAGATCAAAAAAGATTGAATAGATCTGAGCTTTATTAAGGTAGAGAATGGTTATTTATTTTGCTGCGGGCAAAATACGTCAATGGTAGCTAGCTAGCTATAATTATAGAGAAACATGATTGACCAGAGCTATATTTGGAATCGAGGTTGGACCTCCAACAGGCTAGAGGTGGCAGGGCCACGAGAGAAAGCTCAGGAAACCCAGTGTGATCCGAGCTTAGTCCATGGGATATTAATCCGTGATCATGATATAGAGTAGATACCAGTTTGGGCACATCAATGATGGCATATTTCTACTCTGCATTTTGGCCTGTGAGTTGCATGTTCGGCGTTCGTTTGTTTATATATGATGCAGGCGAAATCCGCTTTTGAGGTCCACAAGCCAAGGCGACTGGAGCTTTTGAAGGCCTGCGCGGAGACTGGCTATGACCGCAATGTAGCATACGTGATGTCACTACTAAGGAAGTACGTGGATGAGTTTGCACCACTGTCCTCCGACGACATTAAAGAGAAACAGATGTACGTGAATCTACTCACCGAGTGCACGAAACATGTAGAAGCTAAGGTACAGGGTATCGCCATGTATATCTACAAGTCGATTACGGGCGAGGATTCCGACAAGCGTTTGCGATTCGCTCGCAAGCATTTAGGTTTGGCCGCTCCTCCTGCCGATAATAAAGCGCGGGTGGGGCCACAAGGTGGCGTTGCCAGGCCATGGCGGCAGAGCTTTCGGCCCCGATGGAATCCACAGCAAGGTCAACGTGGCTGGGGTTTTCGCAGTAGTTTAGGGGCAGCTAAGCAGGCAGGTGCGTGCTTTCGCTGCCAAAAGCGGGGACACATGGCCCGCGACTGCAAAGAGATTTTGTAGGAAATGCCGAGGGCGAGGCGAGTGCAGATGGTCAGGGTTAATGACAATATCAAGTTTACTGAGGATTAATTGAAAATAAATGCTGGCAGATGCAGCACGTGGACATTTTGATGGTCAGTGATGGGTGCTATACCACTTGATGGTTAAAGCATTTGACGGTATCCAATTTAAATGGTCCTCTCTTAGTGTATACCCTTGGATATTTGAATATTGTCAGAGTATGACATTTACTAAATATGTACGTTAACATAAAGAATCATGAGTGTAATAATATGTGGATTTGTTTGGCCTTAATTGATAGCCATGAGAATAAATATTGGAATAAAAACAGGGTTCGCAGTTGAAGAGCTAGAGAGACGCAAAATTGTAATTTGCGAGAGTTTTTTCCTTCTGGTGCTCCTCTCCATTAAAAAAAAAAAAAAAAAAAAAAAAAAAAAGGTGTTATACATATATATACAATTAATATATATATGTGTATCTTAGAAATTTTCGTACCATTTTATTAGGAACTTTTGCGCTACCGGAGAGTGCTGGAGAGTCACTCATGGGAGAGATCTTCTATTCGGTGTTTTGACCCCTTCGCGGCCCAGGCAGCAAAGCGAGAGAGGGAAGTCCTCAGTTGGGTGGACATATCTGGAAAACCCGTAAGTTCCCCTATGGCATGTGCACCAGACCCGCTGGATGTCATCTCAGGCAGAGTCTTGCCAGATATGCAAGCACTGCGGTTTCGAGGCCCAGACTTTTTTGTAGCTGGATCACTGAATGTGAACCCGGGACTTTGGGACGGGGTTCTTGAAGAGTCGGCGGATGGTCCGGTCGTATCTAAATGGCTGCGACAAGGGGTGGATGTTTTTGATTTTTTCCAGCCTTTCAAAGGAGAATATCGAGGCAGAAAATTCGACTCTGACGTGCCCCCACAGATGTATTTCGCAAATGCTCCGTCGTGTCGCAAGTTCGTTCCCTTCATCAATGAGACTTTGACCAAGAGACTTATAGAAGGCTCCGTGGAGCTTTTGGGGAAAACATGCGAAGTTCAGCCGCCAAGATGTGTGAATGCTTTAGCCATAGAACCCAAAAAGCCAAGACTTGTTTTGTCGATGAAGGGACCAAATCTTTGGTGTAAAGACACGCCTTTTAGATTAGTTCCCTTGGGCGAAATTGCGAAATCCATTAACAGAAATGGCTTCTTTTCAGCTACCGATGACGCACAGGGCTACAAGCAAATACTTTTGTCGGAAGCGTCTAAGACCTTCTGTGGCTTTGAGTGGGCTGGCTACTATTTTGTAGACACGACCTTACCATTTGGCTTTAAAAACAGCGCATTCATTTACACGACTATTGGTTCGTGCCTGTCAACATGGCTAAAGAACCGGGGTATCCATACCGAGGTTTGGATTGATGACCGTTTTATAGGCGAGTGTTCGGGCTCATCGGCAACACCTAAATAGGTTATCTGACATTCTCAATATGGGTCGTTTCTCCTTTGTTTCCCTTTCTAATTTGTTCGTGTCACAGTGCCCAGAAATCGAGTGTGCGTCAGATGACGGGGCTTTCGACAGGGCTCTGAGGTCGCTTTACGTGGTTTGCTACATGAAATCACATTTGGGGTTTTTCATCAACATGGAGAAAAGCCATCTGCAGCCATCCTCTAGAATGATCCATCTGGGTCTGGGGATCTGTTCAAAATCCTTGTCTTTCTGGATTCCAGAGAAGAAAAAGATATCATTTGCCGAAGTAAGAGAGAATATCCTATTGGCAGACCAGGTTGTTTTAAAGCATCTTCAACGCTTTGTCGGAAAATGCCAAAGCTTCACGTTGGTATTTCCAGCGGCATCCTTGTTCGTAAGAGAGTGTTGCACATTTATGTCAAGTTTAGACGACGTTTCCCCCACATCTCTTACACAAGAAGTGAGAGCCGAGATCCTTTTCTGGCGTTTTATAGATTCATTCTCGCAACCCATACCTTGGAAAAAGGAGCACCATGTATCAGTGGCTCTGAGTTCGGACGCGTCTGGTTTTCGTTGGGGAGGAGTTTTGGTCGGTCCGTCAGGAAACACGAGTTTTGGAGATTACTGGCCTCAAGATATTCTAGCTGTGGAAGACATTTGCTGCAAAGAGGCATTGGCTTTGTATTTTGTCTTGCAGTCGGTCTTAGACTCATTGTGGGATAGACGTGTGGACGTAACCGTTGATGCATTAGCTCTCTTCGATGTTTGGAACAGGCGCAGAGCGAAGTCGACAGCTTTGGCAAGGGTTTTAAAGTTGATTTTCGCCCTTACTTTAGAGGCTAACTTCACGCTGCAGTTGAGATGGGTCCCTTCCAAGCAAAATCCAGCGGATGCCCCGTCAAGAGAGGTGTCTAAGGCAGATGCTCGATTATCCCAGTCAATCTGGAAGCTTCTTCAGAGAGAGTTGGGTGGACCTCGAGGCTTCACATTTGACTTGATGGCACTTCCTTCAAATGTGCCGAGTGGGTTAGACGGGTCTGCACTAAAATTCTACTCAAGGGATCCGGCACCTGGATCGTCGGGGGTAAATGTCTTTGCCCAGCAGTGCCCGGTGGGCGAAGAGCTTTATGTATTCCCACCTTTTGTTCTGATAGCTTCACTCATTCGACTGTTCCAGGAATGGGGAAATGTGAAGGTAACGATGGTTGTACCGAAGCACCCTCACCCGAAGCCATGGTGGCCAAGTCTGCTTTCTTATGCACGCCAGTCAGTTCGTCTGTCAGAGGAAGGACAGATGGGGGTCATTGAGTATCCATCAGCTAATGGTTACACGCCGAATAAGAAGGGTCTGCCCTTTCAGCTTTGGGCCTTTGAATGTTTCTTTCCTCACTGCGGTAAACATATGAAGGAAAATCCGCTGCCCAAGCAAAGGAAGGTCCTTCTCATGTCAGATTCCATGTTTAAAGGCTTGAAAGGATTCAGTTGGCCCTTGAGCCTAGATGTGCAGCTGGTCACAAGAGGGGGTCATAATATCTCATCATTGTGTAGAGCAGCAGCCACCTCTTGTCGACGACATGCACAGGATGCAGTGGTTTTACATGGGGGCATCAATGATTTCAGCAGATTGGCAGATTGTCAGGAGGGGGTTCAAGAGGTCATAAGAGTGTTCAGGGCAGCTGCCGTTCGGCTTCGGGCCGAGTTTCCCGATTGCGCTTTCATCCTGTCATCGGTCTGTCAAACCAGGCTGGTGAAAGTAAACCGTTCTGTAGCCGTAGTTAACGAAGCCCTAAGAGCCATATGTAATGAGGCCGGCTGGACTTTCCTCTCCAATGATTACATTATGCAAGAGGATCTGAGGGATGATGTCCATCTGTCTTGGTGGGGCAGTCTAAAGCTTCATCGTAGGTTGCAGATGGTTTTAAGGTCAGCTCTGCACCTGCGCACTGGTCCCGACATAGCTTGTTTCCGATAGAACAACAGAACATCGATCGTAAACAAATTTACATCTTCTTTTTCAAAGCGTGACGGGGTACTGGCGAGGTTGAAGACGCTAGATGGCCTTTTGGATGGGCGGGCATACGAAAAGCAGAAAAGTAAGCTGGTGGCATCACTCGAAGAGTTTATCCAGAAACACCACGGCGAAGGATACCACCCAGAGGGAGTCGACTTACACTCAGCTACGCCCCTGGATATTGTCGCCTTCCTAGTGGACAAGGATTCTAAAGGGAGAACACAAGTCCACACCGTTGGATGTGAAAACTTGGGCAAGCATGGCTTCTTCCCTTGTGAATGCCCTCGTCATTTAGCAGCCGGAACTGTGGACTCTTACATTGGCCAGCTCAGGGGATATTACAATTCTGTAGGCAGAACCGAGATTTGGCGCTCAGGCTCGTTATGGGGTAACCCTTGCATATCACAGCGGGTTCAAAGATATCTACGGGCTATTCGACTGGAACAGGCCGAGGCACACGTCACACCAAGGCAAGCCGTCCCAATATTCTCAGATAAGTTACGCTGGTTGGCGACAGAAATAAAGAGGCGTTTGTCATCCCGAGAATGTAGCAGCTCTCCATTCATTCAGAGATACATATTGCAGAGAGATTTAGCTTTCTTTTTATGTCTTTGGTGGGCTGGTGACAGGGCAGGCGACTTAGGCAGGACCATGACATGCGAGATTTCGAGAATAGAGGGCGGCGACCTTCTCTTCAACCACACCGTAGGGAAAACGATTAGAGAGTCCTCTTCTTCGCTTATTGTCATTCCAAAGCTGGAGGGTCAAACAGATCTGGACCCAGCCGGGGCAGTTAACAGTTTGGTGGAACTGGCAAGGTCAAACGGTTACAGCCTTACAGATGGTTTTCTCTTTCGGCCTTCAACACAGGACCACAGGTATCTTGTCAACAAGCCTTTCGTAGGTGCCGCTCCCAACGTGCGTTTGCAGGCCTACTTTTCCTCTTCATCAGATCCAGACGATAGCCGGCTGAGGGCCCATGGAAACCGAGCAGGGGTGGCAGCCACCTTACGTCTCCTTGGGGCTTCAGAGGAGCAGGTCATGGATCACTGCAGATGGGCTTCCAGGAAAACCTATAAGCACTACACAGAGTTGGAAAAGATAACCAGGCGTAAACAAACAGTACAGGCACTGCGTGATGCTGTCAGTAAGGATCAAGGTCAGCAATCTTCAGCTGATCTAGCGGGATGTTTTTTCAGAGGACTTAACTCAGGCTTCAAGGTTCAGCGAGCATTTCCATAGATTTCAGATTTTATAGGCCTACTGTTGGATCTGCTTGTAGCATTGGGCTTTAAGCCTTAGTTCAGTGCTTTCCTATGGAAAGAAAGAGGAAAATATTTAGAAGAGCATGAATAGGAACAGCACATAAGATGCTTGGTGGGGGACAGGCTTCTTATTTAAGGTGTACTACTCCATTATAAGGTCTTAATCAAGTCATAATTATAATCATATTCATGTGTAGTAATTTTAAAATTGGCAAAGATCATCTGCAAAATGGCAACTTTTGAATGCAAGAGGCGGTGTATCAAGTTTGACGGGTTACGTGACATAATTATTTGAGAATGCATGCATAACAAAGAAAAGGGTACTCTTTTGTTTTATAATTAAAATACACAAATGAATATCAATTAAGCAGCATTGGTCCTCGTTTTTCCTTAAGGGTGGGGCAGGTTTTAGGGTAAGAGTTGGGATTAGAGATGGGTGGATGATGAAATGGTGAGTATGAATGGTTTGAGGGCTGGAGCTCGGTAGGGGGTTTCGGAAAGAATCGATTAAACCCATATCTAAGCCTTGTAGATTCTGGAGCCCGCAACGGAACAACAGAGCGATATAAATAGTTCACTATTTGTACCGCTCTAAACGATGAGGGCGACAGAGGAATCAAGTCATTCGTGATTCTAGCTGACCGAAGGCGTGGAGTTCGCGGGGCTGTACGTGGTAAGAGTGTAACTCATAAGAGGTGAGTAAATATATCTTGTTTGGTACGCCTAGAAGTTTGCAGCCGTGGTAAGTTGTATGGTTTTCCCACCCACCCGGCCCCTTTTCCTGGTGCGGGGTTCCGTTTCAGGTTCCGGTTTCTACTAGAATCGATTAAACCCATATCTAAGCCTTGTAGATTCTGGAGCCCGCAACGGAACAACAGAGCGATATAAATAGTTCACTATTTCATGGATTTTCCATTTCCCCCTAATCTCACCCCTGAATAAAGGCGACAAAATCAAGGCATGTTTCCCGCAAAACAAAAAGTACCTTTACGATTGCTGGAAATGTACATGAAAACATTCCGCCTGTTTGCTAACAGGATGTAATGTTTCATTTGAAATATTTTGCATAGCATTTTTTTGTGCAATAAAAATGCATTGTGCATAACCCATGTTCGTAAAGTTAGATGAAGTTTTGGCCTGGTATCTGTTTTTATAAACAAAAGTTTAGGCATATAAGCACAATCGTGTGTCCGCAGATGCTTCGACTTGCAGCCATCATTCGTTGTTGATGAAATAAAAAAACAAAAGAAGTAAAAATTCAAGATGGCTGCTGAATGCGTAAGTAAATTTGTGATTTTTTTTTTACATGATTTTTAATACAAAATATGCAGGTTAAAATTAAGAACTGCAAGGCACATGAACAAGAAAACGTCCCAAAAAGGAATATCGGAGGATGTTTAAAGGTAGAGTTGATCATTTGCAGCTATCCAAAAAGTAACTGACCAATTTATTGTTGAAAAGCTTACTTGGTTTAAAGATAGTAATGGCATTTATCAACTCCCTGTGAAATTATTCCTTCTGGCTTCTGGCATCTTTTGAAGAAAACGGAAGGCCTTTTCCAAAGATGCGTCTAAAGTCGCATCTTTGAAAAGTTTTGTTAGTAGTTGGGCTAACCTGTGAATGGCTGCGCGCAAGCGTTGACATGACGCACACGCGTTGACATGACGCACACGCATGCGTGGTTGACATTATTCGTCAGTTCGGTGCGTGACATCATGTAGCTGCAATCGGCTGAATAAGAACGTGTTCCGGATGCTGATTTCGGGCACAATATAAAATATCACATGGCAACTTTTGAATTGTAATCAAGATCCTAGAATATTGGGTTTTTTGGGAATATAGAACATTCACAGAGCTAAAACTTCATCAGGTTAGTTGTTAAGCACCCGTCTTCAAACTTTGAGCACTTTTGATGCTTCAAACGAAACAAATGCACAAATGACAAATAATCTACTCTACCTTTAAATCTTATCTTATGTTGACCACAAACTTGTTATCGCAAAAACTTCACTTTTGATTGTGACGGAAAGTAAGTACTAAGTAAGTACTGCAATCTACCATAATTTGATTTTCTTTTGGTAGGATGATCACCACACACGACACTTGTTCTCCGGGTTCATGGGGCTCCCGATAGGACAGTCGAAAGCTTCACTAAACTCCGGCGTATTGGACATGGCGCCAATGACCCTAACGAAGAGAAAGGGAAAAGCAAAGAGAGAAAAATTAATTAAATTATCGTTGTACCTACTGGAATGGTTGTTAGCAACAGTCCAAAATTTGGAAACAGCATTATTAGTTCCATGAAATTGAACTCTAATCCTTTTAGTGCATCTGACTTTTAATTTTTGGGACCTAGTCTATCATGTGAATGCAAATAAGATACAGGAATCAAGAGTCTTTTGTGTCCTTGGGCAAGTCATTTTACAACAATCCCTACTTTCAACTGGGAAGTATGATATAGGACCTTTTTATATATTAAAGATTGCCTCTTCCCCTGAATACATAACTGACACTGCATCAAAATTCCTAAATATAATGACATCACAAAGGATTCATTTAGTCGACCAATGGTCCTCCATCAACCCCGTTCAAACATTCCTTCTACCTGAATTTATCGCTGGCGTGCGTATCTGTGTAGATCACGAGTCGGGCGTGTTCAGGCGTTTGGTAGCTGCACCAGACCTGGGCCATGCCCAGGAAGAATTCCTGAGTGAAGGTCAGATTGAGTGGGAGCTGCAGGTCCTCTGGGTTGTCCTTACGCCAGTTCTGGTAGGCCATGTAGGCGAGCTTTAGCCCGCCGTTGTCGGCAATGTTCTCACCCAGGGTAAAATGGCCGTCCAGCTGTTGGATTGTAAGATTGAGAAATTACATTTCGTCTTATTTATTTATGGAACACTGTAGCCTTTTGAAATTGTAAAGTAGAAATTCATTAACAAAACATGGGCCAATTTTTTTCGGTTGATGTTTCATTCCAAAGTGAATAACGTTTGTGTTACTAGAAAAATTGCAATTGAGAAAAGGAATCTATATTTGGGGGGATGAAACTCAGAAACAGCATGGGGAATGCATCTTTAGCTTGTTCATCCCCACTACCCCAGACACACACTTACATTGAGCCCATGCTCCTCATAGCCGGAGTACTGTTTCTCCATGCAGTTGGCCCTCTCTACGTAGGCCGAGGCCGATTTGTTCTCCCACCAGTCATCCAGGTTGCCAAACTTGTCAAACTTGCGGCCTTTGTCGTCGAAGCCGTGGGTCAACTCGTGGCCCATGATCATGCCGATGGCTCCGAAATTCATGGACCTGTAGGGTAGGTAGAGAGAGATAATCTGTTGCTGTAAGATCGTTATGGAAAAACTATGGGAATTGATGAAGATGGTTTTAAAATTCAACTTTATCAATGCACAGCTGTAGTAACAACTCACCAGTCATGCAGTCTCAACTCAAATGACATGCTACTGAACTAAACTGTGATAATTACGATATTCTTTTGTCAACTTGAAATAAACTGTGACAATTAAGGCTTCTTTTTGTCAACTTTTCACTTGACTTGTGTTTAGACTTGTGATGGACTTTCGGCAGACTTAACTTTCACTTTGGCAACCACGTTCACCCTCATGTTTCATACATGCCATGTGCTGAAAAAAACTGCTACAGAAAACCATTTTGGAATAAGAACAGCATGCATTATGCCTTTCAATACATTTGGCCTTCCTATAAAAATGTAACACTTTGCAAACAGGGTACCCTGATACGCATAACGAAACGCAACCCAAAAATTCAAATCCAGGAAGGACTTTATAGCTTTACAGTGTAACTTTTGCAAGCGCAATCTGTTGCTCATTAAAATGCACATAAACGTGAAATCTGTTTTGGTTTGCTCCTCACAAACGGCATTCAAAACCTTTCGTTCGCATTGTCTGAGAAGTTACTTAGTAATTTGCAATGTTGGTTAGGGTTACCCGATCCCACAATCTGGAACCAGTTCCTGACATCGGTGATCGGTTTCTCGGGTACTCGGGTACCAGGTTCCGATGCACACTGCTAGTAAACAGAACCTTGAAATTGGATTTAATTCAGAGAAGCACAACCAAAAAGCTGGGGTAAAATACCTGTCATGAAGATGACCATACATTACAAGTCAACTCACTCACATTGGCACGTCGTTGTTGAAAAACGGCGCCTGCAGAATTCCTGAAGGGAAGACCATTTGGTTCAAGGAGGCACTGTAGTATGCATTGACCTCGGCCGGGGCCATGCTCCATCTGGGAATAGACGCCCAAGTAAGAATGACATATTCAATGCAGGCACGACAGTTGGAAGATGGTAAATTAACGATTTGAGACTTGAACAGTTGAACAAAAAACTTACCTCGTTTTGTCGACAGGAGTCCCAAAATCCTCCATAGCTTTGCGTTGGAAAAACCTCAGAATGTTGACCATGTTGTCAAACTTACTTTCAGTTGAAATATTCATCTGTAAAATGGGTACAAAAAGTTGTATTCATCATTTTTAAATCAACAACAACCCAAGATTGCTCATTAAGTAAAAAAAAAAAAGCTCATTTCCAATTTGTCAGTTACTATTATTTTTTTTTCGGGGGGGGGGGGGGGTAAGTGTATGGAATATCCGCTTAACCACAAGCATCTATGATATGTGAGCAGATCTAGTGATTAATTATGCAAAACAACACCTCAAAATTCTGAACCTCGAGATTCTGACCAATCAGCAGGCGCCTTATATCAGGTTTTCAGTAACCCGTTGTTGTATTACAAATAAGCAAACATGGCAGCAAATTGACCAATCAACAACTTAGTTCACATTTCTGCACGAAATGACGTCACAATTTCTTCAGTCGACTCTGATGGGGGGAAATAAAGTGACATATATATATCTGTAATTAATTTACAGTTGATCAATTACAAAGTCCTCATTTTAATATCCAGAACACCTGACATTTTGCATGAAATGGGACCGGGCCATTCAAGGCATTCCTAGCCATTTTATCATGTGACCTATGATGATGCTCCAAGGATTTCGGATGCAACGTTGCAAGTTGCAAAACGTAAGTTCCTGAATAAGATTTATCTGATAATTCACAATAAAACAGGTTAATTAAACAAAATATGTCACCAACAAACAATGCGAGTATAAGAAACCGACAGGCAAACATAAAAAAGTTCCAAAATAAAATAATTTTCCTACCGACCTTACTTGATAATAACGGGGCAAAAAAGCTGTCAATCTTACCCCTTCGTAGAACTCATCCAGCTTAACCGGATCCAAGATCCAATCTGGGAAGCCAATCTTGTCTTTGACGGCTCGTGCTTTCTCCTCAGCTCTGGCTCTAGTCTTATCGTCCATCCACTCCACCAGGGGCAGATTCTGTAGGAATGCCTCCCGGATATCCTCAATCAAACCCACGGCCTGAGTGAAAAACAAGACGATTGGCGAAAATGGGAAAAAGACACACCCGTAACTAGGCTTTCTGTGGTTACAGGGTTAGCACAGAATGTTTATGCTAGCGCGGTTACCACAAAATGTATGAAGTGCCCTACCTTCTTCTTAGTCACTTCCGAGTCTTTCTCTTCGGCGTACAGCGCCCCCGTCACAAAACCGAAGGTGTTGTCGACTTTGGACATGCAGCGCTCCCAGAGCGGGGGTTGGGCCGTGACCCCTCGGATGACCCTCTTGAATTCTGAGACGGCGCTCTGGAAGGGCTGGGATAGATACTTCAGAAACGGCTGGACTGCGTACCACATGGTATAGTCCGCCAGAAGCCTGAGAGAATGCAAGTTTTTGAAAATAACGAATGCATTGAATTTTGTCAAGGACCAATTATCCGGCCTCCATCGGTAACTACGGCCTTACAAGTTACCAGCATGAATTTGGACCAAATATGAGATCAGCAATCACACTCTGTTGCGCTCTGCGCAGGAGAACAATACATCCAGGAGAATACTGAGTCGATGACTAGAGGGGCCAAGCTCAATTATGAGTTGAACCCTATTTGTTATTGTTGACACAACAACCTTCCTTGTCAGTTTTAAAAAGTCACAAGGGTAAACTTACTAGATAAAAGATGAACAAAGAGATAGACTGCAGCAGGGTTTGAACCTGCAACCTTCGGATCACTGTAGTGGTGCCTTGTGAGGGACTTGTGAGGACTTGCAGGGATTTGTGAGGACTTGCAGGGATTTGTGAGGACTTACAGGGACTTGTGAGGACTTGCAGGAACTTGCAGGGATTTGTTAGGACTTGCATGGACTTGTGAAGACTTGCAGGGACTTGTGAGGACTTATAGGGACTTGTGAGGACTTGCAGGGACTTGTGAGGACTTGTGAGGACTTGCAGGGACTTGTGAGGACTTGCAGGGACTTGTGAGGACTTGCAGGGATTTGTGAGGACTTACAGGAACTTGCAGGGACTTGTGAGGACTTGCAGGGATTTGTGAGGACTTACAGGGACTTGTGAGGACTTGCAGGGATTTGTGAGGACTTACATGGACTTGTGAGGACTTGTGAGGACTTGCAGGGTCTTGTGAGGACTTATAGGGACTTGTTACGGACTCAACAACAACACTGTCCTAGTCTAGTCTCACAAGTCATGCAACCCTAGTTCTTTCTCCTACTGTACCTTGCTGGGGTTTCCATCAGGAGCTGGTTCAGCCTGCGGAAGTAGCTCGGCGTGTAGACCACCACCTCTAAGGAATTGTTGACTTTCCGCCCAAGGGTTTCCTCCATGTAAGCCTTGAGGTCCACTGTGGGGATCATGTCTATAAGTTCCTGTAAGGGCATTCGATTGTAGATGGCTACCGGATCTCGCAGTTTGTTCTTTGGCACAAACAACTGCCGGAGAAATTAATTTTAACTCGTCAGAATTTCAAATTGAGGGAGATGTCCACTAACTTGCAGAGGTAACGGTGGTTTTGGTTTAGTCTGTTGGTCTTCACAGGACCCGAAAGGTCAGCCTGTCATCCTCTGGCTGACTGAGTCACTGACTATAAATAATTAATTGGCGATTTTTTTATGGGCCCCAGTTCTTATAGAAGAACAAAAATCCATTATAAGGTGATCGGACTCACCCAACTAGTTAGAGGTATTCAACACCAACAGGAGTGTCATGGGCAGAGGGCAGAGTTTTTTATTTTTTCAAGGGAAATTTTGAGGTAAGGCGACGTTGAAAATGGCAAAATACAACGCGAAAATACGGATGGCGATCACCACGACACACCGTGAATATGCAAAACTGCATTGAATTGCATGGCATCAACTTTAAAAGAAAAATCCCATTTCCTACCAAAAGATACGGTACAACATCACCAAAATTAGGTGCATTGTTTTCACTATTTTTTTTCAAAAAGTACGTGAAATATCCACTGAGCTGAAAGTTCAACAGGTTTGGTTTTGAAGATTCTCCTTTGGATTTTGAGTGGTGTTATTATCGGAAATAAACAAAATGCATAAAAAGCAAATGAATCAGTCTACGGTGGTGTTCAGTTATGTAGAACAAGCTTTTTATCAGCTTTTTCTTTTTTTTTGGTTCAAGAAATATTGATACTGAACTCCAATTAAACAAATTGGTCAGTAACTAAAGATTATCCAAATTACTGAACACTCCTTACCTTGCTAAGTGTCCTCTCAAATTCCACGATCTCCTCTATCCTCCGCCTGGCCTCTTGTTTCATCTGAGCGTGCTCCAAGACCTCTGGCGACCCATTCAGCCTGAGCAGGGTCACCACAGTGGCACCCAGTTCAGTGTAGGCATCCACAATTTTCTGAAATCACATGAAACCATTTTTCTGTCGTCAAAATCATTCAAAAACCAGGGGAAAATAAATTCTGGAACTCTCTTTGGAAGGAAAAACCAAGTGGCATCTTTTGGGTCTATAGGCTGCACACGCAATGTGACAATACCATTTATTGTTTAGAAAAAAATCTTACATCCAATTGACTTACCGTATCATTGCTTTCATAAATCTCTGGTGCAGAGAGTCCGAGGCCAGACTGGTAAAACTAAGAGGAAAAAAAACAAGAGCTTCAGCTTATACCGACAAAAATGGAGTAAAAGTGAGACGGCAAAGTTTTATTCAGAATCACTTTCTTTAATATTCCAGAGAGAGTCACTTTACTTGGTATATCTGAAGAAACGCCCAAGACCTTGACAAAGTGCACCCTACAAAATCAGTAACGCACTTTTGCCATGTAACCTCAATCCTCCAAATTCCCCCACTTTGGCAAAGAGGATTTTGAAGGATTTAGGGTGGTTAGGGTTGATTCAACTTTTTTATCTTGACTGACCTGCAGGATATTTTCGGTGGAGTTCCTGTCGTCAGCACCAATGGCCATTGTGAACAGCACAGACAGTCTCATCTTGTGAAGCCTAACTAGCGTCTCCTTTAGGCTCCATGAGGCCTCATTCCAGTTTGAAACCGTCGTGTTGTTGTTGTCTAATAACGTCCAGCCGCCGAGCGATTCTATGAACTGCAAAATAAACAAAAGTCTCTTTAAATAATTACAAAACAACTTTCTTAACCTCTAAAGAAAAATAGCATGTGAGTTGTATTCCATTTTCAGACAGCAATCTAAAACAACATTCATGTGAAAGAAATGAAACAGCTGATGAAGTAGAGTAACTGAAATATCGGGGGAAACATTTTGTACATCTCATCAAAATATAACTGTCCCATAAGCTGTAGTACATAGCCAGGCAGGTACATTCATTAAAATGGCGATTTTTAATTTAATTGTTTTTTGTTGTTTTTTTAAACAAATGTGCCACTTTTCACCTCTACTTTTACTTATGTTTACAAAAGGTGGATATCTTCAACATTTTAGGGGGAAAACAGCCGCTGTTCCTAAGTGCTTGCGTCATCGCACAAACAACTCTGCTTACATGTACATTAGGGTTTTCGCAATGCATCTTTTATACTCCTCAAAATGAGCCTACGTTGTCCCACTGTTAACATCCATTAACTCTCCGAAAAAAATCATGCTGTGCCTGCTATATGTAGGCCTCTCAACCATACATCAGCAGCAGAGAGAAAGTGTCCCAGTTTTCTTCATTGTCCCCATGCTGTTACCGATTTGGGCTGTAACCAAATTGGAAACCATTAAGTGATTGCCATGACAACGTTGACATCAAACTGGTCGGTCCCCGCGCCGTTCCAAAATTGGACAATACAAAAATAGCAAACCATTAAGTGATTGCCATGGCAACGTTGACATCAAATTGCCCACTGCGATAACAAGATAATTTCATGGATGCTGCGGTCAAGCTGTGCAAAGCTGTTCCTGTAAAGTGTTGAAATTTTCTTGATAAAGAGCCTGGCAAAACTCACCTGTAATAATGGTCCTGCCCTGGCAATCTCTGAAAGACTCTCGTTCATACATGCACGGTAGTAGCTCTTGACTTTAAACAACGCTTCGCTGTGCACCCCTCTGAAGTTGTAACCATCTTGTTCTAAAAGCTACAAGAAAAAAGTATCATTACATCAGTGAGCTATGATATTTAGCAATGGATTGGGTAAAGGTTGGGTTAATTGGTGGCCTATAAATGCCAACAGTGGGTACCATTGGGTACTAAGTTGACTTCAAATGCCCACATGGGTAAAATGGTAGGTACTACTGGGTGGCCTGCAAACACAAAGAGTGGGCACAACTGGCCCTGGGTACTAATGGGTGGCCTACAAAATACCGACATGGTTCACAAGCATGTACATGTACTACTGGGTGGCCTGCAAATACAAACAGTGGGCACAACTGTGGGTACTAATGGGTGGCCAACAAAATACCCACATGGCCTGCAAATACAAAGAGTGGGCACAACTGGGCACTAATGGGTGGCCCACAAAGTACCCACATGGTTCACAAGCATGTACATGTTCTACTGGGTGGCCTGCAAATACAAAGAGCGGGCACAACTGGGTACTAATGGGTGGCATACAAAGTACCCACATGGTTCAGGTTTGATACCTGTAACCTTCTCAAACTGAAATCCTCACAAACTACGCATTAGTTTTACTGCATTATTCCAGTGGTTGTGGACAATTGTGGACAAATATTTCTCAAAAACTAGATAAGGAGAGGAAAATAATCCCATGCCTCCTGCTTAATTTGTGTTTTTTCCTTTTAACTGAAGGCCGAAAACCCTGCATGAGGGAAAATTAAAAATGTGAAATACTTGCCTTCCTCATGAGCTTCTTATTGTGCAGCACCGCATTCCCAAAGTAGCTCCATTTAGATTTATCCTCGGGGATATCGGTCACCTCTGCGTACTTGCCGCAAGCGTACTGATAGAAATCCTGACAGGGGTCGGCCTCCAGGTCCATGACCCTGAGAATGTTGGCCGTGGCCTGGATGCATCGCGGCTCTGTGCATGCCGTCTGTAGAGGGGAAAAAAGACACTTCTTTTAATGTCAAAGTCAGCTGCGACAGGAAACTGAGAGGATATTGAAACGGCTTTGATAGTTAAAGGTGCGCTTGCTTTTGTCACTCTTTCTTCAAAACGAAACTTGTGCTTAATTTTATTTTATTGTACATCAGATTCCTGCCACTTTCTGTCAATGGCATTTTTTTTTGGTCATCGTTCCCATCCTTTGAGCAGGTTAAAGCCCATGATTGGCAAGTTCTGAATATTGGAATATTCGGTGAAACGCAGTTTCGAACGTCGAGTACCAAATTATTGAAAATGAACAGCCCTATAAAGATTATTCGTGGGCTTTTCCAGCTGACCGCCAAATAATATGACACAATTCCTTACTGAGTGTGGTCTGTTGCAGACATAGCCCACTGTGGCTACCACCAGAGCCAGCAGCAACAGGCAGGAGACGGTTAGCAGCCCCATGCAGCGTTCGCTTCGTTGTCGGGAGAGAGTCTGCCACCGGACGGCTGGACCTGTCACAATGCCAAAGAGATCAAGTCGGTATAGTTACTGAGCTACGTATTCAAAATCATTGCTTGGCATGTTGTACAGCTTCAAGGGCTGAGAGATTGTTAGTAAGTAAACTATAACGTGTTTGCCCGAGTTGTATAACTCGAGTTTTACCCAATTTTTGCTTAAATTCCAGTACCCATGCTCGTACTCATCAACATTCGGAGTCCACTTTAACTGTACAACTGGAATGTTTTTTTTTTTTTTCTCTGTGCTGTCCAGTGGCTTGCAAAAAAAATTCACAAGCTTAGTCAGGTGGGACTTCGAACCCACGACCTCATGCTTACTCGTGCAGATGTCTTACCACTCCGCTTGCTGGGGTCAGTTGGCTGGTTCGAATCTGATGTAGCAGCGGATACCACAACCAGTCACAATTTATATGATGAATTTTGTTTTTTCCCTGTCATGGAAATGTGAACTGAAAGTCACTTACTCACCAAGTTTTACTGAAACCCGATTCCTAGTCATTTTTAAATCACACATGTGCTTGACTCACTTAAGTTCTACAACTTACAAACTTTTCTGAACGTGGCTCTGATCCAAGTGAACCGGCTATAGCAGAAAAACCAACTAGAATTTTATACCCTACCTTCTCAATATGGAGGGACCATTAACTGCATAGAAAACAGATTAAAACTCAAAGCATTCTTGACATCTTATGAAATACATAAATACCATGTACACCTACATGTAAACATGTTTCCAATTTTAAAGCCATTCATGTTTACCATTTCACAGATCACTCCAGTGAAAAAAATACTTCCTTGTCCTAATAACTCAAAGAATTTCACTTCCTCAAGGGCCCAACAAACACCTTGCATTCCATAAAACATTTGTAAAATGTTATAGACTGATTGCACATATCAAAACAATAAAATAGAAACAAAAAATAATTAACACAGCTCACACGTCATCAAATTCCTACAATTTCACTTTCAGCAATAATAAATAAGAAAAATCACAACTGGAAAGTAGGCCTATACCTTCAAATATAAAACAGGAGGACGGAAGACACAAAACACAATTAGCCCGGACTCCTCGCTGTGGTGCTGTCAACGCCACTGTACAATGTACATGTACATGTCACTTCAAAAGTGCAAGTGACTTTGTAGGCTGCCTTGATTTTAATTTCAACAGGAAATCCTTCTCAAGGAAAACAGCAACTGGTCATTTGGAAACAATCCTTTATCAGATAATGGTAATCTGGTGGGGAGTTTATTTATTGTTTATATTACAGGAAGTGCTACCTGTTACCTTGGGTTACACCATGGTTACACAACCATGTGACTTGAGAAATTTGTAGCCAAACCATAAGGTGCCAATTCCTGAGATGGTTTGCACTGCAAAGTTAACGTGGATTTTGCGCAGCGCAAATATCCAACAATGCAGCATATCATATATTTTATATCCACTGTAAATATCCGTAATAGGGTCTAGTATATAATATATGCCAACCTTTTGGTGAAATTTTAATTTTTATCACATTATTTAGGGATATTTTTTTTTCCTATATTGCTTTGAGTAAAAAAGGACAGAACTATTAACAGACTTGCCCTTTTGACAATATAAATTATAATACTGATCTTGACAAACACACATAAGACCTTCACTTATGATTCCTTGCAAAGTTTATAATCTTGCAAATTCCAAAGCAGAATCTTATCCATGTTGACAGATCAGTTTGGGTATATTTATCCAAACTTGACTTATTACAGTCATGACAGTTTCACAATCCCCATCCAGTCAAACTACAACACTAGGGTTGGTCATGTTGGTTGGAGTCTGTTGGGTGAGTAGTGCACTCATAAACTGATTTTGCTCTACATGGGGCCAGGCATACCATACCACCATAATCAGAGTCCAACAGTTTGGGTGTTGACTTTACCATATGTTGGAATTTGCAGGAGTGAGGAAGGATCTATCCTGTAGTAAATCAAGGGGGATAGGGATGTTAATTTTACACTGGTCTGGTTGAAATGGAATTACTGCTCCGTATACTAATGACTAAAATACACACATGTATTTCAAACAAATACAATTGGTCACTAAATACACTGATATTGGCACCAATTCTTGTGAGCTTTCTTTGATTTCAAAAGCAAGAGAAAATTAGAGTGATGTAAGTATCGGACAAAAACGAATACATGTATGTTGACAAGTGTTGTACGTAGAGACAGAATTTACTTTCAGATGTGGCGAGGAATAAGTAGGCATGATCATCTATGAATATGATCCACAATGATGAACATTTACAAGGAAAGACTACAAAAGATACAACATTTATGTTCAATCATTGAGCAACTGCCAACTATATCAGCAATGCGCCCATGCACTTCGATCTTGGAGGTGCTTCCACCAACTTTACATCTACACAAATCTTCATCATCATCATCACCTAGTGTGTTACACAGCAATGGAAAATATTCACAGATGTAGTTTCCAATACAACTGTCCATGTTGACTGGTAATGCACTGCCAAACTTCTCCAACAACATGTTGAAGAAAATGTAAAATTCATCTTCATCAGGGGAAAACAGATTATTAAAATATAAAAGAGTACCTCAACAAGCAGGCAGGTTATTCACAGAGAACCCGTCTTCCTAATCGATGGTCAAACGGTCAAATATTCCTCTTCCCTCACAAAGCCGATCAAAAGTAACTAGATGCTAGAACAATTCTGGAGTTTTCTTCACAGCAGTCATGCCCGAACCAGGGGCAAGGCAAGAAAGAACGGATCTCAACATCAAGGAGGAATTTGAGGGGAGAGAGAAAATAACAGCCCTTTGCACCTTGGCAGCCTGCCCCCCTGTGAGGGGTGTAACCTTGGAATTTAAGTGCCCAGTGAGCCCTGGGGGTCAACCATAAACATTTAACTACCACATGCACTCTGGAGGTAATTGATATCATGGAGCTATGCTGATATTGGCCCCATACAGGAAACAGGAAACCAAGTATGTTGTTTTAGCTGGGGAATTACTGGGGAAAAAAGAGAGAAAACCCCAAGCTCACATAATAGCTTTGTCACTCAAGTGGAATGGAGGGCAGGAGAGAGTGGATCCCCTGCCAATTGGGTGGAAATCCTCTGGGAGGTTGAGGGGGGGGGGGATTGTGGGGTTGTGCAAGGTTGGGTACGTTGGTACTATACTGGTGACCATGGGGTGACCATGGGGTGACAATGATATTTATAAGAACCTGTGGCAGTTACTTCACTCTCTCACCAGGTATTCCTCTCATACTTATGTACATAATAAATATAACCACAGGGTCTTTTACTTTCTACATACACTCTCAAATCAAAGCATGCGGGAATAAGCTTAAAGGACTGGTTCCTAGATTTTTGGGGTTGAATGAAGTCCATGGCCAATCTTTCATCTTTATAAAACCTTTTTCTTAATAATAATAATAGCAAGATTATGCCTCCACAAAGTTAGCCGACACATGACAAAATTAAAACCCTTGGTTGCAATATTGTTTTGTCTTTTAAATCCATCCAACTTCTTTCCCTTATGTATAAGTACCTGGTAAAACCACGGAGGTAGAATTCTACCTCCATGGTAAAACCATAACAATTTCTATATTTTGGCAAGGCTTCATTCAAAAATTCATTAGTTATTTATTTATTTTTTTTGGCTGTTGCCTTGCACACATTTCGGCACCAATAGTACAAATTTGCAAAATTTTAACTTTTTCGTAACAGTATCTTTGCTTTTGAGCCAATTCTAGGGATTAATTCATGCACACAGTCAAGCAGAAGCTGGAACAGGGGTGTCCTGGAGGAGGGGGTGTGACACCCCTCCCCCTCCAATTAGTAGTTTTTGTAGGCAAAATCGTCATCTCATCAGCAAACTCATATTGTAGTTGGTCTTGCATCGCCCAAGAGTTGGGAACAAAGAAAGTGCCCATGAAATCAACTTACGCATCCACTGACTGTAATCGTCGGCACTGCCCCGATTCAGCAAGGCCGCTGATTCGACATCGTTGGGATCACCTCGGCCGAACCCGCTCCAAGATGAACCATCTGTCATGAGCTCAAGGGCCGTCTCATCGGTCTCCATGGCAACCAAAGATGCTCTCCCAGCTCACAGAAGATGGAGATTCTCAGTGCTCACGGTCACATGGATCACTAGAATTTGGAAACAAATTCAACAATGTAATCTTTTTTCTTTTTTTTAATATTATTATTCACAAATAATAAAATCACGTTTGATTACACATTATACAAGCATAGATTCACAATAAATTGTGCCAAGCTCCCCCATCAATGCAAGATAAGTAGAATTATTAAAATTTGTGAACATTTGCCAAACATTCTTGACAACATAATTTCCATTAAACAAGTCTTAAGGTTAAATCATGAGTCCAATTTGTGCACAGTTCAGTGGAAAAATGAAAATGAAACAAACATTTCCATAAAACATGGCATTTTCAAGCATTGCTGCATAGCATTATACGTACATCTTCCATGAAAAGGCTGTTATGTGAAAATCAATATTTTTTTTCCAATTCAGCCAGACTAGCCAGCTAGAGATACACGTCTATTTCTTTGGTGACTGTACTTGAGGCCTTCATGGCAAATGGGAAAAAAAGCAACATCTGTTGTTGTTTTTTCACACTGTCGGAGACGACAGTAAACATGTGTGGAGGAGTCAATGCTAATGATGGACATTGAGAAAAAGAAAAAAATTCAGTAAACAGTGGACAGCACAGCTGACAATTTTTATCCTTCAAATTTCTGTTCTGTTTAATTTTAAAGGGCCCATGCAATGTAATTTTGTTTAATGCAATCCTTGAAGATGCACCTTTGTGTCCCATTTAACCTTTACAATTTTCGTTTTGCCCTTTTCTAGGGTATTTTGGTGCCTTTTTGGTTTTTGTGCTAGTGCAAATTTCCATATTCATGAGCCAAAGCGTAATGTCATTTCAGGCAGAAACTTCAATTTTACAGCTTTTTTAGCACCAAAGTTAGGATTTGGATAGTTTGCCGTCACAAACTTTTCTCACAAATGTGACTTTGGAGGCTTTTTTTTAATAGGGAAGTTTTAAGTCCAAAACCATTCTGCTGAATGATAGTCTGGTTCCAACAGGCAAAGATCCTGACGTTGAATACTAGTATTCAGGGAACCAGATGATCGATAAAGATTCGCAATGGTGTTTTTGCAATGCCGTAACAATAGCAGTTGAAAATTGCGAATGGCTGCCGTAACAAAAGGTCTCTCTCAAATGACGTCACGTCCTACAGATTGTCACATGAATCAACATTTTGGGCGTCCAATTTTTGTGACGCGCATTGGCTGCGCCATATTTTAAAGAAATTTTTCGCACATGCTTAGAACATTTTGCACACTGCGCGCACACGCACCTGGTGGCATTGAACACGCAGTTGTAATTTTCCTACGAATATGGCTGTTCACTATTAAAGGGGTCTATAGCCGGCCGGGGATTTAGCCCCATAAATGTGGCCAATTTACTGGACTACCTCCGTAAATAAAGGCCACACTTCCACCATGTACAAAAACATGTCGAACTTTGTCAAATTTAGATTTTCACATTTAGGCTTAGTTTGTAGTTTATTTTTGCTTTAGAAGCATGCTCACCCTCTTTATACTACAGGCTAATCAGAAAGTGCTGCCTTTTTCAGATGTCTGTTTTTCGTGAAATTTCATGTCGAAATTTTGATACGCAAACGCGTGTGCAAACAAATCTGGAAATTTCACAACAAAATAGACATCTGAAAAAGGCAGCACTTTCTGATTAGCCTACAAAGAGGGCGAGTATGCTTCTAAAGCAAAAAAAAATATGAAAATCAAAATTTGACAAAGTTCGACAAGTTTTTGTACATGGTGGAAGTGTGGCCTATATTTACGGAGGTAGTCCAGTAAATTGGCCACATTTTATGGGGCTATACTAGCCACTGCGTTACTTTACTGTCAAGTATATATAATAGTGTCATGACTGTTTTGTTTTTGTAAGAACTTACTTTCTGTGAAAATGAAATTAATCTAAAATTCATTTCCCAGGTTTGCGTGAGACTGTGCCAAATGTTACAAAACAAAGTCACTGGACCTCCGGGCTTCATCCCCGCATCAACCATGAAACAGACTTATTGAACCATGGAGGTAGGATGATTGAACTAAGGAATTATTCCTCCATCATGTCCATGCATCAAGTCTCAACACAACTACTCAACTCCCCCCTCGCCACGTGCCTCGCATAGTCGCATCTTGTCAAACTTCCAGGAATTAAAGGGCGCCCTCTAAAGTTAACCAAATATGGTTTGGTCCCCAGACGACATTTTGCGCATCATCAACGCTCCTTGAAAAAGTATTTTCGGCACCAGGTATAGATAAAATGGCGGCGCCCATGTGCAGAGCAGTACGCGAGAAATCTCAGAATTTTCTTCGGTTTCATGTCTTCAAAAGACCATTCTACACTGTGAAATGCTATTGCACCGATACCGGAAAGCTTCATAAATCCGGTAAATATGATTTAAACATAAAAGACTGAAAAGGTCAACCTTTTATTTAGGCCTACCTTTTCGATATTCTGACCAACATTGACCACCATTCAACCACACTGAACCAGGCACTTTGTGCACAAACGAATGTCGGACACTTCGCCCCATTTCCACGTCGCCCCATGTCACTTCGCCCCTAACCACTTCGCCCCATCCCCACTTCGCCCCATCCCCACATCGCCCCATCCCCACATCGCCCCATCCCCACTTCGCCCCATCCCCACTTCGCCCCATCCCCACTTCGCCCCAGCCGTTACATGTAAAAAAAAAAATCTCATCTATTTTTTTGGCTTAAAAAAAAACTATTTCAATAGATTCACTAATTGCTAACCAACGGAAAGAATTAGCCCATCACCAAATGAACAATTCATAACCAACCTCTCAAGCTAGGCTCTCCCCTACCGAGAAAAAAGCTTGAAGTAAAAGATCCAACTTTGTTCCCAACCCGGCTATACCAACCCGTCTCCCACTTATCTGAGAACGACAATACCTTTGACATCCTAATTTCACTCTTGGAGGAACCAATCTCATCAATGAAGTTGTAAGTCTCACATATCAGACAAATTTTGACGGAACATTTTCCTCAAGGCAGTGAGTTCCTTTGAACTCACTGACCCATACCTACGGGATTCTTTTGAATCCAGCGGCTGATGATTTTATTTAAGCCATCATTTCTCTCATCTGTGTCTCGAGCACCTCATCAGAGAGTTTGTATTTTTCCTGAGTTTCTAGAATTGGGAGCATTTATTATCTGGGGTCTTTGGCAGTTTATTTGGTCTGCACCCCTAGCCTTCCCTTTTTTATACTACATGGGGCGAAGTGGGGATGGGGCGAAGTGGGGATGGGGCGAAGCGGGGATGGGGCGAAGTGGGGATGGGGCGAAGCGGAGATGGGGCGATGTGGGGATGGGGCGAAGTGGGGATGGGGCGAAGTGGTTAGGGGCGAAGTGACATGGGGCGACGTGGAAATGGGGCGAAGCGTCCGACACCCGCACAAACCTATCCAGAATGTCCAGCTACTAATTGACCCTGCCAATATTAACCAATCAAAATCAAGATGTCAGTTAAAAAGCTCACGCCTCCAACACTGGTGCGCAGAAATGAATTGAAATTAAACAATTTCTTATTTTTATATCTAAAAAATTTAAAAACTGACCTCTTTATTTACAAAAAATACAAATTATACATGTTTTAACTTGTAGCCAAAAATTGATGTGACGTCATGATGCAGTCATCGTGGGGTCATGTGGTGTCATCTTAAAGATATGTATATTAAAGTCGTACACCAAGAGAACTACAACAAGTGAAATTGGGTTGACATTGGGTATGTCTTTAAATAGGGACGTTTTTCAAGTGAAAATTTAGATGATGACTTCATCTTAAAGGCGCAAATTTTAAAATAAGCATCAATTCATTAAAAAAAAAATCATGATGCAGAAAAGCCCTATCATGCCTATGTTAGTTATGTAAAAGGTATTAAGTTAGGACATTGATTGTTCCTACCGGACGACAAAAATCACTGTTTGTGTTATTTGACACACCACATTAGCCGGGATGTTGAAAAGCAACAGGAATATGGTGGAGAGAGGGCAGGGTTTTGAATTTAGGCTCGAGGGAAAAGTTTAATATGCGATAAAATGATGACATGAGTCATGAAAGTCCATGATGACAAACTAGGTATTCTCATTTCTTTTCTTTTCTTTTCTTTTTCTTTCCAAATGTGTTCATTGATTAGATAAGAGCCTTTCCAAGAGTCTTTTCTGGCAGAACATCCAAGCTCGTAAGGATGAGGCATCCAGGAGTATTCTCGTCAGATTGTCTGGGAAAACGTCCGAAGAGAGTCTACTGCAGTACTGTACCAGCCACGGCAAAGTGCAGCATTACTTCACATATAGCCAGCAGCAGCACGTAAGCTCATGCATACTATACCACATTGCAATCATGAGGATAATGAGGTTGATAGGAATAGATTGTTCAAGGATATTTAGAGTAGAATTTGAAAATATAACCTCTTAATTTGTTTTTCTTTTCTTTAGGAGCGTTATGCACTGGTGGAGTTCAAGACATCAGACGGCATCGATCTCATCTTGGATCGGGCCTACACGCCCAACTCCAACGGCCACGTCCAGTCACGATTCCTCAGTTTCTCCGGGTCAAGCCAGGGCAGCGATAAGGTGTCGACCTCACAGTGTCAGCAGGTCAACAAGGACATCGGCTTTGCTGAACTTTACAAGGACCTCGCTGTAGCAGAATCCGTAAGTTGTTCCTTAAAAATGACATTATCTCTTCAAGGTAATGATTCTTCAACTCAGTGGGGATTTTTGTTGGTTTCCCAAAAATTCATTTTAGCTTTTCCTCCCATTCCAAAAACTGAACATTTGATCATTGTCTGCTCTCTATAGGTCTCTACATGCTTATGACTACAGTCAGGTTCCCAGTCACTCTGAAAATCAGGGAAACCTTGAAAAGTAGTTTCCATTTTTCCAATCATTTTTCCATTTTCCCAAACATCTATCATGGAAAACTTAGGGAATTTGACGGTGACCCAGAAGGGAAAGGTTTTGAGCCAAAGTGTGTCGTATGCTTGTCCTGGGCCATGTGTCCAATTTGTGTCCATTGACTGACTGGCTATGGTGGCTTTCTTTAAGTGTTTATGCAGTGTGAATATTATCAGTATCTTAGTTGCTTTGCTGCAACCATCTCTTGACTCCTGGTAACCTGGTTAAAGTGAAAATATTTCTCAAGGAATTAAAAAAAAATTCTCAGAAAAATGTCAGGGAAAACTCAGGGATTTTGTTGTCATAAAATGGTGGGAAACCTGTGCAGTACCGTATGCGCTTATGATGAATCTCTATTTTCATTACCAGAAATTCAAATATATTAGTAAAATGTTCAAAAAGGAATAAGAATGCTTGGAGTTTTTGAGATGCAGGCTTATTCTCATCCTTTCTAACAGGTCTCAGACCAGCTGGGCATTCTTACGTCCAAGTTAGAGCTCAGGGATCCGGAGACACGCCTTCGCTTCGTGGTCTGTTCTCTGATTGAGGAGGCTTTCCAACAGATCCTTCCCGACTGCTCCCTTCACCTCTTTGGCTCCTCTGTCAACAGCTTTGGACGCCGCAGCTGCGACATGGACATGTTCCTAGAGCGCAACACCGCGCAGGGAGTCGTGCCCAAGAAGAAAGTAAGTGAGGAGGGGGAGGGGGGGGGGGGAATAATTTCATAGACCATCAGAATAACCTGTGCGCCCCAGTAATGGTGGCAGTACTGTGCCATCTGATGTAATGGTGGGGGGGGGGGGGGGGGGCGTTGTTTTGCACTTAATAGTCATCCCGTTGCTTAGCCAAAATAGTTAACCAACTGAAATAGTCTACCCAGCCAAAATATTAAGAGGTATATTATTGTTTGTGACTGGTTTTCAAGGTGACTTTTAGCTCAGCGTTATTTTTGCAGAATAGCTTAATGAAATTGGCTCTGGATGAGCTGATGGCCGTTTGTTTTCCTCATGATCTGCAGGGAAAAGGTCAATACAAGCTAGGCTATGACGGACCGTCCGCCGAGTCCGAGCGTGCTGCTGCACAGGCCACCCTCTTCACGCTAGCCTCCTTCCTGGAGAAACAAGTCCCCCACTGCATGTCCGTGTCCAGGATACTGCAGGCCAAGTGCCCCCTGGTCAAGTTCCGTCACTACGCCACGGGCCTGTCATGTGACCTAACTGCAGACAACAGGTGACTAGTAAAAAATCAGACTGTTTGTGTTTAATCAAAATTTGAGTTAGGATGTTGCACTTTCAAAATTGACCCAAAAAAAACGAACATAAATTTACATAGTCTCCATCATACCAAATCCAAACTGATTGCAGTTCCCATGCTATATCAGATTTTGACCAGCCAGCCAACCTTGGCAAGCTTGGTGGCAAGCAGAAGGTCATGGGTTCGAATCCCACCTGAATAGCTTTCTGAATTTTCTTCTTGCAAGCCCTGAAATGACATTCGTGAAAGGCAAACCTGTTACTGACTAGGAAACAGTTCCCCTCAACTTTTGCACTTGAGAGAGGAGAAGAGTTTCATGCTACACTCATTTGAAGTTATTCCTAACTCCCTCGGCATTTTGAGCTCGGAAGTTTCCACGGAACGATGTGCAATAAACCAGTGGCAACACTCTTTGAACATTTTAAACAAAGTTCAACCCACAGCACCCATGGGATATTTCAAATTTCACTCATCCATCATCTAGTAATGGTGAAGGAGATTGCAGATTAGGAGTTCAGGATCATTTCTCTGAATCATTAATTAGATATCATGGTAATAATTGGCTCTGTCAGGGCCAACACACTTTCATGTACACTGTACTTACCCCGTGTTTTAGAGTAGTGGCTGCACTGTACTGTCCCAAATCTGCCAAAATGTTGCAAAACCAGGTCATAGTTGCCGCACATAGTCAAAAGTATGCTGGAATTTGGCTGTGGTGTAACAGACATGTTCTATTTTTCATCGATATTTCACCTTTTTCCCCCTAATGTGACTTGCAGCATCGCCCTGAAGAGCAGTGAACTCCTCTACGTCTTCAGTCAGCTGGATCCCAGAGTGCGCCCTCTAGTGTTCATGATCCGCCACTGGGCGCGGCACCACGGCATCACGAACCGCGCCCCCGGCTACTGGATCACCAATTTCCCCCTGACGTTAGTAGTGGTCTTCTTCCTGCAGACACGACCGCAGCCAGTCGTGCCGTCCTTTGAGTATCTTCGTTCTCTTGCAGGTAAAAGGGTAGGGGTGTTGAGGCCTCTTTTTTGCATCATGTGGGATATTTTGCAGATGAATACAAAAACTTAAAACATTTGTGCAATGTTATTTCAATGTAAGGCACGTTTGGACACTCAATTTTCGAGATGCCTGACTCTATTTAAAGAGACTTTTTTTAAATTCCTTAACCCTATTTGACCCTTCGTGTTTGTCAATCAAACTATTTGACCAATTAGAACATGACATTTGGTCATGTGACAGCAGAAGGCGGGTCAAACTCTGTCACAAGCACTGTGAAAATGTACAAAGCCATAGGCAGGCGTGGCTAATGGCCAAATTGAGAACAGTCCATTCCTAATGTTTGCGATTTTTTTTCCCAAGAACCTCCGAGAATTCTCAAGTATCCACCACTGCGCTGGCAACCCAATTGACCTCCTTTTGTTTGATCAGTCACAGTCAGTCAAAAAATCAATCCTGTTCCCCTGCCATGTCTGTTTCATACACAGGCTAGTCACCAACAGTCAGATCATATTTCTTGTAGGCACTGTGACTAGTCAAATTCCATCAACAGACAAAAACAGGTGACCGGTAGGCACAGCTGGCTTACCAATCTCCTACAGTCAAAGCATAGCTGTATCAAGTTTCATAACAATCACAGCCAGTCAATCCTGCTTTATGAAGGCAGGGAGCACTGAACTGTTAAAAACAGTCACCTGATGTATTTTGACTGCTGAGCTGGCCTTATTGAGATTGCCAGCCAGAGAGGGAGGGTTAATTCCCGTGACTTGCAGCCTTTATTTTTGCCATCAGATGAATCAGACACCAGTGTTGTTGATGGAACTGACTGCACTATTCCTGGAGACCTCAGTAAAGTTGAACCATCACAGAACACACAGACCACAGGTAAAAGACAAAACATCGGAAATCGACAAACATCAAAACCAGAGGCATCGGTATATAGAGAACTAACAGCATTATGTGCAACTGATGAGTAATAGAGTATTATACAATGAACATTGATTTGGTCAAGCACTCATAAATGTCTCTGCTCAATATTTTTCAAAAAATAATCCTCGACAATTTTCATTTGTAATGTAAATTTTCCATTCCTCATTTCTATTAGCGGAGCTGCTGCAAGAATTCTTCAGTTTTTGCACCACGTTTGATTTTGAGTCCAGCTCCCTCTCAGTTCGCACCGGACAGCTAGGTCCCAAACCGGACCGCTTCTCACCCCTCCATATGGAGAACCCCTTCCAAACCCAGCTGAACATGTGCAAGAACGTCTCGGAGGGCTTGCTGAAGGAAATCCAGAAGCACTCCCAGTATGCACTGCAGATGATGGACGTCCCAGGGTTCCACGGTCCGGGGTCAGAGTCAGAGGTCATACACCCCTGGGGCATCGGCGCCTTGCTTGCCCCACTCAAAATCCGACGGAACGGAAAGCGTTCTGCCTTGGCGAACAGTAACATTGGGGACGTGCTGCGAGGACTGTCCCGGAAATCACCCAAAACAGCCACGAAGAAGCAGCCGAGACACAACTCGAATGAAAACAATTCCACCGTAACCCTGTCCAGCACTCCACCGGATCTGAGGGATTTCAGGGTCAACTTAGAAGAGCAAACCGGGACTAGAACTGTGCGCGTGGAAAACATGACAGCCCTTGACGCGAGTCTTCAAGCCGATGGCTCAAGGACTCCGCCCGAAGATGACAGAACGTGGAAAGTGCGTCAACTTGATTTGGTCAACTTATCGCACACTGCCAAGGATGGTTGTGAACCTGCCCCTAGTGAGCAAGATGTGGATGACAACGAGGCTTCTGCACTAAGTAATGGCACTTCTTACTCAGGTACAGACAGCACACAAACTGAAGTTGCGGGAAAGACGCAAATACCAAAGCTACAGATTACCATCGATAGTGTCAGAAGGCGACTGTTTGACGGGCGACACACGAAAACAACCAAAGGGATCGTTCACTGAGTTAATATTTCAATTTGATTTTTACTATTCAATTTTTTTTTTTAATAGACCTTATGCATAGCGGCCATCTTTGAGGGCATCTTTGGTTATTTTAATTCAGTAACAATGAATGCACAAACGGTTCACTCATACATGCCCCTCTCAGATGGCTGCTATGTATAAGATCTACAGTGGGCTTAACATAAACGTGCCATAGCAGAGACAGAGTTATTCAAGAGACTAACTTGGGCACATATCCGTTCAAGCATGGCAGCAGCAATATGCAAGTATTCAAGTCCATCACAAGTTCTTACTAGTCCATCACAAGCCAGTCACAAGTCCATCACAAGCCAGTCACAAGTCCATCACAAGCCAGTCACAAGTCCATCACAAGCCAGTCACTAGTCCATCACAAGCCAGTCACAAGTCCATCACAAGCCAGTCACAAGTCCATCACAAGCCAGTCACAAGTCCATCACAAGCCAATCACAAGTCCATCACAAGTCCAACACAAGCCAGTCACAAGTCCATCACAAGCCAATCACAAGCCAATTACAAGCCAATCACAAGCCGTCCAGTCCTAACTCAAGTCACAATCTGTTAAAATTTGACACCGAAATTCCTTTGTTGTTCATCCCATTACTTGTGCATGGGCTTGTGATGTTCTGGTAACCAGACTTGTGATATACTCGACAAAAAAACTGTGATCTGTAAGTAAATGCAATTAATTTAGTCCCTCCCCATAGTCAGACAAGTGCCCACAAGCAATGCTGCATGAGTTGGTCCTTATCCCTGCGACCAAGCGTTTTCCCTTTGTTAAAAACTTGGTTAGATTGTTTGGCTCCTATTGGCTCTGTGCATGGTTTAAAGAGGGCGCTGTTTAAATAGCCACAAGGACAAGTGGTTGTAACATTTCACTGGTGAACTTGCGAGTTTATTTCTTTATATTTTAAACACCGATGCATACCAGGGAAGGGGGGGGGGGGAATTACCCAATCAACCAGAGTGAGTTTATAGAGTTGGTTCCCTGTCCATCAAACATCCCAAGCATATGAAAAGATGAGTGGGAACCAGTTAAGAACGAACACTGGTTCCGCTGGTTTGCACCTATTTAAATCTAAACACTGATGAATACCGGGTGAATTTATATAGTTGGTTCCCGGTCCATCAAACATCCCAAGCATTTGAAAGGACGAGTGGGAACCAGTTAAGAATGAACACTGGTTCCACTGATTTGCATGTGCTATTGTCAGCCATTTGAAGTTGGTATTATCGCTGCATGGAAAAAAGTGTGCAACATGAAGAAAAATGCACTCTTTTCACAACTTAGTAATTGGGGGACTTGTATATGGAGCTAGCTTTACGATCAAACAAAATAAAACCACACAAAACCAGTTAAACCATCCATCATTGAACTTCTTGTCTCGTTTTTTTTTTTTTAATTTTAATTATTTACACTTAAATGAACCTCCATCCCACCAAAGAAATAAAATACAGATGTGCATTGACAGCTTTCATTAAAACATTACAATGAAGTCTTATCTCATGTCTCTGAGATATCATCTACTGAGAAAATTACATCAGGCATAATTTAAATGCATTTGGATTTTTAATGAAAAGATCGGTTGCTGCAAATCTGGGATAAATCTTCAAGATTTCTCTTCAAAATGATTTCAAAAACTAACAAAAAAGAATAATGCTTGTTTCATTCTGACACTATTTACATGTGAAAGAGTTTGGAAAATATTTTGTTTATATCACAAGAGAAATTTTCGCCAATTTAAAGAGGGTTTTTTTTTTTGGGGGGGGGGGGACCTGAAAGTGAAGAGTTTGTCAAAACCCGATATACGCCATTTAGTTCGCTTTTAGAATCCTGCTCTCTCCTGTCTGCCCATAAGCAATTTCGACAGCTGTTATATACTTAAACACAACTTAAAGGGAAAATACAACATTTGCAAACATCAAAAAATAAAACTACCAAATCATTTTGAAATACCTTGCTGGACTGTTAGTGAATGACAGTGTAAAGCATCCTGTAAAATCATGGCACCTGGTATACTGTCATTTTCAAGAAAAGTGGTATTTTGTATCAATTTCCAACGCTGATCGGCCGATCAGCGTTGGAAACAACTGGCTTTTTTTCAAATACTGGCCCCAATTGACCATCACACTTGTTTGCAATCGATTACAAACCTATGAACGGGTACGAGCCAGCTAGACTGGTTCCCTGACCTTACAATTCCCCAATGTATGTTAAAGGCTCTGTTTCTTCTTATATGGAGTCAGGGAACCAGACTACAGGAAAATGATCGTTTTTCTTGGTTTTTATAGCATTTTCAAACACAAAACCTCAAAAAAGTCAGTGTAACTATATTTGCTATATATTTCCAACCCCCCAATTCCATCCATTTATGAACATTACAGCAAAAGCAAATGATGTATATTCCCTTTAATATAATAAAGCGAATAATGAAGCTTAGATACAGCTATTGCACAGTTTTTCTTCCTTAAAAGTTTCATCACGGTGCAAACTCTTCACCTTTTTCAAATGGATACGTCACGTTTTGGAAATAACCTCTTCAAGTGCAGTTTCTTTGTCCCGTGTTCGCATATACACCTGAATTTTTTCAGAGTGACTTTACAAGATAATGAATAGACCTCACTTTAAAATTATGCAATGTTTAAATCTTCCCCCCAAAATGCTACTTCTCTGCACTCTTTATCCTGGTTTTTTTCCACTGAGCCCCAGTTTTCTACCAAAATAAAAATTGCACAGCTCTTTTTCCCCCTCTAGGTATGCTCCTGAAATCATCAGCATCCTAAAAAACTTTCATGAAATGACTGCTTTTTTAATTTTAAAACTCAAAAGTCAACAAAAAATGCATATATTTTTTTTAATTGAAGAAAGTTAATTTTTTTGTGCTGTGAGACACGTCCAAAAATGAATTTTTAATATGCCTGAAGTTGGATTAAACAATTTAAAAAAAGGTTAAAATGCGTGACTACTAGGGACAATACATGTATAACATAAAGTGAGCCCGATTCATATTTTTATTGCATTATGCAGGCAGGTCATTCTATAAATTTGGGGTCTTTTTTTTCCTGTCTCTGTTACATCTGACATCTATGATTTTATAATTCTCATGCACTCCTTAATGCAGTCATCCTCCAAGAATGATTATGAATAGCAAATTACCTACCCAACAAATAAAAAATTGTTTGAAGTCACTCTTAATGATACTTGAATGGCAAAGTACAAAGTACCAAGGTAACAGGGACGGGAAAATGCCACACTTTACTTTGGTCCACAAATTTATAGAATGACCAAGATATTTTTTTCTTCAATATTTAATATAACTTCAACATTATTTTCATGATGCCAAACAAAATTAAATTAAAAAAACAGTCCGCTTCGTACAACAGTATCTGGGAAGCGTTAATACAAAAGCTTCCTTGCAATGACTAGGATCGGGCTTGTTATTGGGTTTCGACTCTTTACATACGATGAACCATTAAACAACAATCCGGGCATGTTGTAAATTCTATCACGAGGGCCCTCTTCAATGGCGAAAGCATTGTGCTAGCTACTGTTCAGATAATCCATCACGGGGTAGTTTGAAGGGGGCCTTGTGAATATACAGTGGTAGCGTGGCCAGATTCGTCTATACATTATCAGCCCAACTACAGTAACAAGTTGGCTCAAACGCCACAGTGCATTGTGTTAATTTCGTCTGATAATTTCTATTTTGCAATTAATTCTATTCTCAATTAGTTAAGAGGAATGAGATTATATAAGGACTGAGATTTTATCTGAAAATGGAAAGAGTCATTCGGAGCTGTAGATGCAAAATGACCTACTTGGATGCAGCCGAAAAGCCGGTTTATACTTTCAAGCACAAATTTCAGAGGAAAGCAAATTTGTTAGGGTGATGGCAAAAGGTCCCATTGATAGATACTACTGTTAAAAATAGAATCTTCGTTTGCTTTTGTTTGGCTTACACTTTGTATGAACTGGCCTTAATGGATCAGGCCAGATATTGTAGATAATATTTGCAACCAATTCCCTTCAAATGACATCTCAGGTCAAGGGTCAGGGTTCACTTTGTGACGATGCGCAAGGTTACAGTTCAGGGGTCAATCTTTGGATCACAAACTGCCCGGACATCTAGTTCCACCCCAGAGGTCCTCTGAGGTTGAAACTGTGGTGAAATGTTCAACGCAAAATGACCTCAAAGATCAAGGGTCATTTTTTTCCCCCGTACTCATTTTCTGAACTATCCCGCCGTCATCTCTAAATCGTAACCCATTTCGCCAGATGTGAGAAACTCAAAAGTGAATGGATTCCTGAAGACCTGAAGTTATCAGTAAATCACACTCTGAGCGGTTAGGTCTGGATGACCTCTGAGGTCAGAGGTTAGAGTTCACAATCTTATTTGCCTTGGAAGAGGTCGCCAATCTCTTCGGCCGTCAGCGTCTCGTAGCGCAGCAGGGCCTCGGCTAGCTGCTTGTGTTCCTTGGAGTGGGTCTTCAGGAGAGATTTGGCTCGCTCATATGAATCCTGTTGGTAAATTAATTTTAAAAAATAAAAAACGATTCAAATAGGTTGTGGACTTGATGTTGCTTGAAAGTTTTAATACAAAGAATGTATCCTGCTGATGTTGTGGGTCTCGAGTCTGTCTTGAGTGGCAATTTCAGTAACTCAGACTGGACTCGAGTCACATCTTTAAAAGACTCGCACTCGATCATCATGACTGGGACTTGACACTGTGACTGGTGACTTATTGACTGGCGAGTTATTTAAAATTTTATTTAACCAAAACTTACTGTTTAAAGATATAATTTGGATGCTAATTTTTCGAAAATAACGTTAACCTCATGAACCATACCATACCACTCTCCAGGTGGTGTTGCAAATGATATTCTTCCCGTGACAGGGCATCATATACATATCGCTTTTCATGTATGTGTGTCCGTGTTCATGGAAATCCATTCCATACAAATGTCACTCAAGACTCGGGACATGAAACAAATAACTTGTGACTCAGACTCAACAAACATGACTCAAAGACTAAAGTGACTCAACTACAACACTGGTGGCCACACAGCAATGGATCTGAAGAGTTTAGAAAAGACCCTGTGCAAACATTTTTCAACAATCAAATTTCTTCTCTCCGTGTTCATAACTCCCCATCCTGCTAACTCACCTTGAGTAAGACTCTGATCTCGCTCTCAATGAGTGACTGAGTCTCAGGGCTGGGTTTCTGTCCGGTTCCCATGCTCATCTCATCTGCATTACTGTAGGTCATCACTCCAAGCTGCCAAGACCAAAAATAGAGTCAGACGATTCATGATTACAAAATTGCAACAGCCAGTGGCGTCTGCAGCAATAAGTCAATCTTCCTTCTTTTGTTCTTATTGTTCGGACTTCAATTTTTCTCAACATGTCCCATAAGTTTTGTACATGAAAACCTCCTGAGAACTTGGCTCATGTCCTCTAGGATATTGTTATTGCGGGTAGCCCACTGTCCCAAGTCCACATAGTAGTGAAGGATAACATGATCATCCTGACCAGACCATTTTGCAAAATGCGTATACACAGGCAAAAATACCAGTTACCACATTCACTTTCCGATCAAACACTCGCTCTCTCATTCTGGGACACTTTCAGCAGACAACGTTGCTACTCAAAGTTACTATCAATTCTACCAATTAAGACACAGAAAAATAGATGACAAAGAAGACAACACTATGAAATATTTGTGGTTTTTGCCTTGAAAATTTTGGGGGTATTGCTATTTCACCTTTTGAAAGGAAGAAGTTTGCAATTAATCAAACCCAAAGCGTAACCAAATAACCGACTCAATCATTCATTAATCGAATAATCATAGCAGGCCAACCCAGAACATACTGATCTGGAGATTAGCTTAACCTTTTAGTCCCCGTACCGCCCGGAACCGCCCTGCCTATAACTCACTATACCGCCCAAAACCGCCCAAGCACTCAATGGCTTTACTGATTCTTCAGTAAATAAACACAATGTAATACCATGTACTAAAGTTAACAGCTAAACAAGGTTTCACAATTAAACTTTGAACAAAAATTCTGTCAGTTGTGAAATTTGACGGCCTGAACATTTTAAGTCCTAGGATCTCACCTTCTCACTCATGCCAAATTTGGTGACCATGAGGCGGGCGATGCGGGTGGCTTGCTCAAAGTCACTGGAGGCCCCCGTGGTGATGTTCTCTGTGCCGAAGATGATCTCCTCGGCCACGCGGCCCCCCATGCAGACATCCATCTGGGCCATCAGCTGCGACTTGGTCTCGTTCCACTGGTCCTTGTCTGGTAGAAGCGACACCTGGAAACAAAAAGTCAATACAAAAGTTGGCCAGGGGGCTCGTCTTTTTCAGGGTTCCACTTCCCAGCAATTCATGAAACAAATTTCCCTGAGTTTTCCCTGATATTTCCTCGACAAATTTCCAAAATTCCACGAGAAATGTATTCACTCTAACTCTAAAGGTTGCTGGGAAGTCAAGAGAGGGTGTAGCACAGCCAATTGTGATGCAATCAGGCTAAATGAGTCGTTTGTCGGGAACTTTCATTTGGAGATTCAGGCCAAAATAGGGCCACTTCATCACATCACTTCATCACATCTCTTGGTGTTCCGACTTCCATAATTTTTGAACTAAAGATGATACCAGCATGCGGTTTTCACAGCAGTAATGCTGAGATTGTGCTCTTTTCATATCTGTAAAAAAAAAAAAAATTACCAGGGTCGACAAACAACTCATGAATTTAGCTTGATCGCATCACAATTGTTATTGTCTGGAGAAGTGTGTGCAATATTCACACTGCATAAATGCTAAAAAGCCACCTTAGCCAGTCAGTCAATGGACACAACATGGACCCGTGGCGCAAGACGCACATAGGCCAAACTGGCAAAAAATCTTTCCTTTCTGGGTCACTTTCAAATTCCCAGAGTTTTCACTAATCAGTTAAAATTGTGAAGAATGAGAAAGGTTACTTAGGCCAAAAAAAAAGAATAGTTCTGCTTCCGGTTACCCGACCGACCCTATTTTTAGGCTGCGACCCTAAAAATTTTATCGGCAATTCAAAAAAAAAAAAAAAAAAAAAAAAAGATTGAATAAATAAAAATAAAAACCTTATGTCTTGTCTGTCTTCACAAAATACCTCTCAACAACCCTTTTGCATCAAAAAATGCTTGTATTTATTGTTTTCTTACTTACATTCGCAATTTTTTCAAAAGAAACCTCCGTTATTTTTACAAATTCGCTGCACGATTCAACTACTTCGCAATTCGATGTCTATAATCACGTGCGTAATAAGCGCAATGCGGCGACGACTGGTTCCCGCCGCGCCGCGCAGGAGCCAATTATGAAAATGCGGTAACTAGTCTGTGCACGGCTATGCGATGTTAGCGCTAGCATGGCTATGCAGGCGCAGGCACGTGCTCTGTCAACTGGTCGAAATCGACATCGTAAAAATGCTGAGAAAGACATCGTAAAAATGCCAAGAAAACACCGATGGAGAAAGAACATTTTTGCAAGTTAATTCACAGATTTGATCTAGCTTGTCTGTGTATGTATTTTCCGTGTTCAAGAGTTCATTTTGAGATCGCACTACTCGTATTTGGAGTGATACAATGCAGCGTGTTTCCTGAAATGTTCGACCCGTTGGCCGCGGGCCACACATGTACAAATGTACATGTACAGTGCATCACACACTTCGGAGTTTTGGCCAGCTCCCGTTCTTGACTAGCGTTGTGCCTATGGTGCGAACGACCTGAATTTCCCACAATTTTTTTTACGAATTATCGAACTTAAATAAATTGACAATAATTAAGGTAGGTTTTATTCACTTTTTGTGGCCATTTTGTGTATAGCTTTCGTAGTGCAATAGAAATAGTTCAGGCTAAAACTTCGCATATAATTGAATACCCCATTCAATCTGCATAAAAAAAATTGGCAAAAAAAAAAAAATTTCCGACCGACCGACCCTATTTTTGAAAGACATGTAATCGGAAGCAGAACTATTTTTTTTTTGGGCCTTACGTGACCCAGCGTTGGTCCCCGGGGCATGATGGTAGCCTTGTTGATGTTCTGGGCTCCTTTGGTGTAGTACGCGACCAGCGCGTGCCCGCCCTCATGGTACGCCGTGATCTTGCGACTGTGATCGTCGACCTCTGCACTTTTCCTCTCCGGGCCTTTGAGAAAGAAGAAAATAAACACGATGGTCAAAATCAATTTCAAAATTCTTGTATATATAAATATTTAAAAAAAAGAGTTTTCAAAAATTCCTTTTGTACTGAAGGAGTTTGAACCCAGCTTGTAGTCCCTGTTATCAACACAAACGGTCGTTTGACGGTACAGTTTTCCTGGATTCACAATGTAATACAATGTAGCACAATGTAATACAATGTATTGACGCTAATTTGTAAAAATGAAAATGGAGACAAATTCTGTGTAAAATTCAGTACAAAACCTAATAATATTTTAACAGTGCTGTTCTTGTAGTCTGGTTCCCTGACCCTACTTCAAACGAAACGGAGCAATTTATAGACGTTGGGGAATTTTCCGGTCAGGGAACCAGAATAGCTGGCTTGCACCCGTTTACAGATGTGTAACCAACTGCAAACAAAATGTGGACCTCAATTTTTTTTTCCAACGATGGTCGGCTGAGCGAACTAAATCTATAATAATACACATCCCTGGCAGACTAAATTCACACCTACCCATGAGTATCTTGTCTTTAGCATACTCCAAGTCCTTCATGTCGATGGCATCCTTGCCTAGTCTGGCGGCTTGAAGTGCGGCCTGGTTCACCAGATTCTCAATATCGGCTCCTGTAAACACAAGATATTTGGATGACTTTGCAGTCACTGGTGACCGGCAAACTACACTGACCAAAACGTTGAGTTGTCAACCCGTTCTCTCAGAAGTCAAAAAAGGGAATTTTATTTCACATGACGTGACTGCAAATTCACTTGTTTTTGACAACTTCACCATTCAAACCTTCAAATCTGGTCTGAATTTTTTTCTCTAGAAATTACACCAATTGTATGTGTTTACCAGTGCGGCTTTCAAAAGATTTTTGAGACGTCATTATTTTTTTTTTCAGAAGCAAATAAAGTCCAAAAATAGAATTTGTACAGATATATTACTTTGGAGTAAAATTTTAACTAAATTAAAAATTATGTTTCAGAGAGATTCATTTCAAAACCCAACATCAAAGCATAGCATTATTTCCCACATTTAAGTTAGACTCAAATTGGATATTCCATCATATAAGCATCAGCGTGAGGTCTCAAGAGTATCGTAACTACAACACCGCCATGTTTCACAGTTACAAACTTCTTGGAGGAAATGCTGATCTTCTGCAGCATGTCATGTGAATCTCTCCTTATTTTGCCGGCATGCCTTGGATGTGGATTGCCTTACCTGTGAAGCCAACGGTTCCTCTTGCCAGGGCATCCAGTTCAACCTCTGCAAATAAAAACAAATAGTCACCAGGGTTCAACATGAAGAGACAAAGAGCTGTTGTTTTCTATCAATTCAACTTGGATTCAGGATCTTAGAGTAGCTGGGTTTCGTTGAGATGGGCTGTGCTTTAAAGGGACATTGCATCCTGGAATGCGCCCTGCTGACCTATCGCCGTTTGCGACTTAGCCACGCCCCTCAGAAAACCCTATGGGGAATTTTGTACACTAAGTTTGTTTGTCTCAGAATTTGCACGCTCTGCGTCCATTTTGTATATCATGTAATTGGACAATTTTTGGAGGACTTGTGATGGACTTGTGAGGACTTGTGATGGACTTAACTACAACATTGCTTTATGACTGACATTGTAGCTCATGACTCGCGACTTGTACTTACCATCGCTCATGGTGACCTTTGACATATAAAGCTTCAGGATGTCCGTTCGACCTTTGACATCTGGCTTGGGGACGACCACTTTCATGTCAAACCGACCTGGTCTTGTCAAAGCTCTGTCGATAAAATGATCCCAAAAGCTCAGCAATGAATATTGATATATTTATTCTTGGTGAAAACACTACTGTTTTTTTCAATGATAATAACATACCAAGGCCTCAAAAGCGCTTCGCAATTTTAAGCCGTGTTCATCAGGCAATTTCTGTATCAGTCCTATAGCAATGCAATCTGTTCTGTAAGAGTCAGGGGTGAGATTGGGAGGAAATGAAAAAATCCACAAAAAAATTGGCAGAGGGTGTGAGGGTCACAGAGGCCCCAGAGCAAAATACAGGATCTGCATGATTTGTATATGTTGGGATAAATTTGCCTCAAGGCACCCCTAACAACATACCAATTCTTTTAATCGATAGGCCTATAAACATTTATAGGTAAAAACACCTTTACGGTACATCCTCCTGAATTCAAGCTTTCAATTTTAGATTCTTAAAAAAAATCCTGAACTCCGGAAAAATCCGGCAAAAATTCCCGAAATCAGGAAAAAATTTTGAGTTTTAGAGGTGGGAGGAAACCCCAGATAAACATTCTGGGGGGAAACCCACAAAATTAGGTAGGGACTGAAAACCCAGTCTACAGGTTGACCTCAGCGGGATTCAAACCCAGGCCACAGAAACTTACGGATCCAGCGATTCTGGGAAGTTTGTAGCGGCCAGGACAACGATGCCCTCGTTCTGTTTGAAGCCGTCCATCTCAGCCAGCAGCTGGTTGATGGTCTGACGAGCGTATGGGTGGAGGGGGGAATCTACACGCTTACCCCCTACAGAGTCCAGCTCATCAATGAAGACGACGCACGGGGCACTAGCTTTAGCCTCGCCTGGGGGGGGGGAGAGTTAATGGTCAAACAAAAATACTTTCAACCAAGATTTTAAACACTCTAGGTAAAAGTTTTGCCTCAAAAATCACACACTCTCTTTACTTCTAAAGTCCCACGAAAGCCCCTTAAACCTGCGAAAATTGTTTGCATTTTCCTGGTGAATTTTTGAAGATCTTTGAAGATTAATGTCTCAATTGGTTTACTCTTCTTTCAATTTTCGTTTGCCTCATGCTTAATAAAAAAGATTACCAAAAACACATCTTCTACTCTCTTGGCAAGCCCTATCTAAGGCCCTCCATCATGTATTATCCTTCAAATTTTCCTGATGAATTTTTAAAGTACCTTCTGGTTCTGGTTAACCTCATTTCCTTTTCTTTTAATTTCTTTATTTTCTTTTCATGGAGCCTGCAAAAAAACTTACCGAACACATCTCGCACTCTCTTAGCGCCAGACCCGACAAACATGTTGTCGAAATCCGAGCCTGAAGCGTAGAAGAATGGCACATTGGCTTCGCCAGCTACAGCCCTGGCCAGTAATGTCTTGCCTGTGCCTGGCGAACCAACCAGCATCACCCCTGTATAAAGAGACAATGGAAGTGTGACAAAAATAGATGGTTGAGAGGGAGCAAACTTTACCATAAGGTTTGGGGGACTGTGAGCCAGAAATGGAGAAAAATCGATTTTAAACTTGAAATCGAAATCACAAGTAACGAGTTCTCAGTTGAAGCCTGATTCTAGTTCCCTGGAAAAAAAAACTTCCCTGGAACTTACTCTTCATATAGCAAGCTTATCCTTTCATCTTAGAAAAAACTATGACCTTCAAATGATTTTCTCAGATGCGAACCGGCCAGCCGAACCGGCAAGCTCAGCAGTCGAGTGGTTCTAAATGCAGGAGGTCATGAGTTTGAGTCCTACCTATTGAGTGAACTTGTGAATTTCGTTCTTCTCGCATGCACTTTGACAACACTTAGTATACAGTGCTTGTGAAATTACGTCGGTGCTGGAAATTAACCTTACATTGAATATAAGTCTTCGTGACTGCAAAACTTCCATCCTAAAAAATATATAAGCAACTTATTTGAGCACTGGAGATGAAATGATTTGGTTCACCTTTTGGCAGCCTACCGCCCAGCTTGGTGTACTTCTCAGGATCCATCAGGTAGCTGACAATGTCTTGAAGTTCATTCTTGGCTTCATCAACCTAAAATACAGGGCAACATAAAAACATACATGTACTCATGGAAGAGCATGAAAGCCAACACTAAAAGTTGTCAGAAATCCTATTCACTCTCAATTAGGTCTGAGCAACTCCAACATCTATGGAATCGATTCAGATTCCGTCCTTAACCAGTTTGCGCTGGAGACCATGTATACACGCAAAAGTGTTACAGTATTCAGAATGGATGAAAGATAAACACGCAGGAAGAGAGTCCGGAAAAATTTGTCAGCGAGCGAGGCCGAAAATATGAGTTATTTTTCAACCTTTTGATCGCGAAACACGATTGTCAATTGACTGATCGTTGGATATCACCTACATTTCTTGATTTCTTCTTAAATGACAGCAAGCCAGACGGAACAGGGCGTTTAGTACCAGTACGATCTTTAATCAAAGTATTTAAGTTATTCGATAATAACTTGGTGGGTTACTTTTGGGATAAATGCAAACGATCATAATATACGCCATGTCACACCATGTCACACATCACACAGAGGTTAACGACCAAAATCTCACCCCTCTGACGTCATCAAAGCTGACGTCTTTAACGTTCATGCTGTCCACATTAGATGGGCCCATGATGGAGACTCGAGCTGTTAGGACAAAAGAAGACGAATTTGGGAAAAGGTTCAACAACCACAATCGCTTCTCTAAGAAGGCAGACAGGAGCACAAGAACACGGCAGCAATGCTTCGTAAGTATCAGGCATGCAACTTGGAAGAAACAAAAACTGAGGAAACTCCAATTTTTACCAAGACTTTATACTGTGTTTTTCAATTTTAAATAAGTGTGAAGTGAAAAACAAGGAAATCAGCTGATCTGAGCAAAAATTGCATGCCTAAAGTACGCATTCTTCAATAGATTGCAAAATGTTTTTCTAATATTTACTTTAAAGGGCATAGTTTAACAGTGGTAAAAAGGTATTTTTGTAGGGAGTAGGTTTGCAAATTTAGGATTATCTTTCAACTAATCTATTGCCTGGTTTTGATGAAGAGGAACAGCCCAAGTTTCATAGCTTATAGATTTGGCTTTCCAGACCCTACCCGATTTTGTTGCTTTGCCCTGAAATATCCATTTGGGGTTTTCCTCCCATCTCTAAAATGTAACATCTTCATAAATTTTCCCTAAATGTTTCCCCATCCAAGAATCCTCTTGACTTTTTTTCCATAACTTTCCATGATGGCTTTAAATTCCAGGATTTCCCAGATTTTCCAAGACTGTGGCAACCCTGAGAGTGTAACTCACCAAATACGGATACCATCTTAAAGTACAGGTAGACCAGCACGGCAATGACCAGGATGGTGGTCCACGTCTTGAGACGATCCGACTTCTTGGGCTCCTCCTTCCCCTTCAGGTAGCCCTCCACGAAGCCAATCTTGAAGGAATCGCCGTCTGTGAAACGGGACTCGTTGGAGGCAAGAGCTGACTCAAGCTTGTCACTCAGCTTGACTGGGGGGTCTCGCGTCGTGACTCTCTGGTGGGGTCAAAAATTGACATGGATTTAACTGTTACTATCTGAGCTGTTTTGCTATGAACCTTCCAAAATTTTCCAAAAACAATCCCTGTGGAGAAAGACAATGGCACACTGAAAAGGTTGAAAAGTGGAAAATTTATGAAATATTCTGAACTACAAGCATGACAACCTCAAATTAAAGGTATCAAATTTAACGGCACAACAAGACCTGCAGTGGTGTGCAAGTGCAAATGTTTTTTGTGGTAAAAAAATGAGGGTTTGGGGGCTAAAGTTATGGATTTCAGGTAGGCATATTGACAACATTGTGCCTTTTTGTTTTTAAGACAGAGGGAAAGGTTCTTATTCAACATCGGAGAGTGTTTTGTTTGATTATGTACCAAGAACAAAGGGTAACGATAGAGACAATTGGACCAGTCCATAACAAGTCACTGCAAGTCCATCACAAGTCCTCCAGTCCTAATTCAACTCATAAGCTATTCAAATGAGCTTTGACAAAGGCACTCCTTCGTACCTGTTCATCAACTGTTCCTTGTGACTGGACTTGTGAATGAACTTGAGATTTACTTGTGACTGAACTTGTGATGGACTTGACAACATCCCTGAATGGGACCCCGCAAGTCAGTCTGAGATTTCTCTAGAAAAAAAGGAGAACAGTAGTAGGGAAGCCAAGGTGGACAATAGTGGTACCCCATAACCACCCATATGTCGAGATGGCTTCTCATACTTGTACTGAAGGACTGAGGCAAGACCTTCACTGCTGAACTGTAATTATACAAGTTTTGGATGTTACCTGAAAGACGCTAGACAGCACGCCTTTGCTAGCATCCCCGGATGCAGTGGTTGATCTAAGATTCTTTGCAGTTCCTGCTCGCTTCGTTTTAAACCCTCGGCTCTGGTAAAAACCTGTTTGAACAAAAAAATGACAAGAAATTTAAATTTTGTTTGGTTGTTTGCTTTCTATGTGACCTGGCTTATTAAATTTACCCTTAATTTGAGCTTTGCTTTTTTTTTCCTTTTGTGAAGACTTGTGAAAGGACTGGAATTACAACTTGGCTAGTGGGACAGATAAAGCAAAATTTAAACATTACGAGATTCAAGCTTCAACTTTGGATGAGAACGGCTTACCTTGCAATGTGCCATGTGTACTGAAGCTGTGTTTAAGTAGTGGATGTCTTTCCCTGAAGGAGGTCAACGGTTGATGTGAGTAGAGTAGATGCTCTGGAAAACCTAAAATAACAACAACAAAAAGGGAATTTCTTCTGCACTTCACAAGTTTTGCCAGATTGCTGTTGTCAAAAGGGTTACCAACATTTCAAAATTCCTTGAGGTAATCTTCTGCCCAATTGTTTGTGTGGTTAAGCTCAGGGCAAGCAGGCAGATTCGGTCATGCGTCACTGTTCCCTACAGCGCCCTAGCGGACACCATGTTTTGAGGAAGTTTTTTATTGTTAGAGAAATTAGGATTGAGTTACGGGGACATTTAGCTGTCCCCATAGCGTCTTTGGTCCCCATAACAACTATCGCTCAACAGGTGTGTGGTCCTCACAATTAAGGGACAATAATAGTGTGCTGTTTTCTGTGCAGTTACTCTGTGTGATGCAGTTACATTTATTTTAACACTTCATATCCCTTTACCTGAAACTGACCTGCAGATTTTTAAAGCGTTTTAACTATTGCTCTGAATATTGACTTCCCACTGGGAGGGTTAGAGTATGTTTGAATTTAAAAAATATAGAAAGCACTTACAAAGGGCGAAATTAGACAGAAAAACGGCTCAAGACAAAATTAATTTAAAATTAAGCACAACAAACTTTTGCACCGTCGCAAGCAAAGTTTCACATTCCTTATATACTCAGAATGCATTGTACAAAATTTGGTCAAGGACATCATTATTTGTTTTTGAAATAAATGAGGCAAATGGTCGAAAAAATATCTGACACATGTTTGAATGTAATTTTAAAGTCAGCACTCAGCAGTCTTGGTAGCCCTACAAGATCAATCTCCTAAGTCTACTGCATTTTGTTTATATGATGGTCCAAAAAATTTAAAAATTTGATTCACAAATTTGTAGAAGGGTTTATATGGTGGTGTTCACTAACGTGGCGCACTTCGACGTTTACCCAACTTTCCTCGTATAGTGTTTCCAAACCTCTTTGTTGACAAACCTCAAATTCATGCAGTGAAATACTGGTACCTTTACCTTATTAATACTTGTTTTTTAATCTCTGTGAAAAATTTCAGTGTCATGAAATTTAATCGGAAATTCAAAAACGGTGGCGTCCGGAAATTGGGCACAAATTGGTGGAGTGTTCCCTAACGTGGCGCACTTGAATAAATATCGGAAAATCACAAATTAACATTTAATAATTTCTGTAAAGTTGATAAATTCTGATAAATTATTATTATCTCTACTTACATACCCAGCCAGAAGTTTGTCAGAAAATTATTTTCTTATTTTTCGGGGCATTTTCAAAGGGTTCACGTTGCACTTCAAAATAAAATCGAAAAATCACGCCAAAATAACTTTTTCTTCTAACTTTGTGACGGGTAAATAAACTCGCGATTTATGAACGGGAGTGTTTAGAACTTGATGAAATTTCACTTTCTGTGAAATTTCAGTTAAAACTTTTGCTCTAGCTAGATGCTACAGGCGAAAAATCAAAGTGCGCCACGTTAGGGGCCGCGCCACGTTAGGGTACATCAACAATATTCTCAAGTCTAAGTCACCAAAGAATTGTCCTTTTGTTATATACGTACTTCAACTTACCATTTTTGTTCTCAAAAAATGAGTGCGTTGACATATGAGATTCCTTCCATGGTGATGCATCGTTCTGTGTGTCGGGGATCTTAGCAAGGAGGCTGTCGGCCCAGTCTTCCGGTAAATGGGCTGTTCCAAGCTCCTTGATGTTCAGGACGACCTAGTCGGACAAACAAATTAAGACGTCGCAACAGTGTGGCTTAAATATCAAACCAACAAGATGCATAGTAATACTACATCCGTGCCAGTGCAGCAAGATATAAATGTGTAGCTTTACGGTGTAAACTACAAGTTACGCGTGCGTCATAAACGTCAAATATGTTTTGTTTTCTAGAAATTCTTGAATATAAATCTCCCTCTTACATTCTGTAGACTCTCTAACAACTCCGCGTCTGCAGTTGTGGACTGGCGGCTTGAGCTCTGTCGTTGCTGTTGCCTGCTGTGCCTGATGGCCCAGGCCGCTGCGGTAGGGTCTCGAGACGTAGCCTTGACCGAGTTTAAGACAGCTGCCAGGTGTGGTAGAGGCCCTAAGAGTTGCTGTAAAACCAAATTAAAATTAGTAAATGTTAATTATCATGCCCATCGATGGCAATCCCTAAAACTCTGAGTCCAATTTTATCACAGCCAAAGAGACCTCTTTCCATTTTGTTTTGCCTGTTTACTGCCATGACTGCAGACAAATTCTGTGCAGCCAAGCAGTGACACATTTTGGGCAAAAAGGAAGATAATCTATCTTGTCCTTATGACAGTGGCAAACTAAAAAGTTCATTTTTTTTTAACAATATGGAAAGAATGGAGTGTCCAGGAACACGCCACTTCCAAGTTCTATCAAGTAGGGCCCATCATGTCTATGAAGAGTTGAGTTCACTTTGTAAGTACTAGTATTTAGTAAGTAACAAAACTGGAAATTATATAGATTCATGGCAATGTAATGTAATCCTGCAATTAGGACGATAGTCGATGCTTGCATTTTTGACGGCTGACAAAATTTTGACAATGAAAATTGAAAACATTTTACCTGCACACTGACTCCGCTCACAGAGAACATTTTCGCTTAATTTTTCTTGTCTAGTAGATTCAAAATGTTTGTTGCGAACAGCCACAGTATTCCTATACTTTTTGGTCGCTATTTGGAAACGATTTCGTCCTCAAAACTCATTACAAAGACCGGGAAATCCACGCGAAAATTGTCAAGCTTTCGGCGCATGTGATGACATCATATTTTATGTAAGACAATAGAGGGCGCTAAGGAAGGTTAAGGGATCACTCGGGTAACCGGTAAGGGTGCACTGAATTAATTCAAGCCCTATTGAAAACAGTGTAAAATCAACACGTTCAGGGCCAAATAACATGCAAACCGACATCACTGGGGTTTCTCAAACAACAATTTTATTATTGTCTTGTCCTTCATCTTTTCATTTCTTTTCAATTTTGGGTAGACAAGCCAATTACATTTTGATATATTCACACCAAAATAAAACCCCTCCCGAAAGTGATAATTCCCAAGCCTGCAATGCAAATTATTAATTCCACTTTCTCAATCTCAGGCAATTTTATCAAGCCTGCCCTCAGCTGAGATGGAAGCCCCCAAACCAGTGAGTTGATCCTTGGCTATATTTGCACAAGTCCTCCGTTCTCGATCTCCGTTTTAAACTCTCACTTGAATTAGTGCACTGCACCCTTAAAAGTTTATTTATGGTTATGTTCCTAATAAAAACGTATAGTTAATGTTTTTATGTATAACGCGTAGTTCAGCACAAAATATGCAAACCTTCACTTTTTGCCTCATTCCACTTTATTATCAGACTCCTCATCCCAATTCTCATGAGGGTCAATCATCTAACAACTATGTGCTCTTCATATATCAGCTCTTATTTATATTTACAATATATGTACACTTTTGTTTTTACATTAAACAATGATAAACCACTTTTTTTGATAAACCTTTTGAAACTTTACATTACTGAAAAAAGTGAATTATTTGTCATTTTGTCAATAAAGGCTTTAAAAAACCTTTGTTTTCCTTTGGAATTTAAACATTTAATCCTACAATCTTAACACATTAAATGCACATCTGCTTCTTAATTTATTTGATGTTTGTATTTATTTTTTTAACCAGGGTTGGATTGACAACATTTCTTTATTTCCATTCTTCACTGAGGCCAAGGTTGTTAGAATGTTTTTTATTAAGAGCATCAGTAAATTAGTTCTTAAGGCAAGATGTAGTACAGACCTCCACCAGAAGAAAAGGAAAGAGGAAAGAACAATGCTTATATTTCACATGAGATTTTCGTGACGTACCTCATTAATTGCAAACTTTCTTTTCAAAATTGTTTCAAATACGAGAAAACAACTTGGCTCAAGAATTCTTCAAGTTGGTTAAAAAAAAAATGAGTTCTTATTCCTAAAATGGTATTTGTTTTGCAATGTGAATTCATATTAAAAATACTGTGTTTTAATTACACCATGTTGGAAAGATATACACAAACGTAAAGTACTGCTAAACATATAAATGAAGAACCAATACATGACCGATACATGAAGCTAGTGCTCTGAACTACATACAAGATGAATTGTTGAACGTTTTACCACCCCCCCCCCCCAATCCTTCCAGATACTCCAGAATTCATCAGGAGATTTGCAGGATTTTGTAGGACCGAGGAAGAACTTAACAATTGATAGCCTTTCAATGCTCAAGTACAATACAAACAATGTGATGTTTTCCCTGCACAATGGTGGAGTTTGGAGGATTGGGGAAGTTTAAAAAAACCTGGAAATAGGTCTGTTGCTTAAAGAGTGAATACAATTCATCCACGAAGCAATTATGAAAATGGTTGCATTCTAATAAGTCCTTAGAGAAATAAGAAATCTTGCATAATTTCTACCGCTTGCCATGTAACGTTTAATATGTAGAGGAATGCACACACCATGACATTGAGACAACTTGCTCCTGTACATGGCCTGGTGTTAAGATATTAAAATCTCAACAAATTATGAAATCATTTCAGATCATGATTGAACTGGATGTCACTTCACATAAACTATCAAATTCTGTACGGAATGCTTTTATCTTAGATTTTATCTTAGAATTACTTCATTGCACTTACTTGTTTACATACAAAGGCTCAACTCGCGGTTCAACTAAGCATTCAATTCTTGGTTAAGCCGAACTGTCATTCATTTAAATGAGACAAAGGCATAGAGGATATTTGCATTTATCCCAAAAGTAACCACCCCCCCCTGCACACAAAAAACAACAAAAGAATCTATAAAATTAAACGAAAAGTAGACCCAGATTGGAAAAATGAATTAGAATGTGGGACCTGCTACATGTATGATTGTCATAGTGTTCACCAGACAGAGGTATTCTTCAAAATAGCCCAGCACATCTACCTTTCAGTGCCAAAGTAGTTGTGTTCTGTTTCAAATAATTTGGAAGATATAAGAAAAGAAACTATGTAATAATTACAAACTATCAGTGAAGATGCAAATAGAGGGACACATAAATCCAAGGCCCGCCCACTGCAATGGGCAACAAATGCCTTACTGCATGTTCTGGCCGCACACATCATATGTACGTGCAAGCATGTCGGATGTTTGTGCATGCGTGTCAGACATTATATCATGGCTGTGACTGGTTACAATGCCATGGGGCAGGGCTTAATCGGTTCGGTCCATTAGTTGAGTACAGAAATGCTGAAAATGGCTTTTTTAGACTAAAGATCTAAGGAGTTGGGCAACTTCCCACAGTTGTACATTCAAGAGTTGTGCTGGACGCTTGAACCATGTCAGTCTGTTCGTGGGCGTCGTATGCTGGTCTCATCGATTTGTACTGGTTGGTTAAGAAGTGGTGCATGTCACATCCAAATTACCAGTGAGGAATAATTATGCACAGCTCTCAACTGCTTACCAGTGATACAGTTAGTCTTGGGCAAGCAGTGAGCTTCCCGACGGAGTTACGAGCTGGCTACAACCAAATTCCCATCATGCTTTGCTCTGGAATCGTCACTCGCGTCGTCCGCCGTTGCCGTGCTGGTCACGTTAAAGTTGTTATTGCACTCGCTCGTGTTCAAACCGACCATGGGGGTCGATTCCGTTAGCTGGTCCGAATCTGCACTGTTGCTGTCCGGAGACGTCACGTCCATGTCTTCCAGTTCAACGACCTTTGGCTGGGTCCCATCATTGTCCAGCTCGGATTCCGGGGACAAGTCCATTTTGCTGACGGGTGGGGAGGGGTTCTCCTCGACTTTTCCGTAGTAATCGTCGTTGATGATCAGGTCTTCTTGCTCCTCCATCCCTTGGGCAAATTTCAGAGTTCCGTTGAGGATGTCTTTGACCTGGGGAGCAATCAGGTTTGTTTTTATTACACAAATCTCTAGTTTTGATATTATTGCTACAATTACAAAAAATCAAGCCACGTTCAGTCAACAAGAGTGTTGATAGCAGCTACAATAACAGACCACTGAAAATCTGTTCTAAAAATAACCTGCCATCCATTCACAGAAGAAAGTTATTACAATTTCAAGTCAAGGGTCACTGGTCAATAAAATTTTTAGTTAAGCACGGGTCCATTATATGTTTTATACACACAGCCACTGAGGTTTCTTGATCAGTACTGTGCTTCTGCAAAATAATCAATTGAACACTGGAATGAATTTGGGCAAATTCCTACATAAAACCCAAGACATTCTTACTTGTTTGAGACCTGCGACAGCAAGGAGAAGTTCATCTTCTTGAGTTAGTTTGAGTTTGACCATCTCGTCTTGGATTTGCACTGGCAAAAGAAAAACAAGAAATTTGACATTACATCATGTACTCTTAACTTGATGAAAAAATTGTTAACCAATCTTAAAATTGTCTGGTATTTTAGAACTATGCTACGCCTGCAGTCTGGTTTATTTTCTGAGCGACCTCTGAGTGACGTCACAACTTCAGCAGAGTAAAGACAAATTTTGCGATATATAGTCCAAACCATTAATTTGGTGTGACCACGCTCGTACCCAGGTCGTAGGCATGTACTTAATGCTCCAATAGAGTTACCATAATGCTCACACACCTCGACCTTAAAAAAGAGCGCAACATGTCAACAAGCAAGGTTCCAACAGATTAGTCTATTAAACCAAAACGGAATGATATGATGTGGAGCAGAAATACTATAAAACTTACTGAGATGAGCCTCCATTTTAGTTGCACAGTACCGACACATGTTCTGAACGTCGTTCATCTTTCCCTGCATCAGGGCTACTTGGTTTAACATATCTGTCTCCTGCTGTACAAAAAACAGAAAAAAATCAACGAAACTACATGGATGAATGGTTTGTGCTTTGGGAACTGACTGCAGTCTGTCTGTACTCATATTTTTGACGTGTAATCAATTATTTAAGCATCAACCTGGAATTCAGTGTTAAGAATCAGACCGGAACTGAGTGTTTGTGACTTTTTATATCTTGTTTAAAAAATATTCCAGTTTATACAGTTATTTTTGCTGTTATGATTTATATTTGAAATTCTGTTTTGTTGTAAATCTTCAATAGCCAAAACTGTTACGCAACATATAGATTTGACCAAATCTGTCCTTTTTTTATATTCGTTGGCTTTAATCCGACACAATTCTTGACACTGAGTGACACCTAAGCTAGGATTTGCAGGCACGAATTCTAGGTTTGGGGACTAGAATATAGGGCTATGTCAAATATGCCAACCATCTGAATATTCAACTAATCAATCATCCACCGACTATCCAGATAAAATTGTTTTTCTGATTCAAATAATTATTCGGAAAAAGTTAGCAGTCTCAAGGAGATGATGTAAAATGCCCACAATGCTATTTGAATATTTGTAAAATGCTGCACTTTTGTCGAAAGCTACTTTAAAACAGGCATGCAACTGAGAATTTAGAAAAAAAACGAGGAAACTCCAAACCACACAAGACTTTGTACAGTGTTTTTCAATTTGTAATGGCAGTCACAAGAATTTAAAAAAGAGGAAATCCAAAGTTGCATGCCTGTTAAAAGCATGACTTGAGTGCTTCCATGAGGAACGTTAGTTCAAATTTCTTCTTTAAAATTGGTCAAATATCAGCCATTCCACTACCTCAAAAAATTCAGTATGTTGATGAATACATGATGTTCTTTTATATTATTTTAATAAGCTCTTTGTATAATTTGGACAAGTGCAGGCACATGCAAATCTCAATTTGTAGCCAGCTCGTGCAAACTTGATCAGCATATTTTGAATAATCAAACACTTTATCACGTTCAAGTTGGAATAATCAAATACTAAATTATTCAAAAATGCACAGCGCTACTGGAGTACAAGTCTATTGATAGAAAAAATTTGTGACACACATCAACCTGTACCCGGAAGTACCACACTTTTTATTATTCAGTTGCAATTGTCTCAACTGGCATTTTGTCCTCACCTCTTTCTGCTGGTTCTTCTTCCCAGCCGACCGGGATTTGGAGAACAGTCCCCCGAGGTTCTCTTTCTTTGGGGTCTGCATGCTGCTGCCTGTCATGACGGCGATGCCCTCCGAGGAGAATGACTGCATGTTGGTCTCTTGCTGTGGGCTTGTCGTTTTCTTCAGGGGTCGCGATTTGACCTCTGATACGACGTCAGCCGGTGCCGCAAGCGGGTGGGAGGGTGAAGCATTCTGGGAAGGATCTCTGTCTGCTTGTGGAAATACAAATTTTCCAAAATGGTTTGAAATAGTAAAGTCAGTTATAATTCATTATTACTAACCGTCCACCGAAACGGCTAAATCGTCGCACATATTGATTTTCACTTTTCAGATGAAACGGTACAGAGATGTACGACTTGTGTCTCGGACTCAATTCTGACTTGATTCACAGGTGACTCGGACTTCAAATTGAGTCACTATTAACAATGACTCGGACTCGGACTCGACACCTCCAACTAGGACTTGGGACTGGGACTCGATGTAATAGTGACTCGGACTTATGACAAATATGCTCTTTTTACATTGAGAATTGAAGTTTTTAAGATTGCAAATATGTATTTCAATTTAACCAATTAATTTGATATTATATTGAATGGTGCGTCTTCCGTAGTTGCACAGCCGATGCAAAATCTTTTTGACGTGGATGAGGGGAACCGTACCTTCATTTTGTTTGCCTTTGTTCGTGATTCGCTTCAGACTGCCAAATCCCGATGTCTTTGCAGCTGTTTTCTTATTTTTTGGTGCTACGCCAAAGTTGCTGGTTATTTGGGGCCCTGAAAAGAATGCGCCATTTGCGTTTGGTCGCCGTGGCGACCGGGAGTTAGACTGGATGACGACACCGGCCTCGCTGTGCTGCAGGATTTGGAACTGGTAGTTGGGCGGCCGGGGAAATTTCTGAAAAAAAAAGGGGGGGGAATTTCATGGTTAAAAAAGATGCATTACCACTGTAATAACGAACAAGATAAAAATCAAAATGCAAGTAGGGAAATGACAGAAAAAGTGTTCACCAGAGATGAAACTGGCATGTGGCAAAAAAATCGGAAAATAGGCCGAACAAAAACATGTGTCTGAAATCTGGGCCGCGCTGCAGTTACACACATATACATGCATGTACAATACACTTCATGCACAATTTCCGGACACCAACTCCTGCTTTATTTTTGATTCAAACAAAATTTTACGATGAAAAAAAAAACCGTCAGTGTTTTCATTGCATAAAATGCCTGAATTACGGTTAGAGTAATGGAGTCATCAATAAAGAAGTTCACTTCTTACTTGAGAAAGTCGAGGGAAAAGTCCGAAAGACAAGGGCACCGTTCACGGTGCTTCAATCATGTCCATGATTCAACCACTTGCATTCATACATGGGAAAAATCAGGCATTATCGTCTTTCTCTTCCAACAAATGCCAGTGAAATGTTTCGCTAATGCTCTCTTCGCTATCCTCGAGATAATCATCATGATTTTTAAAGCATTTTGCATTTTGTACGTCTGAATCTGAAACCTCCGAAAATCGCACAACATAATGATTTTATCCACAGGATCCTTCACAAGGCTACCCGTCCCATCCCGGCCGGCAATGTGCTAGCGGACGGTACGGTGGTGCGGTACGTACGTGCGCTGGTGGTACCATTGCATATTCGCACGCACGACCCAGTGATTTTTCCATGTCGCCTGTCAATGTTTAACCTTTTGTCCAGCCGGAGAAGGCTCCGATCAGTGTTATGCCCTGTGTTTCTACCGTTGAAACTCTCCAATAACGACTGGTGAGAGAGATTAAAACTACGTTCGCGATGATTTTAACACGCCATTTCCTTTGAATTTTCTTCGAAATTATGATTGAAATAAAATGACATTTTGTGAAAAAATCATCAGAAAATCAAATTTTGTGGGACACACTGTGAAAAAAATCGGAAATTTCGTTGGAAATATCAAAAAGTCGGTTTTCCGATTAAAATCGGAAAAGTTTCATCTCTGGTTCACGATGAACTGGATAGAATGGCCAAGAAAAAGACTCATGGTTGATTTTGACGTCTCGCAGGACATGTGTTAATCAGGGTAAATGGCATCACGTGAGGCTGAAAGCCATTTTTACATTTACTCTCTTTCTTAAGAACTGAATCAGTTACAAGGAAATATCCAGTGCTGTAAGCAGTCTATAAGACCTCAATCACAGGTCTGGTCACACGTGAATCACAAGTCAATACACAATTCTGGTCACAATTGCAGGTATTTAAGAATCACAAATGTATGCCTTTGTCTCAACGTCATTTAAGAAAGCCTGTGATTTGCCTTGGGACTGGAAGAATTGTGATTGACTTGCAATGATCTTGTGGAGGCTTGTGTTAGACTCGACTAAAACACTGGAAGAAACAGAAAAACATCCATTACCTTGGGATCTCTCAGATGTAGAGCCTTATCGACAAGACAGCGTACATCACCAACCATTGGGAATCGCATCAGTAGCGTCATGCAGTCTGCATAGTCCCCTGATAGCACTATGGACACAAGCACCGAAGTGAGAAAGTAAGCACACAGTCTCTCAAACATGTCAAACCATTTCATATTAAAACAACTAAGACTTTGTTCTGTTAAACCTAATATTTGGTCCTCTAGTTGGATTTCAACAAAACTTGAACTTACACAACTCTCGGACGAGAATCAGCATGGCAACAAAGATGTAGTCGATGAGGTCTAGCGTGATGCTGTCTGCAAATATTGTATCCCACAGAACCAGCAGGTCTTGCAAGGTGAATTCACGGCCGAACAGGAGCCTTATCCATCGTCTGAAACAAGAGAGAAGAGAAGAATCAGAACCGATTTTGTGATCAGATATGATGTAATTATATCTCTATTTTTCCCACTTTTGAGATGGTTAAAAAAAGTAAAATTTGTCACATGTCAGTAAGGTCCATGAGGATATTTCTATCCCCCCCCCCCCACCACGGATGTGATGCCAGTCTATCGCAGGTTACTCCCCAGATAATTCAGGTAGCCATTTATATTCCTGGGAAAAGAGAGGCTGGTGGGGAAGAAGTCCCTTGCCCAAGGACACAACATATGGCCAGCAGCTGGATAGGAACCCCTGACCCTTTGATCATCAGTCACAAAGCCTCACCAATAGGAACACACTCCCCCCTTGAGGGGTAACCACAGCTGAATTCCAGAAAGCTTACATTCCGAATATCTGAGGTTGGATGTCCAGCCGCGTCAGGTGCAGGTGCAGCTCGTTGTCGTGCATCTTGAGCACCACGTCCTGAATCTTGGTGAGCTTCTTGATGAGCGGGGACGACGGGGCACACTCCTGGGGCTTGGAGAAGGGCTCCGCGGACTTGAAGCTGGCATTGCGGTAAAGGGCGCCCTCTTCCCGCGTGCCGTGTCGGTACCACGGTTCCATGGTGTCCATCAGCCCGTAGAACATGGCACTGACGGGCGGACAAAAAAACATCCCGAGTCACAAATTTGTCTCATTATCAGAGTTACAACTGAGTCAATTATAGGTCAGGTCACACGTCCGGTCAGAGGTACATGTAACTGGCAACAGGAGATGAACAATGGCAAAGGAATTCCTTTTGTTACAATGCTTTGGAGGAGCTTGTGACTTGACTTGAGACGGGATGACTTGTGATGAACTTGTAATGACAAACTCGACTACACTACTGCTCATCATCAACACGATCCTCTGAATAGAAGCCACTTTGTACTTGGCACGAAAGCTTATTTGTGGCATCAAGTCAAGCATTCGTGCTGCAAATTTGCATAAAAGAGGAACAAATCCGGCAAATTTTGCAGTGGATGCTTCATGACGTCACTTTGCTAACAACAATTTACATGAAGTACGGATCAGCGTTACGACTCAAGACAAACTTTTTTACACCCTAATTGTAATGAACGAACACAATCATCATTGAAAGCAAACTCACTAGGAATCATGCTCCAGAAAACTGGGATCCATTATCTCTTGAACCACCTCCCTGAAAACACACCGACAAAGAACAAAGAAATTAGAAAAAGAGTCATCACAAATGACAGAATTTAGAGCTTTATCATCAGAATTCGAGTACTTCTTAAATTCTCCAACCAAAACATAACAACATATTTTGGAAGTTCAAGTGGCACATTGACTAGAGTTTATGTGTATTTTTACTAAGAAGCAGCCTTCAGCACAGAGGAAAGAATAACACTGCCGATGTGGATAGGAAAACCTTTTAACCTAACGGATTAAGTCTGATACCATCTGTACACCTGACACCCAAAAAATTAAACATCACACACTGAGGTGCAAGGTGTGTTTTGTCATAGGCGCTTAGAAAAGTCTAAATTATATCCAGGGATTATTTTGTTTTTGTTGTAAGAATGAAATGTGAAACAAATAATATGTGAGAAAACATTTTAATGCTCAAGCATTAGTACCACACAACTTCAAAGGTTATAGATCAAGTTGTGAAAAAAAGAGTTCTTAACAGCACAGCAATCAAAGTGAAAAAAAAAATGAATCTAAGGAAAACACAGGGCCTAAACCAACGCATGCCCTAGAGTGTGCAGGAGAATTAAGGGGGTGATTTATGAAAGAGGTTAAAATTTTGTCAGCTGAACCCCAAACCGTTCAGAATTTTCTACCTTCCTGAATCCATCAAAATCCATCAAAACGACAAGTTCTTTGTAAGAATACGAAGGCTAGTTGTTGGGAAAATCATTGTGTAGAGCTCTGCAAATATTCAAATAATCTAGCATCAACAATATTTTAAAAATGTAAGCAGTCTCAAGTGTTGGATTTAGATGGATTTAGATGGATTTAGATGGACTCAGGATGGTAAGGGTAAAAGAAGGAAGATGCTTTAATAACAGCAAGAACTTGGAGAGTATGAGGTAAGCCATCACAATACCTTTCACCCTTAACCACCGGTCTTCATAATGTGGGAAAGAAAAACAAATGTTAACAATTATTGTTTGAGTTAAGCTTAAAATGCATTGATTAAAAATTTATGGTAATAATTTCAGCCTTCATCGGGTATCAGGATTGCATGTGCGCAGTTAAATTCACTTGGAGTGTGGGCAATGGATGTTATTTTGCCAAATAGCAATAGATCAATTTTTTGGGTTTTTTTAATAACACAAACATTTTAACCTGTCAAACTTTTTGAGATTTTGAGAAATTACCATACATTTATACAATATATACACAAAGTAGGGCTGTCCATTTCCGAATAATTTAGTTTTTGATTATTAGAAACTGTGTTTGACTGAATATTCGAATGTTCAAAACTCGGCGGTCAAGTTTACACATGCCAGCCGCAACTGCATGCCGCACCCATAAAAAGTTGCACACAAAGCGCGCCGGTTAAAATTTCCACAGGGTGATCGATGTTACTGTTTTGCAGTATTTTATAATTGTCATTGGCTTTAACCTGCTAAAAGGATGGAAACATTGAACCACCATCTTTACGATTTAAACAACATCTTGGTCTTGTGTACATGTGTAGTTGTTTTTATCTTTTCGAACCATCACAAAGCTATTTGATTTTTCCGTTAACCCCATGCTACAGGAAGCGGTCATGGTCATGGCCTCGGCCGCTAATCCTCATTGGAATGCAGTTGCCAGCTGTGGTATGCCACGGCACACAGCTAGTGGGTAGTTCCACAGCTGCTGCTTTTGTGCAGTCCCGCTACCACACAAAGGCTGTGCAGTCATGCGGGCCACTTGCTCTATGTGTGGAGGAATGTCCCCATTACACCCCGTCCTTAAGGGGTTAATGCTTGAATGTTCGAATATTCAATATATTTGGGACAGCCCTAACGCACAGGATGAACTAAGTCTTACTTGGTAATCAAAATTATTCTATGTACAATTCAAACAGCACTAGTTACTTTGATCAAAAAATAAAAAGTGCTTCACTGCTTATTTTGGAGTATTTGCCTGTTAGTTATTTGCTATTTCACCTTTATTACCAACTGATTAGCAGACAGTTGCTTTTGTGGCACTTTGCAAAGGAGTCATCTCGATAAACATCCCGCTTAAAAGTTGCTGAGATAATTTTCCCGATACGGTTCATTTTTGTCTGGTAGAAACTCTGTTCAACTGCAGGAAGTTTTACGGGAAAACTTCGTCAGTCACTGCCTGACTGAGCAGGAACTTTCATGCAACAGAGTCACAAGATATTGCCGACCAAAATGCAATCAGTCTATCGGGGAAATATCTAGGCAACTTTTTAAGGATTCTTTTCGAGATGACTCCTAAAACTGACAATTGAATTAGTGACAACTGAGCGTTCACTTTCTCTCTCATTGGGTTGCATGTGTTCCCCTTCCTCCTGACAATTTGCTTGTTCCCAAGAGTCCAAACAAAGGATTCTTTTCGAGATGACTCCTAAAACTGACAATTGAATTAGTGACAACTGAGCGTTCACTTTCTCTCTCATTGAGTTGCATGTGTTCCCCTTCCTCCTGACATTTTGCTTGTTCCCAAGAGTCCAAACACTTGCTTATTATAATCAAAGGGCCCTTTCATCACTATCGTCTCCCCTACTAGTGTTGATTTCAACACAGGTCCACTGTGAACAGAACCAGGGCAACAAGACATACCGTGCACACTGACCAACTACAGGGTGGTGCGAAAAGAAGGAAACCCACTTTTGACAAGAATTTTAACCAACTTACTTAAATTATTTGAACTGGTTTTTTTTAAGATAAAGTAGTGAAATATAGCTCTTCAACCATACTGGTAAAAAAAAATCTTAAGAATAGTGTTATGTTAATTTGAAAGTTTGAATACAAGTCACCAAAATCACTGTTATCCACATGTAAGTCTAGTGTAGTTTTTTTTGGTCTTCAAATCAAGCTCCGGAGCTCAGTCGAGCGGATGCAATAAAGCCGTCCGTGGACAAACAAGGTTTGGCACATGACATTTTTAAACTACCATACCTCAGAGACAAAATATGCCTTTGCAAATGGTTTTTTTGTCACTTATGTTTAAAGATCAATATTTTGATAACATTAAATTGAATTTTTGAAATATGCTCAATAAGTCGGTGAAAATTGCTGTCAAAGGTGCGTTTCCTTCTTTTTTTGCACCACCCTGTATGTACACAGGGCGGCAACAGATCTTGAATTTTCTACCCGGGTACAGCCTCTTAACCCTCGACCAGGGTTGGATTTACCCGGGTATAGCGCAGGAACCTGTGTAAAAGCCGAGGGATTCCCCAAATCGGATAGAGAGAAAGGCCCTAAAGAGCTAGGAGCATTTAGCTTCCTATTATCCCCTTTCCTTGCTTGCTTACTGGGTACATTAACCCTAACCATCCCAAATCCTTCAAAATCCTTTTTGCAAATTGGAGGAATTTGTAGGATTGAGGTTACATGGCAAAAGTGCGTTGTTGATTTCGGAGGATGCACTATGTCAAGGTCTTGGGCTGGACCTTGTGTTGTTTATGCTCAGCCATGCATAAATTTAGTCCTTGATTATACTTGAAATCCTCCGCACTGCTGCAGGATGTCACTGCCTCTGCCTCAGCCTATTGACAGTCATAGCCGGAGGATTTTGCAGGATTCAGGCAGTGGTCACCCCTCCATGGCCCATATTCAAGAAATAATGGAGGAATTTGCAGGATTGAGGCTATATGCTATTTTTCCATGAGGCCAATTGGAGGATTTTGCAGGATTGAGGCTACATCCTAGCAAAAAGGAGTTAGGGTTAACCAGCTTTACTATCTGTATTTCAGAGCATGCTTTCAATGCAGTTAATGCTATTACATGTGTTTGCATAAAACCAGTGCAGCGAACGAACCCAGGGTTATCAAGAGAAAGGTCCAACGGGCCCCTGTTATTTCTATGGAACCTTATAATGGATGAAGACTAGTAATTTTGTGACTAGGGTGGTGGATGAAGTGGGGAAAAAAAGAGTGAAGTGTGAAGAACAGGACATCAAAAAAGGATCAAACCTTTTATTAGGTCCAACCAGGCTAAACAAAAAAAAAGGAAGGGGATGAAACATGAAATGGGAATGTTGGGGTTTGTTGAGGAATCTTCTGAATGGATAAGGAAATAATTTTGTTTTTATATTAAGAAGGTACCTGCGGGATTTCTTCCTTAAAGTTTAAATTGTTCGATTAAAGTTGAAAATGTTGGATTTTGATTCATATCAAGAAAACAGGTGCATCTAAATGAATATGAACCTTTGTTCATATTTTAGTTTTAAGGAAAAAAAGAAGGTACTACAATTGAGGCTTGGAACACATTCATGACAAAACTTTTAGGAGAAATTAATTTTGGGGAAAAGGTTTTTTTTGCAATAAACAGGAAAGAATGACCGTATATTCAGATTTCAACCATGAATTGATTGTCAGGGTACTGGGGGGCCTGATGGTTATTTGCCAGCTACACAATTTCCCGCACAAGCTTGGCAATTTTGTTCAAAACTCCCTACCACGGATATAAGGCCGAAAAAATAATAGTATGTGTTTACGGTAACCCGACCTTCCTGGATTTTATTAGACCAAATTGCCGACCTTAAACTTTGTATTGCCCTATTTGGCCAAAAATTATAAATAAAGTATATTTTGAAAGCCAAAAAGGTTTTTTTTTGGGGGGGGGGTTGAGTTTTTGGTTAATTAATTAAACAATTAACCACAACTATGATAACGGTACCCTAAAGTAAACAACACAAGTATAAAAGAGTGACAGGCAAATGTAAAAAAAAAATGATATCAACAAAAATTATTTTCCTACTTACCTACCTGGATAACATTTAGGGAGATACCGTAAACACACTATTTTTTTTCTCGGCCAAAACAAAAATCAGCAGTGTAATTGCAAAATAATAGAAACGAAACCCTTGAGCCCCTTTTAGCAACCAACAAACCTCATGTTATGCTTATGATTAATACTCCTCCAAAATGCTAAAAAAAAAAAAAAAAAAAAAATCTTGCATTTTTCCATCTGCAAGCATTTTTCCATCCTAGTAAGAAAACACTCACTTCAGTCATAAACCTTCATTCCCATGTCGGCTGATAGGCAACTGAAGGTCTAGTAAGGTGTGTGATTTCTAGGTGTGTGTTTTTTGGAGTACACGTGGTGGGAAAAAAAATTAAAAACTTCAAAAGTTCCATGTACTTACATTTGTGATTTGATTTCTTGGGCGTGCAGGAAAGCTTGCTGGTCACAATGCAGAATAAAGATCAATGGAGCCAAGACTTCATGCATTCCCTAAACAGTATATCAAGAACATCAACACAGTTGAAATTTCTTTAAAATTGTAATAAATTCTGCAGCAGCATTTTCTTATGAGATTTAAATCTTTGAAACGTGCTGCTGGGCCCAGTTTTGTGGCTCTGCTAACAACAGATTTCTGCATTTCAAGGCACATAGGATCATTTGCTTTTCATTGATTTTGTTCGTTTCCAATAGTAACACCACTCAAAATCCAAAGAAGAATGTTCAACACCCAACCTGTTGAAGTTTCAGCTCAGTGGATATTACACTTTTTGAGAAAACAGTGAAAAACCTTGCACAACCTTTTGATCACGAAACACAATTTCATCCGTAGCAATCTTTATTTCCAAAAAATCAGTCATTTGACTGATCATTGGAAATAACCTACATTTCTTGATTTCTTCTAAGTGACAGCAAATCAAACGAAATCATTTCACGAGGTGTTTAGTACCAGTACGATCTTTAATCCAAGAAAGCTTTTGGAAGATATTTCGGTAGGTTACTTTTAGGATAATGCAAATGAGCCAAAATTCCTCCCCCCATGAAATATGCTAAAAACCGTCTGACAACTGCATGAATTTGACATGTGATAAGACAGCTGAATTGAATACAGACTGGGACCTTAAAGTGCAGAACAGAAATGCAAAACAAGATCAGACCAACTTTACTCACACTTTAACTAACAAAATTCTCCAACCTTTTTTGGGGGCAAAGACAAGGTCCTTAACATTTCACCAGCCAAGTTTGAGGTCTCAATTCAATTTTTAAAGGAGACTTTTCTTCAACATTTTGCACCTGAGAGTGAAGCCAAGTGATTTCAATTTGAAGCTAAAGACTAGACTGGTGCGTGTCCAACATTTTGCAAAGATTGAGGGGGCCCATCATTAGCGTCCGCTAGCCACCATGCACCTGCAACTAGCGGAGATTGTTGCAGTGTCCAGCAGATGTCCCTCAGTAGTCTCGTGGCATGACCATAGAGAATGTGTAGAAGTAGAGCTGGGTACCAGACGTTTCTTTTGACACAGTTAATGATGTAGTACTAAAGGGGTATTGGACTGGTTGTTTCATGTGCCAGTCTACTTTCTTGTGTTGCATGTTTTCAATACGTTAAGTGTAAGGACTCTCATACACAGTATTGAGAGTCCCAAATTTTCGGACAAAATTGCATAGTGATGGACTTGACTTCAACTATGTCCATAGGCAGGATACTTTTCCTCAACCCTGACCTGTTTGTAGCCGAGGTCCTCATGCTCTTTGCAGTAGCAGAAGAGAATGTTGACCATCATGTCGTGCATCTCGTCCGTCTGGAAGAACTCAATCTCGGGGAAGGTGCGCCTGACGTCTTGACTGATCTCCTGCCGACATTCCTTGTCTTGGAAGAACCGGTTCCAAGGGCTCTGCAGTAAAAAAAGTAATCCACGTTTCAGGAAACTTTCGAGCACTTCAAAAACAGTCAAATTTGTTTTGGTTCAACTTTCAAAAATTGTTATAATGCGCCTCGGCAGTATTTCTTTGGTGGTTGATTTTAAAAGTTTGTAATAAAAAGCCGTAGCCTATCTGAGTGATCCCAACACTGCTGTTGCTAGCATCATGACTTTGGGCGTGATCCCTGGCTACATGGCACACGAGGGTTTATGGCTTCTGACTAGCGCCCCTTAAACAAAGACACTGACAAATAAAAAAAATCCTGAATCAGAAAAAGTCCTGACAAAAATCCTGAAATTAGGAAAAATCCTGAACAAAAAAATACTGACTCAGAAAAAAAAATCCTTACAAAAAAAAATTCCTGAATCAGAAAAAGTCCAGACAAAAATCCTGAAATCTACAAAAATCCTGAATCAGGAAAAATGCTGACAAAAATCCTGAACAAAATTTCAGGAAAAAACCTGACAAGTTTTACCTCTTCATCTTGTGAGAGTGGGTTGTTTAAGCTGAGGTCTGCATCTCGACTCTTGGAGCCTGTCTGCGGATCTACAACGTACTTCCGTTTGATGGCGGCATATCGCTCCCGATCGTTCTGGACTGAGGCCACCCATTGGTCCTGATGCTCTGGAAGCACTTCCAAGTAAACCTAGCCAGAGAGGGCAAAAAAAACGGATATTGAATTGTATCTCCCAGATGCAAAATTCCATCATACAAAATGATAACTGATTAAGGTACGATACCTGCTGCTTAATTGGATTCTATCACCATAGCAAGCTCGGTGATTGATTATTATTATTTCTTATTATTCATATTTCTGGTAATGAAACCAAAGATTTCTCACAAGAACCCTAGGCACTGTAGCTCACAAGCCTGAAGAAGCCTGTAGAGAGAAGACAATGAGAAGAAATAACAGGTTTCAAGGCGGGAGGGAAACACCAGAAGAATATTCTGGGGGGAACCCATGGAATTAGGCAGGGACTGAAAACCTTGTCTACATATTGCCAAGGGCAGGAATCAAATCCAGACCATCAAGGTGGAAGGCGGGAAAGACACCACTGTATGCCACCGGGCACTTCAATCCAAAATGACATCACCAAAACTCTTCTGATTAATAAATCAAGGGCAACTGGATTTCTTTGGATTTCTGACCCAACACAACTAAATGAGTTGCGCTGTGCCAAAGCTAATATTTATTTGTAACAAATCTTTGAGTTCATAGCTAGTCTCACCCTCCAGCAGACACTACGGAAGCGGCTGCTCCGGAGACCGCCCTTCAGTCCCTCCTGTTTGATGACATTGATGTAGTCTGGCCGCTCAAATAGCCGCAGCCATTCATCTCTGAAGAAAAAAACAAAAACAAATCACACTGTGAAAAGTGGCATTCAGAAATGATGTCTGATGCTACAAAATGTAGCGATCTTCAGAAAGGATTGTGTTTGCAATAATTACTGTGGGGGAGGGACCATAAGTCTTATTTTTATTTTTCAAGTAAACGATTCAGGGTCTGCACGATTTTCTAGGTTGAGTGGGTAAGGCCACAAAATTTACAGGCTAAATTTGACATCGTATAAATGCCAAGTAAACATTGATGGAGAAAGAAGATTTCTGCAAGTTAATTCACAAAAACTTGATCTCTCTTTTCTGTGAATGTATTTTCCATTTTCATGAATATATTTCGCAGTTGTACCGCTCGTACTTGAAGTGATACAGTACAGCGTGTTTTCCCTAAATTTCCTGCAGTACCACGTGGTTTGTTGCTGGCTAAACAGTGCAGTCATACATGCTGATAGTAAACCACGCGATATACGGACAGTTTTGGCCAGTTTCCCCATTGTGACTAACAGTGTGCCTAATGCTCAAGTGGTATATTTTTGATAGTTTTCATGGCACAAATGAAAATAGTTCAGGTCAAAATTCGCATAATTTAATGCCCCATTCAATCAGCACAAAAATTTGTCCAACCCCATTTTTGAAAGGCACATACATGTAATTGGTAGCAGAACTAATTTCTTTCTTGGCCTAACCGCAAACACAGGTATTTTTTGAAGGGGCCTTTTAAAACAAAAAATAGAAACCAAAACCAACATAAATCTTGTTGAACATACATGTACATTTTTACCTTGATATAAAAAGAAATCCCATAGGGCGTTGCGTTTCTGAGTAGATTTTTAAAATAATAGAAGTCGAAGGTTCAGTTCAGAACACAATTTCTTTTCTAAGAAAATGTTTTTGCAGAGTCTGGAAAGCTGTAGATTAAAGATGTACCGTTCATGAAATTCTACAAATTTGATGATTTTTTTGGTGTCAAAACAAAAAAATTATTGTCAAGAACTTTTTATTGTAATAAAATTGCAATAAAAATATTGGTGACCAATAATCTTGAAAATAACATGGACACTGATTGTACAACTTTAAGTCCCAAAAGTCCCATTTGCAACACCTGTAAGAATTGGAGGTACTGGCGCTAGACGATGCCTCCCCCTCCGTCTCCCCACCCCCTCCTTGACCTTTGACCTCTTCGCCATTCCCTGCCTCGTCTTCGGGGTAGGCCCAGGCTAGCCTACCGCCGCTGTTGCCGCCGCGGGCTTGTTGAAAAGGGTCCTCCAACATCACACTGTCCTCATCCAAACTGTGTTGGATCAGTATCCGCTCTGGCAAAAAATAGGGTTCAAACGAAAATAGTTATGGCACGTGGCTGCAACAACTGTGTACAAACTATTTTTTAGTCAAGACTGGGAAAGTAATGTGAGCCAGGGTTTAATTTTGTGGATTTGTTCAGCGGAGAAACAAACTGCCGGGCGAATTAATGTGTTATTAGCCAAATGCAGCTACAACCATTCATAAGCAATATATACACGGCATGACACTTGGTTAATTACCCTTTCTATTTTTGCTAAAGGGCCATTTAAAATTATCAGTGTTTTTAAATTTCACAATGTTTTTCCTCAAAAATAAATAAAATAATCATCATTTCGCCGAAAGGAGTGATGAAATTCACCGAATGGAAATGACGAGTTTGCCGAATGAGATGATGAGTCTGACGAATGGACTCAATGGAGATATATGAACTACTGAAGGCAGCTTTGGTGTTCCGTGACCCTCTGTCGCTTTTGTCCACTCACTGGCTGTTGGCATCTCACCGGACACTCACCCAACACAATCTACATGTATCTCCTGTAGAGTTTCTTTCTTTTGAATGGTTCTGCTATATGGGCATCCCATGCTACCACGAAGGCCCCTTGGTTAAGCACTATGCTAGATGTTGTCCAGATTATCCGTCATGGGGCAGTTGGTTTGTACAATAAGGAGCAAAATGATTCACAATTGAAGGGGGCCTTGTCAGTGTACATGCCCGGATTTTGTCTAAAGAACGACCCTGGCCTGAGACAGAATATGAGTACACTATGATTAATGAAGCATACTTAAGTTGGTACATGAAGAGTTACACTTACGTGTATACATGTATGATGCATTGTATATGTACATGTTTGTATGCTTATGAACTGTATTGAGGACCACTGGTCTACACTACACCTGTAAATGTATGGACTGAACTTTGCATACATGTAGTGATTCCCCCTTTTTCTGGGAGGTGTATGATTAATTGATCTGTAAACAAATTCTGCCCCATCTTATCACTATCAGGATATTAAATGCATAAATTGGAAGGTCGTAGGTTTGTTGATAAATACTGAACTTCCATTGTACATATTATGTACATGTTCACTGAAGGTCTAAGGCCACAAATTTATATGCCTGTGTAAAATGTGTAAATAAACAGTTGTACTAAAATTCTAGGAAAACGACAATGTACACTGTACAATATAAAAACACTTGCCAATCCATTGCCGTCTTCTGTCTCGCATAAAATGCTTTTCACATCCATAAATTGAATTTTCTGTGATGCATACACAAGCTTACGCGCCCCAGGCAACAGACTGACCTACTGAAAACTCCAACAAGGAATGGCCCTCAGGCATGAATAACAATTCACACTTGGCTGCCCATAACCAAATACTTGCTGGGTAGCGTTCAACCCAGGGATGATCGGGATCGCAGATCTTGAATAGGAATAATTTGCATCAATTACGAATATTTTATCGGTCTGGTGACAGCCAAAGTTGCAGACACGTTAAATCCTCTATTCAAATATGCTGCTTACAAACATTAGGAATATAATGAATCTTTAGAAATTTGACCAAACACACCGACAAAATGCCTATATTTTTCTAACCAAAAAAATTATTATATAAAATAAAAATAATACACCAAGTCAGTTTCCCTATCGGTTTTCCTTGTTTTTCCATAATGTCTGTATTTCCTGGATACTATGATTTTTTTTTTCAAGAAAGGAAAGCAAAACCAAACATGAAAATAGCAAATCGAAGTTGAAATGTGGATAAAGCAAAACAAATAAGCTTGGAAAACTGCTTTTCCATCAAATATTTTCAGTGAAAAATCTTCCTCTGTCGCTGCACAATACAGGACAATCTTTGATATTTTTTTTAAAGAAAGAAAGGCAAAAAGCAATGTTAAAGAGCAGAAATAAACAACACAGGAAAACACAAAAACAACAACAAAACTTGTACCACATATGCTGAGGCTATTTTGTGGCCGTTTACAAAAAAAGAGTTAACGGAACTAAAAACTGTCAGTGCATTATTTCTGGTGGGAAAAAACATGTCTTTATGTATGAAACTGATTGCATGTTATTTTGAAAGTGGCACAATACATTAAATATACCCCATTCCCCTTCGTGTTTTTTTCTTCCAATGTTGCAGACATCTCTTGAAGATAGTGTGGTACTACTTTTATATTAGTCCTAAATCCGTCCAGAGTGTGACAAATACGAAAATCAAGGGATTCAAGACCGTTGGGGATTGTTGCCCATGGGCCAGATGTACAAACGGAGCAGAAACGGCATGGTGATGAAATCTGTGTGAAAAACCTTCCCATGTGGTAAAAATGTTAGTTACATGTATTGAGACCATGGGAAAATTTGGTGTCTCTCTGGATCCTTTTCAAAAGCTCTTCCTCATCTACTTGTACAGTTTCATATAGAGTTTGCTGATAAAATGCAAAGCTGGTTACGTATACGCGTCTCAGTTTCCTGTAGTTTGGAAAAATTTCACCATGGGCCTACATGTAGTGTAAACGTAGTTCTTGTGGTCTGTAATTTTCCAACCAACCTACCCAAATCCTCCAAAAACCTCTTTGCAAAATGGAGGATTTTGCAAGATTGCGGCTATGCCAAAAAATGTGTGGCTGATTTTGCAGGATGCACTGTGGCAATGTCTTAGGCCAGACCTTGTGTTGTTAATGCTCAGCCATGCATACATTTCGGCCTACTGGTAGGTAATACTTGAAATCCTCCGCACTGCTCCAGGATGTCACTGGCTCTACCTCAACATATTGACAGTGATTGCTGGAGGATTTGGCAGGATTGAGACAGTGGTCACCCCTCCAAGGACAATATTCAAGAAATAACGGAGGATTTGGCAGGATTGAGGCTGTATGCAATTTTAAATGGAGACAGTTGGAGGATTTTACAGGATTGAGGTTGCATCCTAGCAAAAATGCCTCTAGTTAGGGTTAATGCAGAGCAACCTAGTGCTAAATGTATGGCTTTGGGTGATATTCATGGTTAAGTGTAGCCTACAATTTGTTTGCATGGCAATGGTGTGAAAGCATTTTTAATGTGAGTTTTCTCCTTCCTTTTTGTAAATGTATGGTAATCATGTATGTACCTTTTTTTTCTGCCGGAGTGAAGCATTCTAAGACTGCAAAAATGTCGTCCTCAGCAGTCGGTACTGTTGTTGATGTTTCACTCATGCTAAATCATACATTATTGATTTTGAACACATTATTGTTTTTGAGCACACTGTTATGTTACAATGTACAATATATTGAAGTAGATTTTATTTTATTTTCTTAGTGATTTGTGGCTTTCGAGGATTTTTTAAATGGAAAAAAAAATCTGAGAACCTTTCGGTTGATAGTCTGGTTCCAAAAGCCAAAGATCCTGACATTGGATATTGTCAGGTCAGGGAACCAGATGGTCGAGTGTTAGCCACTGTATTAAACGATAGCCACTGCATTAAAGAATGTTATTACCAAAAAATAAGTATAAATTGGACATGTCAGAACTATGATGGCATTCCCAAACAAATTTGAGGGAAAAATTGACCCCATACGAACAAGTGCTGCACAAGTTTTTGAAAGTCCAGAGATACGAATGGAGCATGGGTCTAATTAATTCAGGAAAAAATGTTGCAACCTGACGCCACTTCCACGATTGTGTACAAAGTCTATAGCGAGTCAAATTTTTTTTTAGTATTTCCTTACAAAATTGGACATGTTTCTCAGTCCCAGATTCATGTCTTTTTTGCAATGAATGATCTTCATTAAAATGATTGATATATGAAGAAACAAAGGCGTCAGGTTGCAACATTTTTTTCCTTAATTCAAAACAAATCACGGATTTAGGCTAGCCTACCTGACAATGGATGAATATAAAATCTTGATTTTACATGTTTAACTTTAATTCTAAATGACAGAAACATGACCAAGTAGTGAAGCATCATTTGATATTAAAACTATTCAATTCAATGCCAGATAAGATGCGATGCTAACAAAATCCACATTTAAATAGTTGGGCAACATTAATTAATACATGTACATTGTAGATAGACGTGATAGAGAGCTACTCCTAGAACTATGGTAGTGGTGCCTCACAGATGAAGAACCCCGCAAAATTGTTTTCAGCACAAAACACTAATTAAGTACAAAAACATCCTTCAAAATGCAGAAATTTCCCACAGAACCGCTGCACAGTTTGCCCCCAAACTCCGTACTACACCTCATGACATACTCACGTAATATGCGCAGAACAAACATCGCTGGATTTTGTCGTTTTTTTGGCCAAAATGATGAAAAATATGCCCTTTCCGCACTGAGCCAACCTGACACTTGAAATGTGCACGCATATGATCCAGCGATGATTTTGGGTTCGCTCGGAGCGCGCCGCTAATAGAGAGCAAGGTTTTGAATTTTTGTAAAATGACAATGACGACAAAACGCAACATGAAAATTAAGATGGTGGACCTCACACAGCACCAACCGTATACCGCATAGAAAAATTGTAATTTCTACCCAAGCAATGTATCCATGAAAATATTAAAAATTACAAAAAAGATGTCATTTAAAAATAAACTGATTTAGGCCCTAGGCCTATCTAATTTAAAGATGTCTGCTTTAGGTTGAAAAATTCATTTTTGAATAATAAAAAAAGGACTTGACTCTAATTTGATCGAAACTAAACAGGGGCCCTACACTAAACGATCGCCTAGATTTTGATAGGCCTTATGGAAAGAAAGTTGCAACCTGACGCTACTTCAGCGGTTGTGTGCAAAGTATAGGGGCGTCAAGAAAATTTTCATAATAAATAAATAAAGAAAAGTATTACATAATAAATTGGAAATGGTTTTCAGTTCCAGATTCATGTCCGTCTTGTCATCATTATTTGCAACGCAGTGGCTATTGTTACGGCAGCCGTAACGCATTTCCCATTTTCTATCGCTACGGTAGACTGCAACTTTTATAAAAACACGAGAAGAAAATATAAAATTAGAAGGAAAAAAGGGAATTTGAATGTTATGAAATTCGGACTTTATTTCCCTTTTAAAAAAAATCCTTCAAAGCCTCAGGTTAGAAAAGGAAAAAGATTCGAGCGCAAAACTGAGTTGCGAACCTGCAACCTCTCGGTGCAAAATCCTACCCTCTATCGACTGAGCTGTCGCACTGCTCGCTAAAATGTGGGGAAACAAATAATTATATACCTGCGTGCGTATCAAAAAAGTATCGTAGAGGGCGCTAAACAACGGCTGCCGTAACGATAGCCACTTCGTATTTGCAATGACTGATCTTCACTGAGATGATATATGAAGAAAAATGCAGCGTCAGGTTACAGCCTTATCTATTTCTTCCTCCATGCGTTATATCCATCATGAATGATGTGCATGCACAGCATGCTACGCTACGGTACATGTCACTTGTCAGTAAACTCCATCATCATGTCCGCGGCGCCGCGCTGCGCAGCTATGCATTGCCATTGGTCATTTTGTTGGTAAACAAAACTGGTAAAACCGGAGTACGATGATGAGCAACATTTTGGGGGGTATATTTTCAACGTACCTTTACTCTCTTCCAAGTGCTGTGGCTGCTGGGAACCTGTTCCTTCTTTTTTCAATGTTTAATGATGACAAATCATGCACAAAATGTGTGAAAACATGGAGAAATACCAACATGAATCACACGAAAAGGAGCGACTGCACCAACCCACTTTTGTTTGACATGTGACCTCTTACTAGACTGGTACCCGGTCTGACAAAAATTCTGCTTTTACTTAGCACGCTCAAGATAGGATGGTGTTGCATGTTAGCTTTTTGCTTTTATGTTTAAGGAAAGAAAGATAGATAGACGAAAATGAAAGGAAAGAAAAAATGAACATGTGTTTATAATTTGCTCAGCCTAAGAAGTATAAGTTAGGGTTTTATCTTCCTAAATGTGAAATAATGATCTTCTAATTTGCGCCCTCTATAGTCTGGGCGCCTACAGTCTTCTCATGTTGCTTGCTTCGCTAGTACCCTCCGCCCTGTTCGCAGGGCGGGGGGTACTAGCGAAGTTGCTTGCCACAATATAGCGCGCGCTGCGTGAGCAG